TATGTATGACATGATTACTTACTATTTGAAAATCTGATTTGTTATATGGAAAATAGTTGAAGAAAATTGTACCTTTTTAAACAACGTTTTCCTTTTAAATTTCTAGTTTGATGTGCACAATAGAATACAAGGGCTTGCAAAAGTACGTGTGCAAAGGGCAGGGGTAGTGAAGTAAATGGATGGAATTTAAATATTTGGTGTAAACGACCCCATGACTATTTTTCATTTCGATCTGCCCCATGTATTTATTAAGCATATGTAGAGTGAAAAGTCATTCATTCATCTGAAATGATGGAATCCTTCAGTTATTTGCAATTCATTTTCATGCACTATCATAATCAGCAAAATTAATAAAAGTAAACAGGTCGATTTCACTCGTCTATTAATTGCACCGATTTTTTACATGAAAAGCTTAGCATTCTATAAATTAACCTCGTAAATATCTTATGGGTACAATGCGTATATTTCTTCATTTATTTGCACACCCAGACTTCACCTCACAACTATATCCATGGAATAATCGAGCATGGACTTGAAAACAAATACTTTCTTCTCTCTGTCCATGAAGAGCAGAGTTATCTCTCCAATTCCAACTTCTAACACGAAAGGCTGCAAACCTTTAATACATCTGACCATCTCCCTTCTCTTCCTTACATTCCTTACCATTGCCAACCCTGCTTTGTATTTTTGCAACAACGTCTTGCACTTGTCATTAATATATTCGCTGTAGTTGCAAATCAACAACTGAACATAGCCAGTAATGAAGACTCCCAATCCACACAGGAATAAGAAAGCTGTCGGAATTACGGAATGCATTCGTACCACGACGTACACAAATCCCACCGAAAATATGCCAACAGTCATAATTCCGATGAACGACCCCAATTTATTTATCGTAGCAGCAATCCGATTGAAGATCGAGAAGTGTTGCATGCCAACTTGTTGTCCTAGGGATTGCACGCAGTCGAAGTACGCTTCCGCCAAGTCGACAAGACTCTTACAGAATTGGGCAGCCATGAGGGCAACAATCGCCAGGAGGATGAAACAACGGAATAAATCCATTGTGGAGATGACAAACCCGAAATAACTGGCCATAAATCCGGCTAGTTTGAGGACCGCCATAACTGGGGGTGGTAACCACGTGTGCAGCCATGGGGATTTTGAAACTATGAAGGTAGCTAGGGTTTCACTGGGACCCATTCCGAGTAGGACGAAAATCAGAACCATTGGTGGGGGGAGTATGATACCCGCCCAGACGAAAAGTCGGAGTGTGTAGTTGAGCAAGTCGGGACGACATAGGATCTTACTTTGGGCGGGGACGGCTGTAAGAAAGACGGCATAAGAAAGTTTCAAATGTCACATTTGATGGGCAAATTTGCAATTAGTTTAAGACCTAAGTATAAGCTTAATTTTGGTTGTGAATTGCATCGTGAATATAACTTACAATGGAACCTTTTTCAAGCTACACCGGGATCGACTAGCGAGTCATGTCAAAAAATCAAGCCAAAAATTAGGAGTCACGTGACCCTTCTCTTTCCGCTGAATGGCCCCTTTGAAGGAAAATATTGGTTCCATTGTTAGTGGCACGGATGGGATAAAATTATTTCAAAAATGGTGTTAAATGTTACGATGGCAATCGTAGAAATATATATTACCCCTCGATATAAAACCTAAATATTAACAAAATTAACATAACTCGCTAATGAAATATTAAAGCTATAGGAAAATATATAAAAGTCAGTTGAATATCTGAATCACGCTGTGTATAAAGTACAAAAGATCAGAAAATTATTTACCTTCTACCAATTGTTCGATGTATTGGTCCGCCCAGTTACAAATTTGTATCATGATGTCGTTGTACCCCAGAATATCCATTAAAAACAAGAAAAAATAAATCCCTTCCATTAAAATGAACCACTTGTAAGCTAGGATAGTAAGCCGATCTATCGAAATGATGACGGGATTTGACATTTTCACTAATGTCGCAAACCCCAAATATATCATTCCTCCGAATGAGAAGACAGGCGGAAATGTCGTGTGAGCAAGTTTTCCCGATTTTTTTATATGGAGATTGTTCCCATTCATGGTAACTTGCATTGGGAGTCCGTACCAGAAAAAGGGTTTCGCATTGTATAAGCGGTTAAACAATCGAACGGTTTCTGTCTGATATGTTTCATTTTGAATTTGGGTTGATAGATGAAATGAGTAAGAATTTGTGACAGCTATTTACGGTATGTATTTTATAATTAGAACTTTTTTCTTGATTTTTTTGGTATATAGGTTAAGTGGCCGACCGTCTAATTCCAAATACATTGGAAATTGACGTTGTCACCAATTTGTCAGTTGTCGACCGATTTTAAAAGTTTTGACCGTTTTCGAAACTTTGAACGCTTCTACGAAATATATATTTTCAGAATTTTGAAATACGACCACACCCCCTTGAAATGAGGGTCACAAATTAAAAAAATGTGTAAAATTCAATTTAGTCATGCAATTGAGTTTCAAAGCGCAAATTTCTGATTGCATGGCGAAAAAATAAACCGACACCCAGGTCATTCTCCACAAGGTTGAAGCGGTCACAAACCACACCCCCAGTGGGTGTGGCTCTTGGCGACTTTTCGACTTTTGTCAAAACATGGGTTGCGATCTGTCATTTTTCTCAGCACGATGAGGAGAATACGATACAATAATTAAAATTCACAAACCGCACCCCCAGTGGGTGTGGTTTTCAATAAACTTTCACTTTTAACAAAACCATGGCATGTGATATGTCATTTTTCTCAGCACGATCAGGAGATACCGATGCAATAATTAAAATTCACAAACCACACCCCCAGTGGGTGTGGTTTCAATAAATTTTCACTTTTAACGAAACCATGGCATGTGATATGTCATTTTTCTCAGCACGATCTGGAGATACCGAGGCAATAATTAAAATTCACAAACCACACCCACAGCGGGTATGGCTCTTGGCGACTTTTGTCAAAACATGGGTTGCGAGATGTCATTTTTCTCAGCTTGATGAGGAGATCCCGATGTAATAATTAAAATTGTTCATCATTTTTCAAAGACAAGTGAGGTGATCTAGACCGAAAATTTCAATATCGAAAAATAAATGTGTAAATATTTAGGCTTTCAGTGAAATTAAGTGAAATCTGGAATGAAACATATCGTTATTTTAGGTGCAAATGGATTGCCCTGACATAAGTTTTTCAAATTGTGTAGCCAACTGCCCAGAGGGGGCGGTTTTCATCCCCAAAGCGCTGTGGTCGATGCTAGGGTTGCCGCGGGTAGCGAAAACGCTACCCGTTACCCGACCCGCTACCCGCAGCACAACTACCCGTACCCGCACGGGTACCCGTGCGGGTACCCGTTACCCGCTACCCGTGCGGGTACCCGCTACCCGTTATGAGAATTAATTTAAACACTAACCAACTTTCAGAATTAATTAAATTAAACTAATTGCAAATTTGCCCATCAAATGTGACATTTGAAACTTTCTTATGCCGTCTTTCTTACAGCCGTCCCCGCCCAAAGTAAGATCCTATGTCGTCCCGACTTGCTCAACTACACACTCCGACTTTTCGTCTGGGCGGGTATCATACTCCCCCCACCAATGGTTCTGATTTTCGTCCTACTCGGAATGGGTCCCAGTGAAACCCTAGCTACCTTCATAGTTTCAAAATCCCCATGGCTGCACACGTGGTTACCACCCCCAGTTATGGCGGTCCTCAAACTAGCCGGATTTATGGCCAGTTATTTCGGGTTTGTCATCTCCACAATGGATTTATTCCGTTGTTTCATCCTCCTGGCGATTGTTGCCCTCATGGCTGCCCAATTCTGTAAGAGTCTTGTCGACTTGGCGGAAGCGTACTTCGACTGCGTGCAATCCCTAGGACAACAAGTTGGCATGCAACACTTCTCGATCTTCAATCGGATTGCTGCTACGATAAATAAATTGGGGTCGTTCATCGGAATTATGACTGTTGGCATATTTTCGGTGGGATTTGTGTACGTCGTGGTACGAATGCATTCCGTAATTCCGACAGCTTTCTTATTCCTGTGTGGATTGGGAGTCTTCATTACTGGCTATGTTCAGTTGTTGATTTGCAACTACAGCGAATATATTAATGACAAGTGCAAGACGTTGTTGCAAAAATACAAAGCAGGGTTGGCAATGGTAAGGAATGTAAGGAAGAGAAGGGAGATGGTCAGATGTATTAAAGGTTTGCAGCCTTTCGTGTTAGAAGTTGGAATTGGAGAGATAACTCTGCTCTTCATGGACAGAGAGAAGAAAGTATTTGTTTTCAAGTCCATGCTCGATTATTCCATGGATATAGTTGTGAGGTGAAGTCTGGGTGTGCAAATAAATGAAGAAATATACGCATTGTACCCATAAGATATTTACGAGGTTAATTTATAGAATGCTAAGCTTTTCATGTAAAAAATCGGTGCAATTAATAGACGAGTGAAATCGACCTGTTTACTTTTATTAATTTTGCTGATTATGATAGTGCATGAAAATGAATTGCAAATAACTGAAGGATTCCATCATTTCAGATGAATGAATGACTTTTCACTCTACATATGCTTAATAAATACATGGGGCAGATCGAAATGAAATCCGATTAAGTGAAATGAACTTGCGTGTCGAAATGGAATGGATTTGAACAAAAATTACTGAATGCGAATGAAAACCTTCAGTCAGAAATCGGGGCGACTGACTTAACATCGGTCCTTGTGACAGATAAGACAGCAGAGCACGTTCGCACGTTGTCAATAACGTGCGAAAATATATACAACGATATATGCACGTACTGACATTTTAAGTTTGCATGCACATATACGTGTTTATGTAATTTCATCAAATAACACTTTGCAACTAATCTATCAATATGCAACAAAATGCTTGCCTATATTTGTAATTTTTATTTTTTATTCATTAAAGTATTATAATAAATTTTATTTGCAGATATTCGCTAATTTGTAATTGAGCAATGCACACATATCTATGAATTGAATGTAGTAACATTAAAATTTGGTTTTTAAAAAATCAAAATTTTTTTGCGTTAAAGGAATGAACGAAATACAGCCGAAAATCCGCACAATTAACTGTATTACGAAGTGATAGCCATTTAAATAGTGTCTTCTATTTCTTCTATTTCTTACCCTTAGCATTTTTATAAAGTTGTTTAACAGTGCAGTTCACGAAATCCCGAAAAAGTGTAAGAAATCAAGCAGTAATAATTTTATGACAGTAAAACCCAGCCACCATCTAACCATGCGAGGTCAGATCCTACCACGTGTGCTGTTTCATTATCATCGCCGTCTTTCACACGTGTAATCTCACCTTCCCCCACTTCTCCCATAGGAAGATGACCTTCTTCCGCCATCGTCACACTTTCTCCCACCATCGTCACACCTTCAACCGTTTTGGTATCAAGTTTTGCCAAAATCACCCGCATCTCGTCCCTAATTTTGTCCACTTTCGTAACTAAAGAGGCCAGCACACGTTCACATTGCGAAGATTCCCCTTCCTCTGGAGATGCCTCATCTTCCTCTACGAACACTAACCGTTTCACCCTAAATTTAGCATGGTCGCCAAAGTGCCTTCTTAACGGGCAAATTTCGCTCTTCTACATTCCGATCAGATTGACATCCCTCCCTTCCTGGTTGGTCAGTTGGACAAGATGGTCCCCCACTTTTACCCTGCCGTCCCGGTCCACCACACCGCCTCGTGTGATACTCGTCACGACCAAGTTCTCGGATAAGTAAATGTCCAGTAACGGTATTCTCTTTCCCCCTTCAGACATGGCAAGGTTGATTTCTTCTTCCTCGATTTTTGCATGACCTGAATACAAATATGTACATACTTATTTAAATGTGCTACAAAAAACAGGGTTCAGCTTGTTATCACACTCGGATACATACAGATACATTAAACGTCTTATTAGATATGTATAAACATCACAGCTCATTTACCATGCAACATGCGAAACTACAGATAAGTAAATAAGTAAAAAAAAATGTGCCGTGGGTGGACTCGCAAAATATGACTTGGGAAATTGTTTAAAGTCAGAGTGTGCAAGGGCAAAAAGGCATGCCGTGCCTGAAATGCCTTTTTGCCTATTAGGCACGTGAATTTTGGGCATGCCCGATTGCCCGAAATGCCTTTTTGCCTTTTTGGTGAAATCGGGGTAATATGACAATACGATCCCATGATTTGTTAGTTGTACTCTTTTACTGTCCACCGGATTTGACCACACGTGAATCATTAAGTTCTGTTTATTAAGCCGATTTGGATAATCGTCGACACCACTAAAAAATGTATGCACATCTTGAGGTATTATTGTGCACTTTGTCATCCAACAATTGCCACTCTTGACCAATTGCCACTATATAATTTCCGCCAATTCCAACCTTCGCATTATTTATGTAGCATGTCAAACCACGAAATTACCCATAAAATAATACAACCTCAATGAAATGTAAACCAATTGTTGTCACACTTCCTTGTCCATAAGAAAATTTTTAAAATGTTTCAGGCAATACCCAATGGGAACATATGGGAAAAGGCAAAAAGGCATCAAACGGGCAAAAAGGCACGCAAAAAGGCAATTCGGCATTGAAACAGGCAAAATGGCAAAAAGGCGTGAATTTTTTCTCAAAAAGGCGCCTGTTTGCACACTCTGTTCAAAGTATGATTTCGCAAATTTCGTGAAATATAATTTGAAAATTTCGTAAACTTTACAAATTCCGTTACTACGTACATATATATGTATTCTCAATTTGCGAGACATGCGAAGTTCGGCGTGAGTATAGGGTTATTTATTTAACTAGATTTTACATGATAAGTTGTATGAAAATACCTGGGCTTTTGGGGACCTCATGTTCCTGCTGAGTTTTTGGACTTAGTTGGTTTATTTGTTGAATAGCGACATTCAGAAAGTAGCAAACCAAAAACCACACAAAAGATGCTATAACAAGGAAAGCTCCATCGTCGGGCATCTTGCGAAGATTCTAAAATGCATAAATAATTTTGTATGTAGCAACTGTACAATTAAAGTAATTAAAATTCACGAAGGTGGTGCATACATATGTACATTCTCAAGAAACGTTTAGATTTGCATGCAACGTATTATCCTTTTTAACCGAACTGTTACATTTTTTGAAGATGGGGCCATATTTATGTACATATAGCACCTTTACTCTCAACTCAAGAAGTTCACGTTCTACATATGCTTGAGTATTACATATGTATGTATGTAAATGTGTACGTTATAATGAGGGTATTCGTTCCTTCTTCGTATCCTTAGTATAGTAAAATAGGCTAAAAAAGCAAAGGCAAGCTTCGTAAAAATCGTAAGCTTACAATGCGATGGTGTGAAGTGTTACCCTCCGATTTGGTTGAACTTTTGAAATTATATGGTCCATGCCAATCTAACCAATGTTTCTTTAGGCAGTTTGTGCGATGGTCAAAATTTGCCAAAATATTTGAGGGCAAAGTTAAAAAACGGGCCATTTTTACCAGGCGGACCCCACTTCCCGTAAAATACATAGGCAAACCCCACTTCCTTTCTCTTACCGTGCTAAAAATAGCACATTTTTCAACCGTAATCCAAATATTTTGGCAAATTCTGCCTATCGCACAAACTGCCTCAAGAAACGTTGGTTGAATTGGCATGGACCACATAATTTCAAAATTTCAACCAAATCGGAGGGTTACACTTCACACCATAGTATTGTTAGTAACGTGACTTTTGACAACCATTTGCGACAAATTTGACTCTTTGTGACAAATCTTACAACGCAGTAGGGTTGCCGCGGGTAGCGAAACCGCTACCCGTTACCCGACCCGCTACCCGCAGCACAACTACCCGTACCCGCACGGGTACCCGTGCGGTTACCCGTTACCCGCTACCCGTTATGAGAATTAATTTAAACACTAACCAACTTTCAGAATTAATTAAATTTAACGAATTATTTGCTAATTTGGGATGTTCAGTAGTTTGAGATAATGCTGTGCAGGTTACGAATGCCATAATTTCCTAGATATCATTAGATGATTCTCAAACCAGACTTTTTGGCTTACAATGCAACCTTTTTCAAGCTATGCCAGGATTTCTTAGCAAATTATATAAAAAAATTAAGCCAAAACTTATGAATTATCACTGATCTTTCCGTTACATTCCCTTTAAAGAAAACTATGGGGGGGGGAGAGTTCAAAGTCCACCATCAACCATGGTCTTCGTCCAGTGGAGGCAAAAGATGCAGATCATTTACTTAAAAATTGAACTTTGGCTCCAATGTTTTTCTTTAAAGTGGACATTCAACGGAAAGTATCACACGATTCCAAACTTTTGGCTTTACTTTCTGATATTCTCGCTAGACAATCTTCGTGTATACCTTGAGAAAAGGTTAAATTTTTAGTTTGATTTTTTAAACTTTGATTTCAATGAAGTTTTCAATAAAAAATTGTCTACGAATAAAATTTTTGCTTTCAGTCGGATTGAGGTTTTCACCTTCAAAGCACAAATTAAAATCTCGTCAGTATAACATAAATAGACACTAATACAGGACAAATTATTATTGATATTTTAGGTTAATTATGCTTGAGAAACAATAATTTCTCTGCATTTTCGGGATGTGATAAGCATTTGAGGCTGCCGTAGGCTTCTGTGACCTCCGAATAAACACGCTCGCTATAAACGCCAGTTGCTGGCAAATGGCAAATAGCAAATTTTGAAATGGATAAATAATAAATTGTCACTTTTATAGGTAAATGGACTAAGTTGCTGCTAACTTTCTTTGTGAACTGATTTATGTCGAAAATTAAATAAAAACTGAACTACCCGTTACCCGTGCGGGTAGTTCTTGCTACCCGCAGATAACGGGTCCCCGCAAGAATCGTGCGGGTATGCGGGTAACGGGTACCCGACCCGTTACCCGCGGCAACCCTACAACGCAGACAAAATCTCGTAACTGTCGCAATGTATTTTACGATACGAAGAAATACATAATGAATATGTACCCTCATTATAATTTGATACTAAGCAAGTTGTAATTAAAATGAACCCCATAACATACGACAACTCGTATGCACAATTTGAAACAACGTAAGCCCATTTACAGTAGCTGAATATTTAAAAAAAAGTTGCTTAAAAAGTAAGGAAATTTGGTAAAAATTAGTGGTAAAAATTAATTTAAATAAATATGTATGACATGATTACTTACTATTTGAAAATCTGATTTGTTATATGGAAAATAGTTGAAGAAAATTGTACCTTTTTAAACAACGTTTTCCTTTTAAATTTCTAGTTTGATGTGCACAATAGAATACAAGGGCTTGCAAAAGTACGTGTGCAAAGGGCAGGGGTAGTGAAGTAAATGGATGGAATTTAAATATTTGGTGTAAACGACCCCATGACTATTTTTGGAAATGATGGCATTGGAAGAAAGGTTCATTATTTCAAAGAGACAGACAAAGGGACTGAAAACTAGAATTTGTCCATGTTGCAAACTAATAAGGGTGAATTCAGGGTACCACGAAAAATAAATAGGTATGTATGTATCGTTATGAATATACAGTCAATGGAAAAAGTATTGGCAACACCCACGCAAGCTAAATAAAATTGGTTATAACTTTGGCATGCGTTATCAAATTAGCGTGAAACTTTGAACACATTTGATAAATCTAATGTAGTGTTCGATTATAATCGTGTTTCCGATTTAAACCTAGTAAACATAACGCAATCCAAATTTTGACCCTAACTAGTCAGGTACGAACCTGCAAAAAGTATTGGCAACATGTGGCTAAATTAGTTACTAGACACAATTTTCTTAACCATCTTCCACATTTCGTTACGGTAAGGTAATTAAGTGACAAAATATAACGTTAGCGACATTTTAAGTCTACAGTTGTGTTGTCTGGAGCCAAAATGGCGGCACTAAACCAGCTGTATTTGGCGCGGCGAGAAATATTCATGCCTCTTCCATATAAATGCTTTGTTATCAAAAAATCAAAGAGAAAACATACTTTTCCATATTCACTATTGAAAACGTAGCAAAGAAATATAAAATGACGATCTCAGTTTCTACTTTTCGACGATGCGGAGGAAAAAGGTCACCTACGCCCAAAATCTACTGATGAATCAAGCAACAAATCACTCGAGATCGGAAGATTTTAGCCCCCAAATCCATGTTGAATTGCAGTACTAACTGTGGGCAAACATATCATTCAATTTGGTGTTCACTAAAAAATTATGCCTTGGGGTTTCAGGCTCCAGTAGCCCGACCGACGAGAGAGTCCCCAAAGCGAACCACCTCAATAAATTGGGATGGGCTAAATATAAGCCTCAATTGACTTCCAATGAATGAAATAAAATCTACTGGTACGACATAGGCATATTTTACTTATTCGGAGCTCATTAATTGGTTCAAGTCTGGCGGATGCCATAAAAGGCTCAGAAATACGAAAACGTTCGTATGGCAGTTTAACACATAGGAGGATCGATTATGGTTTGGGGTTAAATGACTAGGTGGCGGCGTGTTTACCTGGTCATTATCGATAAAATCATGACCAGGGAGGTCTAATTAATCATTCCAAACGATAATTTGAAATTATTTGATAAAAACCTGATCTGGGGAGGAATTTTATATTCCAAAAATGCAGTGACCCAAAACAGCTACCCCAATTAAGGATGCAAGTTTTTGGAGACCGAAAAGGTTAAGCTTCTTTCGTTGGCTGCAAAGTCTCCTGATGTCATTCTGATTATTTGGGCTGCGAAAAGAGAGACCGGTGGGAAACCACTCGATGAAAAACGAGCTTGTCAAAAGTTCGAAACAAGTGTGGCCAACCATATAAAAAAACGTTATAAAGAACCTTGTCGAATCAATTCAACGGCCTATTTATGCTCTTATTGCGTCGAGGGGAGGTGCCGCGTAACATTAGAAGCAGTGTGACGTAATAAAATTGGCGATTCTTTGATTTATGATTTTATAAGTTATAGGGTGCCAATACTTTTTGCGGGTTAATTTTACATATTTTCCAACAAATTATTTAAAAACTGTGTTTATCCAATTTTAATCAATAAAACATGATTATAATCGAAAACTACATTAGATTTGCTAATTGCGTACAAATTTTCATGCTAATTTGATAATGCATGCCAAAGTTATAGCCAATTTTATTTAGCTTGTGTGGGTGTTGCCAATACTTGTTCCATTGACTGTATGCATGCATTAGAATGCCGACTACACTTTTTAATGGTGCCCAGAACTTAAGTCTATACTCACAAAAAATTTTCCTTGTGACCCAAGGTATGAACGTATCTGCATATTTCTATGTATATACATATATGTATATAGGTATATATGTATGCAAGGGCAGATAGGAAAATACAATAACGAAAACGATACGTCGAATTTAAGTACACCGTGTCAGTATTTGTGTATAGTTTCTCGTACAATACGTATGTAATGACCAACACGATTGTACATATTCCAGTTTTTGAACGTGTTTCACTATCAGATGCACATGCATATGTACATCAATTCGAAAATCATTATCTTTTAAGTGAAATGATGCTAGCAATTCGAAGGAGGAAGCCTAAAAATGGCTGAAAGTTAGTATTGTTCAGAATATCGTATTCACCTACGTCTGGTATGTGAATAACCCAAAATTAAAGTTTTAAAACTCGATAAGAGACACGAGGCCACTGTGCATCAAATTTATACTTACATAACTGCGTACTGATGCTAGTTAATTTCCATCACTCCTTTGTTTCGACGTAAACCCCATATGTCTATATTTTTATGCGAATTTTGACACGTGTCGGGATCTTCAAACTGTGCTATTTCTTCTAAATGCTTAATAATAAAGCGTGTTCAGCTAATAATTATGTATTCCATACAAGGTTTTGCCTGCATTCATTTTACGTGTCGTTGTCAATGGCAACTTACAATCGCAACACATTTATGGAATCGTAAATCAATGACTTATTCCAGTGTCAATATTGACACACGATTAGTACTCGAGTATGTGTTGAAGTACTTTTTCTGAGCAAATATGCCTCAGCCAGTCTTAATACGTATTTTTTCATTAAATTGCCACCAATTCATTCACATGTGCAGAAATATTCACATGTTTTCAATAATCCACTTCAGTACTGACCAGCAACCTTTCACGACAAGAGAACATGACAAGAGCTCCAGCCAAATTGCGTACAAGTTCAGAGGGTAACTCCATATCGGGCGAAACAATTCGAGTCGTTGGTTTGGTAAGTTACTGTACACCACAAACTCTGCGCCCGTGAGAAACAGGTAGGGTCAAAGCAAAAAATGTCTGCGGGGTACGACGTAAAAAATCGAAACGTTTCCTGAATTTATTTAGAACACATCAAAGGACAATTTTTTCCCTGTAAAATTTTTGGATATCTCACCTTTGACCAGTTATTATCGGTAAGAGAGGTCAGATATTGAAAAAGGAACAAAAAAGATTTCTAAATTCTGGCAAAGTTTCAATTTTTTAGGTGGTACCCTACAGACCCTGTTTTTTATTCAACCCTTTGTGTTTCCCGTGGGCACAGAGTTTGTGCCTCACAGTACTAAATAAACCATGTAGAATTTTAGTTGATTTAATTTTGCGTGAAGTTTATTTACAAATTTTTGTCAATTTGGACATGCATAAATACATATTTAGATAAATATTTACTCTTATCTATTTACAGGATGACCCAAACTACTCGGATCAACTTACATTGGTCACCTTGCCGGATGGAAGTGTCGAATTTACTTCAGGATTTTCCCACGATGTCCTCCACCTCTTGGAATATGCGCTTAATTTTTCGTAATTTATTGTTCCTTACAAAATTATCACTTTTCATTATTCACTCGGAAGTTTTTTAGCCAAGGAGACTATGCATATTTTTACATTTGTGCATAAAGTTACGAGTGCAAATTAGCCTGCAAATCTTGTACAAATCCCCTGTTACTTTGCGTACGCTTAATGTACACTTAAATGATTACATATTATATATGTAGATACATACATGTATATACGGCAGAATTTTTGTTACATACCTTCCTTAAGATAACAGCATGCTAAACTAGCAGCAAATAAATTGATATATATCCATTGGTAATTATGTAATGTTGCGCTTTACATAAGTGACAATTATGTCACTTATGTGCAATTGTGCCACTTATGTAATTTCAATTATGTAAAACAATAGTTATACAACATATGTACTTATGTATGTATGTAACTATATACTTACAATTAGTAGTTATTCAAACAGACTTCTGAAATTTGGCTGACCACCATTGTAAATTTATGCATGTGAAAGTTTTTTTTATTTCGTAAAATACATAGGTATTTTTAATAGAGGAAAATTCACGCATTCATTGGTACATATCTTTGTAAAATCCATAAGTTATCCATGCCATTCACCTAAGTAAATTTAAAGATTTGTAAGCTAATGTTCCTTAGAAATATTCGGAATATTTTTAAAAGTTTACAGAGTTTGCGAATTTTCCCATGTTACTAAGGCCTCGGTGAATTTTCCTACTAATATTTTACCCAGTTACAAACATTGGAGTGAATTATCCCGAATATTTTGCAGTCATAACTGAATCCACATTTCACCATTTTTTCTTAGCCACATTGCCCTCCGAGGCGAAGGATGGCCTGACCGTCTCCCCAACGGAACTTGGACTGGTCTAGCGGGTCAAGTGGCTCATCACGAGGCTGACTTTTCCATCACAATTACTGCATTTGTGGACATCAGAGTCGCAGATTTTTTCTTTCTTACCCCAGTAACGCTGGGCAGCCTGGTCGCATCGTTTCGGCAGCCGCCAAGCTATTCTGACACTAATCTCTTGACTTCCTCACTTCACCCCGAATTGTGGATTGCGCTATTAGTTTTAGCCATTTGCGTTTTTCTATTGGTCAAGATTACCGCATGGATTGGGATGAAGTATAGTGAATTGGATAGCTATGGCGGGGACCATGATTTTAAACATGGTGACGAAGCCGGGTACTGGGTTTTGGTGACGTTCTGCCAACGAAGTTAGTCCAAATTGGAGGGAATTGGAGACAATTTGTAAATATTGTTTATTTATTTAACAGATTTCGTTGGAAGCCCGAATGCCACGCCGCTCAGAGTTATTTACATTTCGTTAACACTTACCTCCATCGTGGCATATACGGCGTTATCAGCTACGCTAATGTCAACCCTATCAATAGAAGTGGATCCTATTAAATCGTTTGCGGAATTGGTGGCGAGCAAAATTGAAGTTTATGGGGACGAATCGGCCTCTTTTACTCACAAATTTGTGCAGGTAGTGAATAATACAAAAAATATCGCTAAAAGTGCATGCTTGATTACGTAAATATTTATGGACACGATGACATTTCAACTGTCCCATTGGATGGTACATTCATTCCCATTTGGTCAACCAATTTCTCGGACATTCAATTCGGCATATAAATAAATAAACAAATGTCTCAGGTGCGAGTAACAATTAGCAAGAAACTATATATGTATATAGTTCACCGGCATAGTTCATTGGGTGCGTTGCTAGATGTCGGACATTTCTTCCAATTTTTCGCAGTTTTTTGTACCTTGCAGTTCTTGCGTTGCAGAGCAAGAAATGTAGCAAACCCAAGAAAGACACAAAGCACTGTAAAAAACCACAAGTGTTTGAGTCAATTTCCCCCAATATAAAATTATGTCTCATGTATGTCTGAAACAGGACATTGTCGACCGCCGCCGCCAAAGTAAAGGATACGCCGAAAACACCGGGGGCAACCTGAGTTCGTCCCGATTCCTCGACTTGAACACCGGCTTACAGAGGACGTTGTCCGAACCCGCGGCATACGTAACGTTTGACGGCGCACCAATCGTCAATTACCGCGCGATGGGGCTAAGTGATGATTTCGTATGCAATAAAATTCGCGTCATCAAAATTCCTGGGAGTACTATTTCAGCCGGGATGTTTGTTCGGAAAGGATCCATTTTGCGGGAGATTTTTAATCCATGGTACATACACAATCACACTTAATGAGCGTACTCATGATAGCGTCTAATTTCGCATCGTAAATCACTGAGCAAACATGCGAAGCGCAAAAAATTTGTGACGTTACGGAATTCGCAAATTTCGCAAATCTGAAAAAACGGTTCTGCTAACCTATTTTAATTTGGCTTCCATGGATTATTTGCAAGTTCTACGGCACTTACAGACTTTTACAGAGAGGTTGAGTTTGCGAAATAAAAACATGCCCAAATTTGCAAAAAAAATCCTATGGTTGCCTAGAAAATGTTGTGTGAAATCTCACAAATTTTTACAACTTGCCAAATTATGTTGCTATACTCAATTGCGAGAGATGTGAACGTTGACGTGAGTACAGTAAATACTAATTTTTTTTTCAATTCGACCTTATTTTTCCCACCAAGCAGGATTGTCACCTTTTACGAGTACGGATTCATAAAAAGGCTTGAGAAAAAATGGTCGTCCACGGCGGAGAGAAAATGTCCCAAAAAATTTAAACAGCACTCCACCCAAGCCATGGACATTGGCGATGTGCACACCCCAATTTCCGTGTTACTCGGTGGCTTCGTATTTTCCATGGTTTTGTTGGCAATAGAGTTTAATTATAATTTGCTTCCGCTTGGGAGGGACGTTCGTCGTGTGTCGAGGGAGTGGAGCAGCTTTTTAAAAACTTTCATTAGCAAGGAGAATGGGTTTAAGAGTCGAGTTCAACGTGACTTTTAATCCGCGAGTGTTAGAATTGCTAGGTTATTCTTACAAGTTAATATTGTTATACGAACGAGTCAATAAATCTGATCAGCAGAAGTGACGATGTGTAGTTGGCCAAAAATGAATGTGAATATGAAATGTCTATCGTGAAGGTCTCAAATATTGGCAGACTGTTGTCTTACATATTTTGGCAGAACATAGCTTCCATAGATAAATACTTCATTGGGATATTTATAACCCAATTTTTAGAAATATGAACTGGTGGGCGTTTATCCATTTACATATGGAAATAATTTATATAGGATTTCATATTGTTGATTTATGTACATATTTAGTAACAAGTGTAATAATAAAAACTGGCAAAATTAAAGTAAATAAACAAACTGTTGTACACATATAACTTATGAAGGAAAAAATGTCTGAAAAAGTGTTTTTGATTATTATTCTGAGAATTTTGATATATGACGACTAAAAATGTTCACAATGTTTACGGACCATATAATGAAATAAATGTACCAAATAAGTATGTAATCCAAAATAAGTGATAATGGTATTGGCATTGTTTACCATTAGACAACATTAGCCAAAATATGCGGTTTATAGATGAATGATGATGACAAGTTTAATTTTTTAGTCAACTGTGAAAATTCAATTTTGATATGTATTTGACCAACATTTGAATAGTATCCACTTATTTATTTTCCATAATACACACAAGAATAAATAATGAAAACAACCATATGTATGACAACTCTGAAATGTTTCAAACTTACAAAAATACTAGGGAGGGATAAGCAAATCCATGCATATTTTCTTTGTAAACATTGAGTCAAATTTAGGTCTAAATTTAACTCCTCATACATATGTAATTTCGAATAGTTCATTATTTCTACTCGAATATTTTGCTTAACAATTAAATTAAATACGATGCTTCCTACTAAGATTAATATTTGCGAAATATGCGCTGAAATATTATTGATAATTCTACAACTGCATACATGCATACGTATGTAAATAGCTAGATATTTGTGGTTTCTGTGAGAACCACTATTTACTCGTCGCACGTGATGATATCCCATAGCTCACTCAGCTCAGAGTCGGAATCGTGATGGATTTCTTGAAGATCCTCAGGCTGATCAAGGGTCACATCCTCCCCTTCCTCTTTACAGACCTCATACGCTTCCTCCTTCTCCGCCTCACAGGCCTTAAGGACCTCACTGTCCCCCTCCAACCCCGAGGACACATTATCGCTCTCAGATTTAGGGGTCAAGTCATTATGATTCGATTCAGAGGTCAGGTCAGTATCATTCAATTCAGGGGTCACGTCAGAATCATCTGATTCAGAGGTCAGGTCAGTATCATCCGAATTCGATTCAGAGGTCAAGTCAGTATAATCCGATTCAATGGTAGCATCATCCTGTTTCTCGCTTTGTTCCCTTACTTTCTTACCAAGGTCCGCCTTATTTTCGCGTTTACCCTTCGACATGATCTCCACCGTCACGCCGTCGGCTGCCTTGATGTACGTTTCCACTCGATCCCTTGGCGCCTCCTTGGTTACCAACCGTCTCACCAGAAACTTGACCCTTCTCCCCGCCTTCATTATATTGACGGCCATCCATTTCTCCATTCCGATCAGGTTGACGTCCTTCCCCGCTGGTGTGGTCACTTGGATAATGCGGTCTCCGATTTTCAACCGGCCGTCCCGCTCCGCCACGCCGGGATGGAGGCGCGTCACGATAAGGTCGTCAGATAGGGAGATAGCGAGACCCAGTCGCGTGGTCCACCTACTTCCAGGGGATCTGAGCAGCTCGATTTGTTCCTCTTGGATGATTGAGCGGCCTGAATAATATGGTTAAGTTTAGTTTAGCGGGCACACTTAAAAATAATGTTACCCGTTTTGAAAGTAAATGCACGCTAAATAAATTTAACTAAATTTAGAGTAATGTTAAGTTGGCTAAGAATAAGGTTACTATGGAATTAGTATGTAGAAGTATGTAGTTTACTAAATATACAAGTGCGTGTGTAAGTGCAAACGTGGTTGCCGGGGGATGAAAACATGAAACCGTGAGGAACCTTTGCGGTTTGGGGACCTTTTTTGGCCATAGTTTTCCGGGATTTTCTTTTCCCAAGTTTCCCCGGACAAAGACACAAATCGAAGAATTTAGGATGTCCTCTCCATTCACATAAAGTTGAACTTTTACAGAAATTGAGAATTCTGTCTGAGAAACTACGGCACTGTCAGTCTCCAAGTCTCAGCATAATTTAAGGGTATTTAAGACTCACAGTGTCGTAGTTTTGCAGTATTCTCAATTTCTGTAAAAGTTCAAGTGTGTGCGAATAGAGAGTAATTATTTTTTCCATAAAGTACCGTTATTTTCAAGAGTATGTGAATAAAGTATAAATTAATTGAACTCAATGGTTTCTATGTAAATGTTTAAGTCAATGTTAAGTATGTTTACCTGCTTTTGAAATGAAAACACCCTTATTTTTCTTCTTTTTGCCGTCTTTTGAAATTTGCCAGATTAACCAGCACCCCCAAAGGATAAGAGTAAAATACGTCGCGACCACGAAAATTAGACCCAAAATGTCCATTCTATTAGAAGTTCTGAAATAATTTAAAACACGGAAATTATGAAATAACGCTGAATTATGTACAAGATATTTACATAATCACGAAGCTACACTCTTAGTTAGAAATTTCGTGTAGTCAGGCAAGGACTGATTTCTCGGTATTAAAGTTTCCACCACTTGGTCTTGGTATCAAAATTATACGGGTCCGTAAAAATGTGCTACCTTTATGGTGATGCTTTAATACCGAGCTATTTTATTCATTACTTATCAATGCCACGTTGACAGAGTCATAAATGAAATTCACTTGGCATTATGTTAATACTGGATTTCTAAGAGTGTACATACTTATTCTGTAATTGTAGATTTATATCTGACCAAAATTCTACACTTAAATATAAAAATCTTTGTTTAATCTTTAATAACTCCATAATGACACGAAATTGGATACTCAATTATGCAAAATTAAGGTGATTTGATTATCAAAATAGGACACAATTGATAACATGTTTAATATTAAAGTAATTTTTACCTTCGAATTGTTTCAGATAAGTCAAAACTTGTAAAGTTCACAGATTCGTATAGCCTTGAAAATTTTTTCTTTGTCGCGGAGCACAAGCAGCGGAAGGGGGCTTGTGCAATGGGTCAGGGTCGAACAGTGACTGGAACCAAAGTGATTGAAGGACACTAGGTTAAATAAAGGGACGTGAAGTATATGTTGGAAAAGGTAGCCTGCAATGAAGGGCCCCGTAGGGTGAAGCATTTAGCATGTATTTTCATGCATACTTAAATAGATTAGAAAGCGGCGATCTCTTTGTTCTGGGTTGTAGAGTGAGGTTGATATGTACCTTCAGCCGATAAGGGACCTTGCATAATGGGTGTGAAATCTGAAATTTTAGGAAAATTTTCCACTACGCATTCGGACCATGCATGTAAATAAATATATACATGTATGTAGGGTTGCCCCGGGTAGTGACACTACCCGGTACCCGGCTACCCGGAACTCGGCCTAAAATTTCGCCGGGTACCCGGCTACCCGGTAATCTTTATATATAAAAAATAACGGGAATTATTCTACTTTTCTGTAGAATTTGCAACAATTTTACAAGTTTTAAAAAATTGCAAGTTAAAAACATGCAGGACAGACTACATTTATCCCGAATAAGGGACAAAGTCCCATTCTAAATTTGTGTCCGAGTTGACCGGACCATCACCCCTTGTGGAGTGGCTGGTCGAATTTTTTGAAAATATTTCCTGGTATGTACTTGCCACCCAATTTTTAATGTTTTTACTAATCCTTCTCCTTGACTGAAACTGCCAGGACACGTGAGGTTAGCGTCTTTAAAATCTTGGACTTGTCAAGTTATATCCGTTAAGCATAAGTAATTTTTGACCTCCATATCCAACTTAATATAAAAGTAATATTTGCAAAAAAAACTCTCTATGGGCCATAAATAGATGAAAAAATTATGTGGGACATACATAAAGCGTACATACTCACGACTATGTCTTATTTATCATTGCCACTAATTTAGCAAACTTGTGAAGCTCAAAAAATTTGCGCAAAGTATCCCTTCGAAAGTCTCGCAGCTTTATTAAAGATGCCTATTTTGATCTAGTTTTCATGGATTTTTGCGTGTCTCTCGCTGATAATCGGGAGGAACAGTTTGAGAAATTATAACGTACGCAATTGCTGGATAAATTTGCAAAACCAATTGTTTTCTAGCAAAAGTTTTGAGTAATGTCTCAAGTTTCGCAAAACACCGCAAGTTATATTGTGATGCTTCATGTGCGAGATATGCAAGGGTTGACGTGAGTGCATTTTAAAATCTGGATAATAATTTCCACCTAAGAATTGGCCTAGGTTTTACGCATTCTTTCAAAATATAGTGTTTTATGCCAAGCACAAAAATGAAATCCATCGTATTCTAAATTTTTTACAAGTTTTACAAAGAAATTGAACATTTAAATTACCCGGCCGGGTAGACCGGGTAGTTAAGTGTACCCGGCCGGGTACCGGGTATCCCAAAACAGGCCGGGTATGCCGGGTACCGGGTAACTACCCTTTACCCGGGGCAACCCTACATGTATGTAAATACGTAAATACATAGTCTTACCATAAGAAGTGATAGTAGAGCGTAGTTTTTGAACGGGTCAACATAAAATTAAAAGGTCAGTTGTGGTTTGTGCATACATTCAGTGCCTATCATTGGTGTTGACCGCTTTTACTTGACATCACTAGGTCAAAAGTAGGAGAAGCTTAGCTACACGCGCGCGGCAATAATTTTTCACTTTTTGCACGAGAAAAAAATGCACGATGTTTGTTGCAGTGTAGCAGTCTAAGTAAGTACAACTACGATCTGGACGCCCAAACTATTAAAGTAATCCTAGAGACAGTGTCTATCTTTGGTATAAAGGTTTCAGTGGTCCAAGGTCAAGGAGGACAACAGTGATGTCCGAAGCTTTGAACGCCAGAATAGCACAAAATCTCCGTCTGACACCGAATAGTTTCGCCATAGAAATGACCTTTCAACTTTAGAGATCAGATTAGCACTGAAAAGTGACCCTAAGATGAAGGTCTTTTAGATTAGAAAGCGTCACATGCTACAGATTTCCCAAGCCTAAGCAAGGGTTAAAAAATCGACCTCTCTCCCCAAACGGTACGGTGAAAAAACCAAAAAAACTAACCGTTTACCGATGATAATTTCTTTAGGACAGAAACATATTTCAACAAAAAACTAACACATTTTATGTCAAATATGCTAAGGGTTAGCTGATTACAAAATAAAGGTCAAAATGTTATCTTATCAGGTTCCATTCATGGTTTTGGTGGGAATCGGGGGAATTGAGCAAAAACAGCCCAATTTCCTTGATTAAGGAGAGGAGATAGTTTAAAAAAATATTTGATAAACGTTCTGATGAAGATGGAGCACCCCCAGAACTAGTCCATATCGGATGAAAACCCACCGACCTTTGTGAAGGCGTCTACAGTAGCATTTACAGCGAAATTCGTGAAAAACTGGATTAAAATCAATATTTCTGACTTCATTTGCACTTTAGGTTTAACGTTGGAATTTTCGAACCGCAGACAACTTCACCACCTAATATTGATTAAAATTGAGGAAAGGGTCTGTTCTGAGCCCCATATAAGTGTCAAGGTCACAAAAAAATTTCTGACCCGGGAATGACACAGTTTGTCAATTAATTTCGTGCGTATTTTTGATGGAGCTTTCTCTTTCGTGACCAATTGTTCATGGTCACAGGAGGAATATATTTTCAAGTTTAATACATGTTTTCTACTTGAAATTTAACTGGCTTTTCAATGGAATAAGAATAAATTTGAAATTCCTTAAAACTAAGCTAATATAGTCATCTACTCTACTATCACTTTTTAAGTTGAGACTATGTATATTCACTATTTATAATTAAGATTAGAAAGACGAAATTAGAGAGACAGGACATCACACCCCTTATTTATAAAGAACGTCCGGGAATGAATGGGAATGCGCGCTCTAGCGAGTATATTGACAAATCAATAAACCCGCGAACTATAATAATTTAAATTTCTGAAAGCCCACTTCATTAGGGTCAATTTGGTATATCACTCTTAAATTTCAAAAATGGATAAGGGTAGAAGAAGCTTGTTTGAAAGGGAGCTGTTAGCAAAACGAGTGATGGAGTTCTACAACACGACAGCCAACCGAGACTCCAAGGTGACCTGGAACTTTTTTAAGCAGGAAGGAATTCCAAGTTCAAATGTGTATTCCTACATAAAAAAGTTCAAGGATTCCGAAAATGTGCAATTCAAGAAGCCAGCTGGTCGTCCGGCGAAGCTAGCGACCACTCGAGTGAAAAATAGAATTGAAAAAATTTTCAAAACCAAGCCATCAACGTCAGTAGCTGTAGCTGCCAGGAAAGTCAAAATTTCCAAAAGCTACCTGGGGGAAATTAAGGTCCATAAATTAGGAATCAAAGCAAGGACCAAAAAACCTGCACCAAATTACAAGCCCGTACAAGAAAGTCGGATCAAGGATTGCTGTCAAAAATTGTTGAAGAAAATGCGTGGAAAAGTAGTGATCCTGGATGACGAAACGTATGTTCCGGTTGACCCTTCAAATCTTCCAGGGCGTCATTTTTTTCATAGCTCGGATCCCTCTGAAGTGGCTTATGAAGAAAAAGTACGAAAAAAAGACAAATTTCCAAAGAAATATTGCATTTGGCAATGCATCTCCAGTCACGGACATGTATCAGACCCGGTAGTTCTCGAAGGGAATATCAATCAAGATATTTATCTGAAAAATTGCGTCAAGGCTGGATTGGAAGCATTTATTAATAGGTTTCACAAAAATGATAAAGTTTTGTTTTGGCCTGACCTCGCCACTTGTCACTATGCAAAGAAAGTGACCGAGTACCTCAGAAAGAAAAATATTGATTTCGTACCAAAAGATATCAACCCACCTAATGTACCCCAACTCCGCCCAATCGAAAAATTCTGGGCACGTTCTAAGTCAGTATACTCCCGGCTTCAAGATGTGCCTGACACCTTTCGAAAATTCAAAGGACGATGGAAGAAAATCACCTCGGAAGTGGCAAAAACTTTAATGAAAAATCTTCGCAAGAAAATCGAACTAGTCGCCAACGGGGGTGTGGCGGCCTTAGCTATTAATTAAATTATGTAGGTACGTATTTGGTATTATACATATGCAAAAAGTTTAAAATTCCGATAACTCATTGTGATTTTATGACCACATTTTCAGACCATTCCCGGACGTTCTTTAAGTCGAGAGGGAGAAGGGGGGTCTAAGGCTCCAATGATATCGTTCCAATGTGACACATGCTAAAGGTGGGGTCACTAGAAAATCGCGATTTTTGCATTAAATAATTTATGAAGGGCCCCTATGCATTTACATTCACAATATTTTTGTATGCATTGGGACCGTACAAATAATGACAGGATTTAGGATAGATGATTTGCAAGATAGAATGGATAATCCTATGTATGGAATTTGGGGACAAAATTCTACTTAATTGGGTCACATTCTTATTGTACTTATTTACATAGACATGATTTTCTTCTCCATACATATATTTGATATTTGAATATGTATATGTGTATTTACCTATTTGTGCATAATATATCCACAAATACTAAACACATTTAACGTGTTTATCCATCCACACAAGAGCAGGGGAAAGGGTCATTGGCCCACTCTTTACATACATTCGCTTAGCCCTTAATGTTCAAATATACACATGCACATACCAACAATCCTACAGTTTGTACATAAATAAATACACACTTCCACGAATTCAAAAAGAATTTTGACCAGTGAATCCACACAAATATTTCGATATTAATGTAAAAGAATTGACAACAATTTTTCAACTGGTTAAATATGTATTTCTCTTTGCATTGTGATACATATTTATTGCTGCCATGAAGTAGTACATGTTTAACATGTAAATGCATACAAGTAAGTATGTACATGTCACGTGTCACACATATTTTTAGTATGGGTGCAAAACCCACGTGTTGCATGACAAATTCCCTGCGAAGAATTAACACCGATCATTTATATGACACAATTTATCGAGAACCCTTAAACTACCTGAACTTACTCGTAATTTGAATTTTGCCTAGATTTATTTAAATGTCAAATGTATATATTTCAAAATATATATTAATTAATGCATTAAACAGTTTCTCTCAATTAATTAATTATTCTCTTTCTTGCTCTTCCGTGTGTTCGCCACGTGCAAAATTTTTCTCTTCAAATTACTCGGCAATTGTTCCATTGGCGTCTCGATTTCCAATTTCTGTCCAAAATACTCCGATTCTGTAGTCCATTTTCTCGTCGCCAGCATGGCCTTCCAGAGTAGTCGCTGTGGCAACAATTTTTGCGCACCACGTGACAGGACGAGGCTCTCGAGCAGGATTATTTCCTCCAATTGTGACAGCAAGACTTTGTTCTCACTCTCCGATTCGAGTGCCTGCATTTATGTAAAGAATTTTCAAGAAATTTCACACCCTTCAAAAATTAAGTAAATTTTGTAATGTCACCCCATTTGTCCTCCCCATTTGGCGCAAGGGGGTGTAGTTGAGGCAAAATGAGATTTTTCGTGCAATTTAATTTAAGATAAACTTAAGTGAAATTGAGTGTTTTCACGATGTCGTGGGAGTGATTGGGATGAAATAGTCTGAAGCTACTTCCTTATATGCGTTTACGACAGTTTATTTAAATAAGTAGTTGAAAAATTGCGTGTCCCCTGTGAAAGAAGTTGACAATGCAAATAAGGTAGTGCACACATGATTTTATAAAAAACTTAAATTTTTGTATTGCCACGGATTTTTATTACCACGTTTTTTTAGAAAATTTAACAGATATGTAAGCCCCTGCTTGCATGGATCCCCCGATACCTTCATGATATTATTCATGCACATATCTAATTAATTAGTTTTATGGATTTACCTCAAGTGTAATTCATACATGAAAAATACGAATATGTAAGACAACTGAAGGTGTAGACCTCCCAGAAAATAGGACAGTTGCTAGGTATAAATAAATAAGTATGTACAATGTACTTTAACATTTCTCGCATTTTTACATACAAACATGCCAGAAATCTTATACAGATAGTCTGTATACATACATAAATGTATACACATATACATAAATACGTGGAAAGCAATCCCTTTGTCTCCATAAATGTACATAACCTCAGAAACTTTAAAGTACCCAATATTATGCTAAAGCTTATTCAAACTTAATAAATATGAATGTACATACATACATATATATTAAAAGTTATTCCGTAAATATAATTTCTATACTAAAACTGTCTTCTCATCCTGCATTCCGAAGATGTATTTACATTATTGCGTGGTTACAAGTTATAAAATAAATATCTCAACAAAAGCCCGACGTGTACATAAAGTCATACAAAGAATAATATTTGTATGCTGGTCTGAATATATTTTTTAGGAGGAGAAGGAGCGAGCTGAGGAGGGGAGGTTGTGTACTATCAACTCACGGATCTCGATGCCCTTTGGATATGTTGTAGTGTCCCATGAATGTACAAGAACCCTGAAGTGGTTTGATTCCATAGCCACATTTTCGCCCGCCACACCCACTCAAAGGTGCCCAAAAATCGCTTTCACTCCAGCTTTCACTCATTAAAAACCACGTCAAAAATCCAATTTTACTTCGATTTTCAAATTTCTTTCACCATTATACTCCCAGATAGTTGCTTTTTTATTTCCAACATCAAACTCAACTTTTTGAAATTCTTAGTATTTTTAAAATTTAAAATTCTTAATGAGCATTGTTGTAGTAATCAACAAAACAAATTATGCCTGCGAAGTAATAATCAAAAAAGTTGAGTATGATGTTGGAAACAAGAAAGCAACTATCTGGGAGTATAATGGTGAAAGAAATTTCAAAATCGGAGTAAAATTGGATTTTTGACGTGGTTTTTAATGAGTGAAAGCTGGAGTGAAAGCGATTTTTGGGCACCTTTGAGTGGGTGTGGCGGGCGAAAATGTGGCTATGGAATCAAACCACTTCAGGGTTCTTGTACATTCATGGGACACTACAACATATCCAAAGGGCATCGAGATCCGTGAGTTGATAGTACACAACCTCCCCTCCTGAGTGAATTTTGTTAGGGAAACGAGTTCATGTCAGCTCTCGATCCAAATGTGGTTTGAGAAATGGAATGCACGAAGGAGAAACTCTGCAGAAGGTTTCCGTCTCATTTTCTCTAATGCAAAATGAATAAATCTCACAAAGGGACGCTTTTTGTTTCTGAATATTTGTCATACGCATGAAAAACAAGTGTGAAATTGTCAATTATGCTATCAGAGATTATCCATTAGGTATATGCAAATAAATATGAAAATGAAATTTGTCCATCAAGTTTTAACAACACACCTCTCATCTGACACGAGAACCCTAAAACTAACTTAATTGACCCATGATTTGAATTTTTCTTGGATTTATTTAAGTGTGTATAATTCAAAATATCATATTAATTACATATTAGATATATATTTTTATATTATTTTAGTTTTATGTACATACTTTACACCACTCGAATTAATTATCTCTCGATTAATTAATTATTCTCTTTCTTGCTTTTCCGTATATTCGCCACGTGCAAAATTTTTATTTTCAAATTGCTCGGCAATTGTTCCATTGGCGTCTCGATTTCCAATTTCTGTCCAAAATACTCCGATTCTGTAGTCCATTTTCTCGTCGCCAGCATGGCCTTCCAGAGTAGTCGCTGTGGCAACAATTTTTGCGCACCACGTGACAGGACGAGTCTCTCGAGCAGGATTATTTCTTCCAGTTGGGACAGCAACACTTTGTTCTCACTCTCAGATTCGAGTGCCTGCGTTTATGTAAAGAATTTTCAAGAAATTTCAGAAATTTAAAAAATTAAATGAATTTTAAATGAGTTTTATTTATAATCCCACCTGGACATCACTTATCGTAAATCCGAGCAGCAAATTGAACATGACGATGGGCACGGTGACCACGAACAGGGCCATCATCAGGATAGAAAACGTCCTAAACGGTGACTGAGGGTCCGATCCGTAGAACAAGTCGTTAAAATTAATCTCGCCCAACATCATGACTAACATTTTGACGAAATTCCAGTGCAATTCTGGAAAATTCTTGTCCTAGATAAAACAATTTGTTGGTTCTGATTCCGATAACGAATGATCTTAAAACCCAAAATAAATATGTAGTTTGTCATTCCAATTTTGGCTACACTTTTAGAAATCCAGTATTAAAGTAATACCAAGTGGGACTCGTACATACATGTAAAATGTGTACACACATATGTGGTGTTGATACATAGCTCGGTATTAAAGTTTTACCGTATCGGTAGTACAATTTGACGGACCGGTATAAATTTAATACCAAGCGGTAGCAACTTCAATACCGAGAAATCAATACCTACCTGACTACACCAGATTTCTAATAGTCTACCAGAGTAGAAATTCTCAACTCACCCCTCGCAGCATGAGACTAATGGCAATAGTGAATCCCACAAAAAGTGGGGTGAACGCAATCATTAACCGGATCAAATTTTTAGTGGCCTATAAAATGTAGCAGATTAATAATTATTTGAAATGTGTGTACATGCATACCTTTGATTATAAAGAAACCAGCAAATAATTATGTTTGTACATACCGTGAAAAAAACATCGGCATAAATCCCAATCACGGGAACGTTTCGTAACTCCCACATTCCCAGGAAGGATGCGAAGATTATGTTAATCTAAAATTTTGCAAATGAGACATATGTATGTACATAATTGTGGATATAATCCTGGACAAAAATTTTGTGAAACAATCTAAATTCATTATATAAATTGTGTTGAACATGGAAAAATGAACGGTGCTCTGCAACCCAAGAAACTGTATAAACTTTGTCAAATTCTGAATCTGACTAATTTGAAATTTGATATATTTCTAACAGTCAATTCACGCAGTCCTTGGTAACTCTGTAAAATCTATAGACTCGTAAACTTACAAGCATTGTCGAGGGAAATTAACATACAATTTTTGTTAAAACTTATTCAGATCAAGATCAAGGATATTTTTTCATTGTGTAAAAAGTTGTAAATATATGTTACAAGATTTTCGAATTTTACAAAGTTACCAGTGCCTTCGTGACTTATTTCTTTTTTTTGCATTTGGGTCCGAAAATCAAGACACGCTCTTGATCCTTTTCCACTCATTTTGAATCCAGCGTAATTTTGAGATACAATACGTAAAATTCGACTAAATTTCCCGTATAACAAACACCCGAGTAAACAAAACTAATAATTACCGCTGTGGCGACGTAACTCCACTCCTGTACCCCATTAACACACACGAGGATGATCACCGTGCAGGTAAAAACGCTAAAAACGAGGTGGATCACGACATAAAAATCCAACGCTTTTTTGATCCCGATCGACAAAATTGAGACGACGATTCTTCCCGTGGAGAGCAAACTTGTCATGGATATGATCAAAATGGCACAAAAGAGCTGAACAAAATTGAGGTTTTGTTCGCCTGAAAGTAAATAAATTCAGTTTAAATTCAAATTAAATCTCTTATGTACAACAGTACAAAAATCTAATTGAATTAATAAATTTACTGGTGGTTGGCTTTCCCTCGTATGGAAATTGAATCCAAAATACATCGATGACAAAATACAGGTACAAAACTATCCAGAAAATCTGTAAAATTACACATTTTCTTTAACTTTACAATTTTGCAAAGTTAAATCAATATTAGACCAATTTTTGGTGACAGTTTCTAATGAAGCCATTCACACAGTCATAGGTAGCTTATACACTCATAAATACATAACTTGTACATATTTACATGCAATGCAATTATGCGAGATTTTGCACAGTTTGCAAACGTACCAGTAAATTTTCGCACTATATGTATATGTAAATACGATTAACATATTGTACAACCTTAATGAAGAGGCCGATCCAAAACATTGGTCGCAACAGTTTCCACTTTTCCATGATGAAAACCCTCAAAAGTGGGCATTGCAGCATGTTTGCTGTCTCGGATTCCTTCACAAATGGAGAATCCATCATTATCGCGAGCAAATCCGTCTCTCTCACAAAATGATCTGGGAATTGGTCATCCTCATAAACATTTTCGTTAAACCCGGTTATTGGTCTGGAAAAAATTAATAAAATTTATTTTTGGCCAATTTCAGCGCAAAAATAATCAATTAAATGCTAACCCGATATGAGCCGTAAATGTCTCATCGTTTGCCTCATAGTTTTTATTGTCAAAGTTAATATATTCCTCCATCACGGGTAGTAACGCTTCGGGAACTTTGTGATATATTTTCTCCATCAAATCTCTGTCCATCCTGTACATATTAGCATAAATGAAGAGACAAATTGGCATTCATGTCACTGATGAACATTGGGTAGCATGCCACCCAATCAGTAATTTGGCGGGCACTAAAGCAGCCGAATTTCGTGCAGCTTAGTCGCCTATTTTTTTCCAGTTCATGGCAAATTTTTCAAAAAATATTTTCTTAACTCACCAGATGCTTGGCGCATAGTACGGCGCATTCTGTATAAAAGCTTTCGACAATGGCGCAGAATCTCGTCGGATCGAAATATCCAGCGCGGTTTCTCCATTGGCATCCTTCATCTCGAAAAATTGTTGTTTCGCACCTTCCCCAAAAGATGGGCGGATTTTCCCCTTCTTATCCAGTAGAACTTCCACGCACTCCCCGGTTCCCGCATTCCAACCCAAATTCGCCAGAATGTGCAGAGTCGTACGCTTCTCGGCAGAGTCGTCCACGGCAAGAACGTCCGTTTCGTCGCGTTCCATTAGAGCCTTTAACACATTAGGAGACAGGTCATACGCCGCCATGTGGATCGCACTTCGCCCCAACCATTTCGGTTCGCGCTCAGACTTTAAATTTAGCTCTTCCTTTGTCATTGCTTTTATAAGGTTACGAACACAGTCGACGTTTTCGACGTCTTCGTCATAACCTAAAAATCACGTTAAATATTAATTTTTGCCTCTTCAAAATGAGGCAATTCACGCAGGCCTTGGTAAAATTGTAGAATCCGTAAATTCAATAAACTTACCAACCTTTACAAAATTTTGCAAATATTTCTGAGGAAAATTAGCTTACAACTATTTCTAAACTTGCTCAGATCAAGGGCGTACTTTTATTTGGTAAAGTTTTGTAAAATTATGTATTTTACAAATTTACGGATTTTTCAAAGTTACCAAGGAATACGTGATTTGTCTCAATATGTTTTATGGATACTTATTAATTTACAGTTATCTATGGCGTGATGTAAAATTGGTCGCCTGAATGGTCCAGATTTTTTGTCATAAATTTCCGGGCATGGACTACACCCATTGTCAAGCAAAAGTTGGACAAGTCGCGGATTCCATCCCATGGTGACAGCCACTTCGAGTGATGTTCTGCCCTCGTTGTCTGCAATGTCCTTGAACGGCATAGCGTCCATCAATTGTTTCGCACAGGTTAATGGATTTGCCCTGAATTTGTTAAATGATTTGTGTGTTAAACGTTTCAAAAACGGTGGTTGATTTCAATTTGCAATTCAAGAATTTTTTGAGAATAATTTCCTTAAAAATGAATTCACTATTGTTTTTCAAATCGAGCGTTGCACTACCAAAAATTAGCTTTTCATTAAAGTATGAAAGTGCTATTTGTCTCAGAACTCAAGAAAATTTGTATGTACCATTTCAGAAATTCTCAAGACATTGAATTATTACCATAAAAATAACTTTTGAAGGGGGAGGCACTCTCCTTACGTGAAATGCCCTGCTGTGATATTCGCCCCAAATTTTGATATGTTGTGCATCTCGAGATGCTGAACAAAAAATGTATTGGTCCCTAAGCCCTAAGTGACCTAGTTCAACCGGAAATAGAGGTCAAAGGTCAGTGCAGTTTTCCGCTCGAAACCCCGTAAACCGCATATTTTTGGAAAGCTACTGACCTCACGAGTCCGAATATACATCATAATAGGTTCAGAGGTCAACCCTTAATTTTCGAGGTCAAGTATTTTGGGGGTAAGGTGACCTTCTGCGGACCTTACGGACTTCCGCAGCACTCTAGTCAGCCGAGTTGCATGACAATAAGTTGAGTCGACGACTCTATCGCTGTAGTGAGTATGTGCAACTGTGTTGCAACAGCAACACACATTTGCAACTTTGTTTCTTGACCCCAAAAGGTCAAGGGTTGACCTTTGACCCTATTATGGTGTTTATTCAAACTCGTGAGATCCGTAGCTTTCCAAAAATATACGGTTTGTGGGGCTTCGAGCGGAAAACTGCACTGACCTTTGACCTCTATTTCCGGTCGAACCAGGTCACTTAGGGCTTAGGGACCAATACATTTTTGTTCAGCATCTCGAGATGTACAACATATCAAAATTTGGGGCGAATATCACGGCGGGGAATTTCACGTAAGGAGAGTGCCTCCTCCTTTGACTTACTTTTGACGAAGCTTTTCGTCCGCCTCGGCTCGAGCTATAAAAAAAGATTTGCATTCAAATTTCTAACCATCGGAATATCAGTAATTAGTTAAATTGATTAGCATAATTACCCATTGATACCACATGTAGTGGGGTCGCCCCATCGCCATCCTGCATTGATGGGTCTGCTCCCCAAAGTAGCAATAGTTCTATTACGCCATGTAAGTTCAAACTTGCCGCGTAATGTAGCGCAGTCTTGTGGTCGCTATCTTGCTTATTGACGCAAGTTTTTAGCGCCGGACTCGACTTCATAAATGTGCTAACGAACCAAGAAATTACTTCTTCCATTCGTTTGATAACTTGGACATTGTCGGCTAGAGGGAAAGAAATATTTTAATAATTTCATAACTCAAACAAATTGTTAGCTGGTGGTGACTAAAGGTAAATCAGACAATAATTTGTCGTAATTTACGAAAAGCCAGTGACACTTAAACACTTTCGCAAAATTCAAATTTGCAACTAATCCAAGGTAAAATAAAATATACCGAGCATAAGATAGGTAGATAAATTCGGACTGGTAATAAACATTGTTTATTACCAAATTATGACACACAAGTCACTAGACATCACCAAGACAATGATGAGGGTATTCACGATTCCTTCGTATCTTTAGGATTGCGATTGTATTGTATCGTAAAATAAGCTACAAATGTCACTAGATTTTGTAAGCGTCGTAAGATTTTGTCGTTAAAATTTCGTTACTTACTAACGTTACGATTTTCACGAAACTTGACCCTTTTATTTTTTCGTAAACTATTTTACGATACTGAAAATACCCAGACAATCGTGAATACCCCCAATTTTAAGGAATAGCTCACCATGATGTTTGGCAATTAATCGATGAAGTATCGTCATTCCTTGACAATCACTCCCTTCAAAGTCAAATTTTGCGGCCGGACTGCTCAACAAGTTTTCAAATTCGACGTAATCATCTTTCTGAGCGGCGAAATGGATCGAATATTTTAATTCACATTTCTCCACATCACAATCGTGAATCGGTAAAATTTTCGGATTAACATTTTGAGCAAAATTATTTTCTAATTTTTCCAAAAGTCTGATTGGGTCAAGTTCAACTGAGAACTGATCCCCATTTGGAATAACTTCAGGGGAAATTTTTGTAGGCAACATTTATGACAGATTTGATCAAGAAAAATTGATACGAAGGTCTACAAACTGGTATTAAATTATTACTGGCCGGGGTACATTGCACCGACTCTGGACACAACGAACATTACCGTTTAGTAAGGCTGTAATAATGAAAAATTTACTACTCAGAGAGAACTTACTACAAATCCGGTAGGAATTTATTACCAAATCTATACCAGTATATATGCGACTCCACCAGATTTTTACAGGGTAATGAATATGAAATTTGTCTTTTGGAATTGTGTCAGGTGGCGAATAAATAAACGTCGTGGCGAAAAGTGTCTATCTACATGGACACTAAGGATGAGTGAGTTATTGATTATCGAGACAAATAAGTAGTCGAAAAATTGCGTGTCTCATGTGAAAGAAGGAAGATTGACAATGCAAATGACAAAGGAGTGTCCACACATATCTAATTTGATAGATGATTTTATGGAAAACTTGCATTTTTGTTAAGACTTCTGGTTAGCAACGACTTTTAGAAAATTTGGCAGATAACCCGCTCAGCTGTCCTTCACATCGTTCAGATAGGTTTGCATGCATACCCCGATAAGTACATACTCATGCACATATTTGATTAATTGGTTTTATGGATTTATCTCAAGTGTAATTTATACATGCATAATTCGGTCAGGGAAGAAAAGTAAAGGTGTAAACCTCACAGAAAATAGGACAGTTGCTAAGTATGTACATAAATATGGACAATGTTCAATGGCGAACTTTAACATTTCTCGTATTTTTGCATATACGTACATAAACATGCCAGAAATGTTATAGTTTGTATGTATGTATACACAAATGTATACCTATGCACATAAATATTTATGTGGAAAGCAATCCCTTTGTCTCTGTATAACCTACATAAGTTATTTTGAAGTACACATTATTATGCTAAAGCTTACTCAAGCTTACCATTAGTAAATATGCATGAGTATATATGCCAATATACACATTAATATTGGCTTCTCATCCTGAATTCTAAAGGTGTCCTTACATCATTGCATGGTTACAAAAAATATAGAAATGTATGCCTTCGGATATAATTTCTATTGAGATTATCTTCCTATTCTCCACTCCAAAGATGTATGTACATATGCATGAATGTAGGTACATTATTGCCTGGTTATACAATAAATATCTCAACATAAACCCGAAATACATAGTACCCAAAATTATGCAGAAAATAATGTGTAGTTATAATCTGACTTTGACATACGTATTTTTTCAATACATATACGTTATAGTATCCTTAGCACATTGAGCTGAGAATCTGATTTTGACATATGTATTTTGCAAACGGAGGAGCGAGCTGAAGGTTAGGGAAACGAGTTCACGTCAACTCTCGATCCAAATGTGGTTTGAGAAACGGAATGCACGGAGGAGAAACTCGGCAAAAGGTTTCCGTCTCATTTTCTCAAATGCAAAATGAACAGATCTCACGAATGGTCACTCATTGTAAGAGATCTTTGTTTTTGTAAAATTTCCATGCGCATGCAAAAAAAGTGTGAAATTGTCAATCGTGCCAATTAACGATTGCCAATTATGCTTAGTTCTTCTCTATGTATGTAAATATATCCATCAAGTTTAATAAGTGATGCTAATTTTGAAGGATGACAGCATGAAATAAATTTACGCAACATTAAAAAAATGAGCAAATTGACCTCGAATAGAATAAGTTAGTACGAATATAATTATTTATTCAAATTTTATACACTTAAATTTAAATAATAGCTTTAAAACATAACACAGATTAACAATATCTATGTTTTCATTATCACAAGACAAATTAATTATCCTACTGTATTTAGACAATTAATGTTGAACTTAATTTAAAAGTAAAAGAACAAATTATCGTGTTCGATGAAATGTATTGCTAAACCTATACAACTAATTGTTGAAGTGTTATTCGTACATCTTCGATAACCAAGTATGAATACAAATCTCAAAGTATCCATAAACGCAATCTTATCTGACGCAAAGATGTGATTTAATACCAGAACTTCACATCCGAAAAAATATAAACTTTTTCCAAATTATTAAACTGAACATTATATTGAAAATATATGTGTACTACATATTGTGTACACACACGTACAAAATAATGCAACATTCTTTCCTCCGCCGAGCAACTTGTATTTAGTTTCCTAACATTTTCGTACAACACCTAAATATCTAAAACGTATTTTCTAGTCTTTCAAATAACTACGTAATTCTGATAACAAAAGAATGCGAATAACACAGTACCACGTGTCACCAGCAAAAATTCCATGTATGTAGATGACCCACGGTGGTCAATCAATCATTACTGTAACGCTCCCTATTCTATTATGGGATTGCGTGCCCTGATTCACATCCACTTTCGCGGATGCCCCTTTTCTTTGTGATGTTGTGCAAGAAATTTGTAGTAGAAACTCACTTTTTTATAAGAATTATGATTAAATTTATTTACATCAATACCGACTGAAAAATATTGACTTTACAGAAATGCTCGTATTATGAATACGTGGGAGAGCTAATGCTATTATTTTAATTTTAACTAATTATCTAGACAGGAACTTATTATTAAGTTTCCGAAGATTTAAACCTTGAACTTGATCTTGATGATCACTAAATCTAACCTGCTGATCCTGAATCTAAAACTACACTCCGTTCTTCTTCTCTCTGCTTACTCTATATATACGTGATCACATAAGCCACGCCTTCTTGATCACTGCCTTTACTTACGCTACATATGCACAAACTACGCCCTCATGATCATGATGATCATGATGACGTAGGCATCATTCTGTGCTCCTCATTCCTATCCTCTCTTCCCCTTCATGATCTCCTCCTGCACACAATATGGTTTGGACACACATGAGAGGCGAGATACTTATGAAAACTACATCTATGTATTTTGAATCCCTTGACCTTTGAAATGCTGATGTCACATTTGCATCAGCGTTCCAAAGGTTGCATTACACAAAATATGTTTTTTTTCTAGCAGGACCGTAATTTCTGAAATCAATTGCCAGCACTCCGATAGCCTAAATAAGAAGATATTCATCGAACTATTGCATTCCCGACGGATGCAATTGGAAGATGAAAAATCAATTTGCTCGGATTCAAGGTATTGGCTTCGCCGAGCAACTTGTATATAAGTTTCCTAACAGGTTCGTATAAAACCTACATGTTCTCAGCATCAGGAGAACGCAAATTTCTCATAATTTTCATATTAAATGATAGTGACACATCACCGCGTGTCACTAACAATTTGGAATATTACATTGAAGTAAAAAAAATTAAATAATGTTTTCATTATTATATTTAAATTATCTTGGTGGGTAGGTTACTAACATTATTCATTAAGCATTCGTTAAAAAGCCTAGAATTTCACAAACGGACAAAACATATAATGATAAGGCTCCTAAAGTACAAAAAAAACATTCAAATATTCTTGCCAACACTAAACAACCAATATTTCCTAGATATATATGTACATATGTATGGTAATAGAATTTTGGCTTTTACATATTCGCACATATCTAGATACACAAGGGAAATACTAATTTGAAACGTACCAGCTTTCAAACATTTCTCAACGAAGACGAAGCTAAAAAGGACAACCTGGGTCCTAAAAGAGACCTATCGCAACCTATCTTATTTTGAAATTACAACTTGTCAATTTCGGAAGGACTTCATTATTCCACTAAATCCTAAGTTATGACACATTACCTCGAGCCATTAACTATTATTTTTATAACTAAACTGAACACAAAGTCAAATAACAATGCTAAACAAAATAAAGAATCGTGTATCTATGCAGAAATATATTGCCGCAAGTCCCCTCATCCCCACAACGATCATCCCCTCAGACTGCTGTATCGGTAACGAAGTGAATTTGATATAACTTCATTATATGATGAAGAGCCTAACGAAAGTTTGTCAAATTTTTTATGAATTTCCATTTAAATTCGTTTTTCATAGGCAATAAAGGTTCAAGTTTTCATGGCACTTTACCTCGTGCCATGAAACGGTTAAACATTTTGAAATGAACTCGTTCATTAAAAGTTTGATAAACTAAATTTGATAAATACTTATGTACTACTTCAGCGTTCAGATAATTGGATCAAATTTACGAAAATAAGAAAATTCTAGTCAATTAAATTAAGTAATCAGGGAAAAATTATACATAAGTTCATTATTTTCTAGAATGATATGGTCACGAAGTGAATTTGATTTAACTTCATTATTTTGATGATTAGCCTAACGCTGGTTTTTCGAATTTTCCATGAAACTTTCCATTTCAATGCGTATTTTTCGTAATTAATCAAGCTACAAGTTTACGTGGCGCTTTACCTCGTGCCACGAAACGGTTAAAGAAGTCTCGTAGTAAATAAAAATACTTGTAAAGTATTTTGAAACTTTTCAGAAAGAAATTTTAAAAGTTTTGCAACGCAAAAAAACTGTCTCCCATTACAGATCACCTAACGCATACGGACTGCTTGGAGTTTTGACTAAATACATAGTTTTTTAAGTCATGTTTCTGCTTAATTTTGAATTTAAAACTAGGTATTTTGGCGAAATAAATAGCTTAATCTTTAACTTCCTTTCACCACGACCAAGGGTTATTGGACTCAAGTAAAGAAAAACGGGTAGAAATTGATGCTTGATTGATGGGGTCGCCAAATTCCATTTTTGTGTCCTGCGAATTAAGGAAATATCAATTGGGTTAATAAATTATCAATCAAAAATATGCACCAAATTCACTATTTTGCTTACGTATGTACACAAAAAGTGAAAGAATGTTTACCGAGTTAAAATGCAGGGCTAGAATTTTTTTGATTAATTCAAGTTTCATCCACCTGAAAATTATGGTTAAATTTTAGTTTTTTTGACCGATGGCGCTATATAAATTTCGATCCTTCCCAGGTCAATTGTTCCAGTTTTAATTTTCATTTGTCACTTTTTAACTTTTGAAATTTGTCCAGTAACTGCAACAAGAAATCGTGACGGCGAAACGGATTTTGGAGCACTATCTACTATTAACTTGACCTGCAACGTGAAAAAATGATGTCCATCGAGGATGCCATATTGCTCGCCCATCCAACAACCAATTCAATTTTATTGACTGGTGGGATGGCTGACAAAGTAAATAGTGAAATATGTGAACACCTGGATTTTATTTACTGGGACGACGACCAAGCTTTGGGACCGGACTGTCATCTTTGCGGCAAAGAAATTGTCGACATTTCTACCCCGTTCACGCACAAAGGGACCGAGTACAATGTCCTCTTCCAAGATGACCTCGCCGAGTGTTGTGGATATAGTGGACTACTTCAATGTGTATATTGTTTAAATTTTTTTCATAGACATGAGTGCAACATTACACTTTCAAATAGATCTTTTTTTAATTTTTTCCTTCATAAAAACTGGGCGTGTCCTACATGTGTTCCCGTTTTCATAAGCAGATTAGATTCTCCTAGAATTAACAAACATGATACTTGTGAAAAATTATTGCGCAAATTAGCGAAAATTTTGAATCCTTTACGAAATCAATTTAATGAAATGTACTATACAGTTAAATGTTTTAATTTGAAATATGAAGAATGTATGAATAATTTTAATGAATATGGAATAGGATAAAAACATTGCACTATTAATTCTGTTTGTGTATTGGCTACAATTTGGATTTCTATTTTGGTTTTTTATCCTCAGATCAGTGTACTAATGATTATATTATTATTTATAAATTGTTTAGAATAGTTAAATATATGGTATATGACCAGTGTGTCACCAGTGGTAGACCATTGTTGTTGTACTTGTACGATAAATGCAATGAATTGGGAAAGACCCAGTAATAAAGATGTACATACATACATACATACATTTTGCATCGCATTCATTTACATTGGTAGTTTTAAACCACAGAGAGCATCCTTTGTAATGAGGCAATTTACGCAGGTCTTGGTAACATTATAAAGTCCGTAAATTCTGTAAACTTACAAACTTTTACAAAATTTTGGAAATATTTCAAAGAAAAGTCAAGTTTGTATTTTGTAAAATTATGCTAAAAAACTTATAAAGTTACGAATTTTACAAAGTTACTCAGCCCTGCCTGAATTGCTTCAATTCAATATTATATAATTTTCAAGGCTAGTATTTCATTTTTAATAGCTTTATTACCTGTTTTTCTTGTCTCACCAATTTTCTCGAATCCGTCGCCAACTAACATTTCCATGGGATGAGCAGAGTCTTATCTTGCAATATCCACACATCATTCATCTTCTCGTTCAGGCTTATCGAACACGTACACATTAAGTTTTCTATTTAGAAAAATACGAAATTCAGTTAGCTATTTAGACAAGAGGAAGGTAATTTTACTAACAATAATTAATTAATTGCATTTAAGTTTCCACCAAATTATCAAAACAAGTTCAATTGAGCCATTCTGCATAAACGAAATATTTCTTCCGAATTTTACAAAGTTTACGTATGTATTTATGTATTTTACCAAATTGGCTACATATGTATGTATGTATTTATTTCGTAGGTAATAAACAGTCGAAATTTAACTTACCCATATATATAACCAGGTTCGTAAAGTATTAAATATTTGTCTCCCAGACTTGGTACGGAATCATTAAAATCTGCAATATCCAATAGTCAAATTTTGTATTTCCGTATTGCAATTTTTAATGTTGGTCAGTGACCAAAATCTGGAATTGTATTTACCTGTTTCTCCATCTCGACCGTGACCCTGGCCGGAATGAAGGATATTGAATCAAACTGAAGGGTACGACGAGGTCCTTTTTCAGGTAGGGCGTCAAATTGACCCCGTCAGATTTCCCCGCGACAGATTTCCCCGGTCATATTGACCCCGCGACAGATTGACCCCACGACAGATTGACCCCACGACAGATTGACCCCACGACAGATTGACCCCACGACAGATTGACCCCATGTCATATTGACCCCATGTCATATTGACCCCACGCCATATTGACCCCGCGACAGATTGACCCCAGGCCATAGATACAGGTACTACTTAATGTATTTACACACAAATAGTTAATTTTATTTCCTATTCAAATTTAAGTCAAATATGTATTCCACTCAAAAGTATACATACATAATGTAATATTTTAATTTTTAAGATGCAAATTTCTTGATCTATTTTTATCCTCATTTTATGCTAAAAAAACCTGCAGTGTAGACTTCATATAGCCCGAGTCATATTTGTTAGATTTTCTATTATTTGGCATCAAATCCCTTAACATCTTGAATTTTCAAAGCTGTGTGTGCTATCCAGAAGTGGTTTTTATCCCCCATACCAAATTTCAGATGGAAATAACAACTTTTAAAAACGGTAGGTCGGCCTTCAGGGTCACTCTGGTTGCACTTTGCTCACTTTTAACTTCATATTCTATAATGAGAAGCCATTACCTTGCCGATTTCATCTTTTTAAAGGAATTTCTAAAAATCGGTATGGGTCACCCCATAGGGTCCCTCAAGATGAAAATTTTTCCAATTACAAGTCATTTTTATCTATTAGGAGCCATTAGCAACCTCTGTACCGAATTTCAGTTTGATATGATGATTTTTGAAGAATCAGTATGGGTCACCCCATAGGGTCCCTCAAGATAACAATTTTTCCAACTTGAATGAGTTTTTGTGCATTATAAGTCATAAGCAACCTCTGTACTAAATTTCAGCTCTCTACGATAATTTTGAAATTTTGGTGCATTATACCCCACCCACTCCGATGACCCCTACCGGTCAACCACTGGACCGATATCGCCCATCTTCGAACTCGTTTCCTAACTTTGCCCAATGTGCATATGGTAAAAATTTCAAGTCAATCGGTTCAGCCGTTTTGGCTCTATCGTGCCGGACAGACAGACAGACGGACGGACATGACGGTTCCTAAAGCCCTGACTCGGGCTAAAAATATAACAATTTGTCAACAAAATTATGATTGAACACGCGTATGGTACGCTAGTGAACAATTTCCATGGGACATACCTATTTATTTGTGTATTAACTAATAGTTGCCGGGGGTCAATCTGTCGCGTGGTCAATATGACTTGGGGTCAATCTGTCGCGGGGTCAATATGGCGTGGGGTCAATCTGTCGCGGGGTCAATATGGTGTGGGGTCAATCTGTCGCGGGGTCAATATGACATGGGGTCAATCTGTCGCGGGGTCAATATGGTGCGGGGTCAATCTGTCGCGGGGTCAATATGACATGGGGTCAATCTGTCGCGGGGTCAATATGACGTGGGGTCAATATGACCGGGGAAATCTGTCGCGGGGAAATCTGACGGGGTCAATTTGACATGGATTCCCTTTTTCATATTCAAGGTAAGATGGAGGGCAAAAACGTGGTTAGTTTATTTCTGGCCGCTTTGTTTCCTTTCTCTTTTTCGGAATTGTTTCGCCTCCCAAATATTCCCAATAGTAAAAAGCCGGCTGATATTTCCCTCTTTTCGTACTGTTGTAATACATATGTTCATATATATGACATGCAAATTTGCATATCTTGCCCATGCATATGTACATTGTGTCGGGCATCATATATATATTTAGTCTGGAATGAATGTCTAATTGCAATTCGTAATTGCACATTTGCACCGTGTATGTAAACGACCGAAATGCTTACACATACATAAAATTCTATGCATATATAAGTTTAACAAAGGTGGTTGGTGGATGTATGGAAATATGTATCTGTCCACGGTATATACAAAATATTGCTTATCAAGCTGTGCTTTTCTACGTATGTAATACATACATACATATGTATCTTGATATTTATGTATTAATATAGGTGACGGTCGGATCGATGGAAAACTGATAATGCCTTGTTAACAAGTTGCATTTGTATATATAGGTATGCAAATGAAACTGCAATGTGGACACATAATATTTGAATGTTATAACTTGCGATAGTAGAATTCCTTGTAGGTATTTTTACCAAGAAAGGGTACCTATTTGCAAAAATAACGCATTCATTATGCAGGCAATACCGGAATTATGTACGATTCTATTTTAATACACCTTTTATTTCAATGGAAACCAGTCTGCATTTTCCATACTTATTTGTACCATTAAAGACCGTGCACAGAAAATATAATGAGTTTCAAGGAAACCTTTTTTATATAGTGATTCATACGCCGAAATGAATAATTTAAACTGTATAATGTATATTCATTGACCTCTCAATTAAATTACATGCTAATCCCTTGGTCCCGTAAACTATTATCTTATGAAACTTTGTAGAAATACGTGAATAATGCGACTCTCAGGAGTCCTCAGCCAGGGTATTCTTCAGCCAGGTATTCATTGAGGGTATTATGAGCTCGCATGCTTGCATAATTTTGAAAAAAATGCAAACTAAAAATCTACTATCCTTGGAAATGCATACATACATACGTACGCAAATGATTTTCAAGCCAAAATATTTTTGCGAACATTGCTAAAGTTGCGAACTAAAAATGAATACCCTTAATATGATGATCGGTATAGTAGCAAATCTTAATTTATTATATTTCAACATTAAATTTCTAAAGAATTGTATAAACTCGCAATAATTTAAACGATCCTGGCGTAAATCAGGGCACAATCTTCTTCACGATCTTCATATTCCTCATCCGCATGAATATGTTGGGCTTGGAGCTTAATCTCGACAATTTTCCCGATCAGGTGTCTCCCCGGGGTGAAGTTGAACCTGACCGTGTACGGAACTTCGGGTCGGACAGAATTTGGCGACACGTCATTTGCACTGATGTCTAGTTCTCGACCCGAATCCGTTTGGACGAAGACTTGAAAACTTGCTGTGGCGTGATGGGTGGTAAAGTCAGCTTCGATCGTGTACTGTCTTCCAGCCGTAAGATTTCCGGAAGACGCGATAATTCTGACCTGGCTGAATTCACCTTTTCCTCCTGTGCAAATTAATCAAAAATGATGTATTTTTAAGAAATTATTTGATTTATGCATGTATGCTACAATTATCTTACCACATGATGAATGTTTAACAACTTCACAGACTGAGAGAGTGACGTAAAAGAATGCAAAGAAAATTTCGGAGTACATTTTTAGAAATATATTTTTTAGTTTGGCACAATTGTCGGTAATTTGGTGAATTTTGATTTGGGTAGGTTCTCATCGTGGAGTATTTTACTTTTATGCTAAAATATTAATGCCACTAGTAATAATTTAATTAATATAACACTGCAATTAGCTGTAGTCCCATTAATTTGTGTTGCATACACAGACAGAAGTATGATGGTTAATAATGAGTAGTGGATGTAAATCCACCTAATTTCAGGAAATCCATTAAACCCTGATTAAATATTAAAAGCTATGTATAATTTAAAATTTGAATGATAATTTAACAGCACCTGCACATTGTTAAATTTCGACTGATCAATAATTGTTGTGAATAAAATTTTTTGATCATAGTGAATTTCATGAAGTTTGATTTAGCTCAACTTTCTGTCATGAGCTCATCTCCGATTCATGACAATATTCTCATGAGTACTCCTTCATTTACCTAATATGTATATGTAAATGTAAATGCATACTGCATTCCATAAATGATGCGATTCTTTTTCAATAATGTTCACTGAAAATCAGACAGTTTGGCGAAATTCCAGTTTTAAGGTTTGAAATCAATATGTAAATAAATGCGCAATTTATGCATAGATCAGATATTTCCTCAAATGTGCTTTTAGAAGTTTTCTATTTTCGCCAAATGTGAGGATTCATAATTTCGTCACGTGGTAATTTCATGATATTTGTTACCATTTTGTCGTAAATTTATTTTTGCGACATTATCCTTCGTCAAACTGTCTGTCAATCAATATACATACATATCCTCGATGGGTAGATATAGTCACATGCTACATATTTAAGTACATGGATATATGTATCTACCCCCAAATTAATGCCATCCTGCCATCCTTTATGTACGGTCCTACCCAATATCGTTCTCTAAATAGTTATGATTACACAATTAAATAATAGGATACATCTCCACTCGCTACAGAAAATATGATGCTATAGATATTTATTCATTTCAAATATATATTTCTAAATAAAATTTCGACTAAACATTTTCACTATAACGCCACGTTTACAAAACTTTCACGTTAAAATTTTCAAACAATTTTCACGTTAACGATGGCACAATCCTCATCATGCTCTTCATGATCTTCCCATTCCTCCGCCGTATGGACGTGTTCAACCTGGATCTTAATCGCCACATTTGTCCCAGCCAGGTGAGCCGCTGGGGTGTAGTAGAACCTCACGGTGTAGGGGATTTCCGGTACGACGGCAGAGTTGGGCAACTCCTCGTCGAAAATGGTGGCCACTTTTCCGTTGGAATCCTTCACGACGACGTTGACTTCAAGACCGGATGCGGCGTGATGTGTGGTAAAGTCGGCTTCGATGGTGTACTGTCGTCCCGCGGTAAGACTTCCGGCTGAACCCTCAACAATTCTCACCTGATTGAATTGACCAAGCCCACCTAGATAATAATTGTCACATGATAACACCCATTTCTGGTGTGTTACATCTTACATTTGTTGAAAATTGTTTGATTTACTGCACTCTTAGAAATCTGGTATTGCGACCTGACTCGTATAGAGCTTTATTTAGTATAGAGCACTCATAGTCAGGTAGATATTGATTTCTCGGTAGTAAAGTTGCTACCGCTTGGAATTAAAATTTTAGACACGTGTAGAAATTACTACCGATATAGTAAGGCTTTAATACTAAATACCTCCCCGTATACTTTTCAATACCGCTTTAGTATAGAGTCAGATATGAATACCGCTTGGTATTATTTTAATACCGGATTTCGAAGAGTGTCCATATTTTGAATATGTATGTATATATGGTCGAACCACATGACGAGTGTTGGACAACCTCCCCGGCGGAGAGAGTAATGCAAAAGAATAATGCGAGGAAAATTGCAGAGTTCATTTTCAAAAAATAAATTTTTGAAATTTCGAAAATTTTTGGTATATGTAGTATAGGTAAAAGTGGGTACAAGTTACTAGATAAGTTTTTAACCGTGGAGTACTTTGCTTTTATACCGGAAAGTTGCATAAACAAGTGTCTTTTAATTTAAATATTGGTATTACCAACGTGTCACCTTGTTTCCATACAACAATGTCACATGTTTAACAAAATATTGATTATAAAGCTGCAATTTTATATGTGTACATCCTATTGTACATATTGAGTCATGATTAATCAAGGTGAAAAATAAATATCGGATTTTCACCAAATTTCAGAGAATCCATGGAAAAACTTTACCTTATTGACGTGGAGGGCAAATCAGTTTATGTAAATGATTATCATGCCAATTTAAATTCAACAGAGGCATCAAGTTGCGTATGTGCTTTCTTCCAAAAGGACCAACATTTGTCGTTTCGTTGATGTTTAATAAAAATATTTCACAATATTTAGTGCTTTTCATGGAATTTGATTTATCACAACTTTTCCCTCATGAGATCATACATACGCAAATGAACACATGCATTATTTATATGTTAGATTCATGACAATATTGTCAAGAAAATTGGACCAGGAGGCATGATCACTTTAAAATTTTCACCTTATAACAAATTACGTCTGGAAATATTGAAAGAAGAGATTCCATGAGTCACAGATTCCCTTACGATTTGGAAAAGTCGAGCAAATACCTGTTGTACCATGCCAATTGAAGTTGGGAAAGAAGATTGGTCCAAATCTTACCTTCAACTTTGCGGGTAAGATTTGGAACCGAAAATGGAAATCTAAACATTCACACTTGAGGTTCTGTCTCAACGTGTTGGATATGTGTGTATGCATACAGGTACATGTGCACATACAATCAGTTGAATATTTTGTGGTTGTCACTCAATGCATCATCATTTTCCCTAGAGAATAAACTAGGTATTTTAGTTTTATAATATTTTTGTAATTAGGGATTAATCAAGATTAGCTACAGACAGTCCAGGATTTGACTGAGCAGACCCAGTACATAGTTTTATGAGCATTCCCAACCCTATTCAGACTGCTATGCACATTCCTTTTGAGCGAGCGGATTGGCATATATGTACATACGTCCCTGGTTTCTTTTTTTAAATTTGCGTTTTCTTCTGATTTTGTCTTACAATTTCTAAATTTCAATAACCCCAGGTGTCTCTTACACTTGTTATCTCAAAAGTAAAACGGGGTTTTATAAGCTGAATCACTAATAGAATTAATATTGTCAGAATTAATCTTGCTCATTTATAATGACGGATGTACATTGTACATTGTGTATCTATCTAGCACGTCGATCTTTGTCTTTATTAAGATTAATTATATACCTATTTATGTATGTAATAAGTGCTTGATTACTTTCCTCAATATACATACATCGATAACCCGTCAAGCTCCATGAAAGAAGAGTTTGTGTAATTAATTTCCTTAGCGTCATTGGAATAATCTAATTGTTTCTTTACGCCAGTACAATGTTACACATTGTAACAGGAACATTCCAAGAGTGCAAAAATATCGCATTGGTCTGGAGATGAACTCCAAACCTCAGAATCCGGACATCAAGGTTGTCACCACTGTGACATACCAACGATGTATTTATCTCTCTCTTGTAATGTCCTGTTCGTGAATTCGTTATTAAATGAACTTACATACACGATCTCAACTCACTACTAATGATGTACCTGTGAAGCTACTATCCCATTGATATTGGGTATAGTGCACTCAGGTTACAACATGCATGTATTTATTTCCAAAGTCTAGCATGCAAGTAAGGAAAATGGAATTATATATTCTTTACAGTTCTGTGTAGCTAACTGTTTTTTGCTAAGGAACAAGTACGGTTTCTCTAGAGAATAAACTAAATAGGTATTTTTGAGTTTTATAATATTTCCCTAATTGGAGATTAATTAAGATTAGCTAGAACAGAATTAATATTGTCGGAACTAATCTTCCATCATACATACGTCATACATATTTATAAATTAAGCCCAACTGTCCCGTGAAGTTCTCACTCTGTCTAAAAATACAGAAGCGATAACACGAATTTTCTGCCCATCTCGAAAATTTTTAGAACCATAAAACTGTACGATGTCCGTTCTGGAAATATTGGCAGCTCCGATGACTCAAATTGGAAAAATTCCTGACCACGTGGCCCTCATTCTTGACGGGTGAGTAGAATTAGTTGAATTATGGCGGAAAAAATTTCACCTAAAACCTACAATTAGTTTTATAATTACCTATATATAACTAATAACTACAGCTATAAAACGCTTTTAAAGTCACTCGATTTTATTTAGGAATCGACGCTACGCCAAAAGCCGAGGGTTACCTGCGCTAAAAGGACACCAGGCTGGGTACGCATTTTGTGTATAAATTAAGTATTACGTAACACAAGTATATGTATAATTCCAACTCATTTTAAAACTGCTTAATTACATACCGTAGAACTATTATTTTGAGTCACCTCATTTGCATAAATCTCACTTATAAGGGATGAAAGCCCTTTGACGGTGTCCGTATCAAATAGGTAAGCTTCGGCAGCTGGATTTTACATTTTCAAATTTCTATCAAAAATATTTCACAGGGCATGAAATCAGTGTATAGGTAATAGAGAAAAAATTTTGAAAAAAATTGGACCCAACCTTCTGCTATGGCAATTTTTGTGAGTTTTGGGTAGAGATTTCTATGTCAGTTTTCGAGTTAGGAAGCTGAAATTTCGGATCCTAGCCGACTTGAGTGTCTCTAAACGGCATTTTCGGCGTTAAGGTGGGATGCCGAAAATGACCTTAAAACAGGTCACTTTTCGCCATCTTGATTTTCCCATGTTGTTGCAAATATATATGCAATTTCAAGTATCACATGGCCCCATAAATCGGGTAGCGTTAGAAAGGTCTCGGCCAGTGGATTCAGAATATGTATACTTTGTGGGGTCTGGGACCACCCCCAGATTTTCTACAAGTCAAATAATGTGACGAGATTTTGTATACAAGATTTAACACATCAGTAATACTAACAGTAAAAATTTTGCTTTTTACTGTTTGTCTAAACTTTGTCCAAAGTTGAGCAAAATTTGATCAACTTCATTTTACTCAACCAGCTTTGCTCAACTTTGTTTAGAGTGTTTATATACCTGTAATACCGGCTTGTTACTATACAGTATTATTTATCTATCACATTTTTATAGAGTCATACATATGTACATAATACCGCTTGGTATTACTTGAATTATATATTTCGAAGAGTGTACTCTAAACCCACGCAGGATTGAACTTTTACAGAAATTGAGAATTCTAAGACACTACGCTCCTGTCAGTTTCAAACTCCCCGTCAGCATAATTAAAATTCTTCCGAGACTGACAGGAGCGTAGTCTCTCAGAATTCTCAATTTCCTTAAAAACTTAATCCTGCGAGGATTTAGAGTACATACATCCTTGCATTTTAGGGTTACCACCCTCCACAAGTTGCAACAGTGCCAGAGAATATTAAACATTTAAGAGTTGACGGTGTTCCTCTTTTCAATCGAGAATTTTAAACGGGCCAAAGAAGAAGTGGATGATTTGATGGAGCTTATTTTCATAATGTGTACAAACCTAATGAAACAAGTGTATGTTCCTGTAAATAGATATTTCCCATGTTTGTTTCGCATTCTTAAAATTTTTCGGAAAATTGTCCCAGAGACGCCGGAACGATTATGGACACCAGCTTCCAGGTCATAGGAAATTGGGAGGGTCTCCTCCCAGTCAAACTGCAACATCGCATGGCTCATTTGATGATCAAGACGAGACATTTCAAACCTTATCGATTCAATATGGCGGTGGCATATACGGGTACACACGCGATTTCTGATTCCATTTTATGGGAATGTCTTATCACTCTGACTATTTGCCAGACAGATAAGACCACGACGTTATCCAGGATAAGGTTATGAAGCCCAGATGCGAATTTCGACATATGGGTTTCACCAACATACATACACGTTTCTCATTTTTGGAGTTATCTTCAGGCAAGGGTGGTTTAGGTTATATGTAGGGTCCCGGCGCCACGGTCAGAAATCTCGATTTTTTTTTGTTTTGACTGGTTTACAAAGAGTTTGGGGCGAGGATTTCATAAATAGTTTTGACATGATTACCTCGTGATTGTGTTGAGGAGGTTAAAGATCGCAAATTTGGAAGTTTATGTTTCGACCGTTTTATATAAGTTACTTATTGGAAGTCATATTCTATGCGTTTTCACCCATTTGCTACATTTCGTTTGCAGCGTTGTATACATATATGAACATATATTTAGCAAGATTTCTAGCGGTTATACATAATATGTAAACCACCCACCCACCTTTTTGTTAACGTAGTCTATGTTCTCTAAAGGGCTTTAGACTTGGAAATTTTGCGCAAAGTGTTGAATTTCAACAAAAGTTCAAAAAAGTTTTCACTACAGAATTTGTCTGTGCCACAAAAATCTTGAATCATCAAAATTTTAATTTAGGGCGTCAAGGAATTTTACAGAGTTTAAATGCCTTCCCCGACAGCAAGGATGAAATTATGGACAATCTACGCCCCTCCGAATACTTGATCGCGCAGGCCCAGCATCTCGTTGACATGAGTCCGGTCGACATGCTGATTCGAACCGGGGGCAATCTGCGACTCTCGGACTTTATGATGTGGGAGACTAGCCAAGCTTATATCCACTTCGTACCGGAAACCTGGCCCGAGTTCAGCTTTTGGAAACTTGTCCATGCCATATTATTGTACCAAGTGTACAGAGGAAGTGCCGAAAAAGTGGTAAATAAGTATGCAAATGTATAAAAAAAATCACCCAATCCATAGTAAAATCCTTAAATCCTGTAAACTTGCAAAGTTTTACAAGATTTTACTAATATATTTCTAAGGATACACATTTTTATAGACTTACTCAGATCAAGGGGGTCTCTTTATTTGTAAAACTCTGTAAAATTACTATGCAAAATTATTATGCAAAACTACCTGATTTGACAAGTTACCAATGACTGCGTGAATTTCCTCAATATTTCATTTCAGTATTACTTTGCGTCGGATTTAAAATTTGAATCATTAACTTTACCAGAATACGCCAGTTGAGCCGAATGAACATAATTTTCTGGACGAAATTCGAAACTTAAGATGGACCAGAATTGAGCACCTCGCCCGAAAGGATACTTATCACGACGGTGGAAATTTAGATTTCAGCTCCAAATGCGCTCAAGGGCTTGAGAAGATACTGCATTTTTAACAGGATTAGCACTCAGATGACAGAAGGATAGATATCTACGATGATGATCCGAAAAAACAAAAACTTTCATTTGTGCATGCAATCACAAATTTAACAGTAATAGCAGCTTGTTTATTTTCCCAATTATGATACATAAAGTATTTACATGTAACATGAAGTTTACAGGGTGTCCCATTTATCTGTGTGAAAGTTTGAGACACCGGGGCTCAATGGCGGGACAATAAAATTCAAATTTGTTGTCAAAATCGAGTAGAGCAACTCAAAAAATAGTTTTGTGGTTTTTTTTCGGAAACTTAATTTGATAGGGACCCCCACGATGCTCAGATGATGTAAAGCTGCTAGTGAAAGGCTTTTCCAGTCTTTCCACGGGAAGCGTTATAAAAAGAGCTTAAATTGTGTTGTCATGGAATGAATTTGCAATTAGTTTATAGAATGATGCCTTATAGGCATGTACAAGGTCAATCTAAGAGCCTAACATCATCGTCACTGCCGAGAAACTACCCATTGCTGAACGCCTGAAAAAGCTTAAAATTCGATTGGCTGACTTAACCCATTCCAATGCAACACGGTCCAACTGTTAGATTACAATAACTCAACTATAAAGTGTCCACATATTGAACGTGTCAAGATTCCCCCTATCTTTTCTACTACTTCAAAATTAATTTGGGATATGTAAAATGGCGTAAAAATTGGTAAAATTTGATAAGCTTTCTAAAACCGAAAACAGAATTTGATTATCTCTTTTCGTTCAAAAATGACAGCACAAAATTTAGAGGAAATGGAAAAACTAGTTTGCCACTCCGTCAAAAAAGTGTATTTCTCGGATCGGAAAAGGGCTCAGCACCACTTCATTGTTCAAGGGATGGGCCGGACAAAATCAGTCATGCATTAGACCTATCTAAGGATCGTGAAAATGCAAATTATAAAATTTGGCCTTGTCAACCTGTCCGCCAGGACACCGACATACTCACGCGAAACGTGAAAAAATCTTTTTGATGCAACACCAACATATCCGTGAGGTTTCCACCCAGACAACTAAAAATTTCAAAAACCTATCTTCGCAGGATCAATGCCAATAAGATAAGCTTCAAAACGCATAACACTAAAACCGCGCCAAAGTACAATCAAGATAAATAAGGAGGGGCCAAAGCTATTTGTGAAAAACTTGTTGAGAAAATGTTAAAACTGACAGAGGTGGGCAAGATCAAAGTTTTCGAAGATCAAGATAAAAGATCAAGATCAATTTTTGCGTCCTATAAAATAAAGATCAAGATAAAGATAAATCTGCCGAATGCTAAAGATAAAAGATCAAGATCAAATCCAACATCAAGATCAAATCCAAGATCAAGATCACAAGATCAAATAAATTCCAGCTATGTTGCAAATATTTTTTATACATAAACCGATAAATTCAATTATATGTAATCTACGTTGTGTGCATTGTGCACGCTACTAATACTAAATAAGTAACCAAAATTGGTTGTCTAACGAATTTTAGTTATTCAAAGTTGACAGCATCAACGTCGTTAGAATTTTTTCGTATAGTTATATAATACTTCACAAAACTTTTGCTGTGATGTTCTAAGTTACCCTTATATTTCTTGGTAAATTAAGCAATAGTTGAAGTACCAGGTCGTCACAATTTGACCCAAATTGTTGACGGGATAATAATATTCGCATGTATGAAATACATCGGCGTTTGAAGAACTGGTTCTATTAATCAGTTAAAAACATAAATCTCGTACGAGTGTTTTTCATTTGCTTGAATGCAATTTGAGTAATTGACCGACCAAGGCGTTATTTTTTTTAGAAATTATCAATGTTTCAAAATGCTACTTTTCATATTTGGGGTTTTGATCTTGACCTTGAAGATCAAGATCAAGATAAAAGATCTTACCGAACTAGATCAAGATCAAGATCAAGATCAAAAGCGCCAGCCGAAGATCAAAGATCAAGATAATATCTTGATCTTTGATCTTGATCTGCTATCTGAGATAATGATCTTGCCCACCTCTGAAAACTGACTCCCCGAAGTTTGATGTCGTGAATTGTTAAAACTACTGCCCCGTTGACCTCGAAGCGTCAATCGTATAAAGTTCTACTCATGTAGAGGTAAAAATGACGTTCGTTCGAAATATCAATTTAAAACCAAACAAAATTTCCAATGAAACATAAAATGGTTGGAAATCGACAAAAATGGGAGCGTCTCAAATCGATTCGCCTCCTGCAAGAATGTGAACTTTTGGATTTATTTCAAAGAGTGTATCATCAGGAGATTGACCCCCTCTATCAAAAATAAACACGTTTTATTTTGGTCGAATATGGCTACGTGGTAGAATGCCAAAATAGTGATTGAGTACAATGGAGGAAAAAAAGTTGATTTCGTCGATAAGAAAGACAGCGCTCCAAAAGTACTTCATTGTCGAAACATTAAAAGATTTTGGGCATTACTTAAGAAGTAATACTCTCATAAAAAAAGGACACCAAAAAATTTGGAAAAATATCAGCGGGTTATAGAGAAATTCGTCATAGACGTTGGTGAAACGGGTGGCAAAGCGCTAGGTGCGCGACAAAGTCTTCGCTACAAAGGTAGGGACGGTGTATTTGAACCACATAAAGATTGAAAAACTTCGGTATGCTCATCATTAGTATTGTACAAAAATTTCATTAGATTGGATTCATGCATTCAGTTTCTGCAGGCCTAAACGTCCTGACACTTACAATATGTGGACACTTCTTATCAAGAGAGCCATTAAAATTAATTGGGTAAATATTATAACACAAATGACCTACGCAGTCGACGCATTCAGAAACAACAAACTTTTTTCCGCTAACTGTAGAGAAATCTCACCAGTGCGCAAAAACGGACGACGATAATTTTAGTTCTGCAGTCATAAAAAATCAAGGCGTCCCTGGGTAGTCATCAGACATTGACCGATGGGATTATTTCGGATTTTTCATCGTGGAATGATAATTTTTACATTCGACGATTTACGGATTTTCACGTACTTTGAAACGCTCCAAATAATGAGTGGAAGAAAGACAGCCTAGAAAAGTCCCTGGAAGTATTTTTATCGGGTAAAAAGCGATTTAGATTTATCATTAAAGCTAAGAACAAGGGCCGTTATATCCAGCAAGTCTTCCATTTAAAAAATGTCTGGTTATAAGTTAGACAAATTGCTCAATCATCGCACAGATAAATGGGACACCCTCTGTAATATGTATATTATATCATCATTCGTGTACACGAATGATGATGGAATGAGCCTGTATTAGATCGCTTTAGATAGTATTTTCATGCCATTTAATCGTTAAACTTGTACCTACATACTTATTCATTTTTAGAAATAATTTTGACCCACATATATATACATGTATATGTACATACATGTATACATGTTCCCCTGGAACAAATACGTAAATGCGAATCATGCTAAAATTAACAAGAGATCAATAGGATGCATTTGTACCAAGTGACTATTAATAAATCTTTATGAGCAATATGCACGATCTATGATTTAAATATACATACATGCACACATATCTACCACCTTAAAATTGCGCATTTGAATGGGTTACAAGGCTAACAATTTAATTTTATGCATGAATTTAATGTTTTACTAAATCCTGCATTAATTATTCAGCGTGATAATTAAAAATAATTTAGCTGCCCACCCAGCATTGTTATTCTTTGTAAGAAAACAATATCCAAGCGGCGATGCATAAAGGATTTGAGCGATAAAGTATCTAAGAATGCTTAATGGTATATGAGTATCCGTTGAGCAATGAATATTTTCCATACAGGATAAGATCTTAACCATATGCTTAATCATGTGCTTCATGCACGACCCCCAAGGTCCACAATTAATCAAGGATGCGATCAAGTCATGCAGTTACGAATACCACCCAAAATTACATAACTTACTTAAACTGATCTTAAAACCATGCACGCTAAACCCACACCGATTGGCTCACTGAATAAATACCTGTCTCAACTCAACCATTCATGTAATGTAACCACTCAATAATTATCGACATTTATTAGCCAGATTTTTTACCTTAATGTCCAATTAAGGCTTTCACCCACAAAAAATTGCACATTATTCACTCTCCCCGTCAAAAGCATGGACATCCCACCCGTGCTTTAAACATTTCTACCCGTGTGGGTAGAAAGGTGAATATGATGACATTTTAAAATCAAATCAGCGTCGTATTTAATCGATTAGCTACACTTTCCACCACATCAGAGAAATATTTACCATTTGTGCAGGAGGAGGTATCGACCATTAAATTTCAACATGTTCCGAAGAACGCCATCGCCGCAGTCAAGTCGGGAGGGAAGCCCGAATATATTTCCTCCTGATACTCATCCCAAAGTTGGAAATCGTGTCATTGTTCGGAGTCAGGTTGGTGAGGCGAAAACAGGGATTTTGCGATACGTTGGAGACGTGAAATTTGCACAAGGTAAAATTTCTTAGTAACTTTGTAAAATCCGTAAATTCTGCCAACTTATCATACAAACGTGAACAAAATGTTACGAATATTTGTGACGAAGATTAGCTCACAGATTTTGATAAACTTACTCCGATCAAGGGATTCTTTTTAATTTGCAATGTTTGTAAATATAAAATAGTTTTACAAAACGTACGGATTTTAAGAGGTACAAAAAACTGCGTGAATTGCCTCATTAATTTTTAATTAGAATTAAAATTGCATAATTTGAGATCAATTATTTCAGGATGTTGGGCCGGCGTGGAGCTGTTTTATCCACAGGGAAAGAATGATGGCAGTGTGGAAGGACAAGAGTGAGGACAAACCTTGTCGCCAATTTTTCTAATTACTCATTTGACAAATACATGCTTATTTTTTAATAGATATTTCCGCTGCCAGCAAAAATATGGATTATTCGTCCCCATCCGAAAAGTTGATTGGAGTCCGATGAACGCAATGGGAGTTAACGTCTACGAGGACAGGATCAAGCATGAGACTGTTAAATAAGTTTAATATGCTTCTCCAAGACAAAGATCAACATATTCTGTAAATAATACAGTATTAAAATAAAATAGGAGACCGCGCATAAAGCATGTGCTAAATTTGAGAGAGGTCAAGGTCAATCCTTCACATATTGACTATAAATTTGTATAGCGTATATTATAGTGATCACAATGTCTAACAAGTTCTTTACCATTGAATACGAAGAATAAATCAATAAATATGAATTTAACCCTTACAGCCAAGTCCAACTTAAGAACAACATTTCTTGCAAAACGGAAACTTACTTTGTTACTTTAAGGATAAGTGGCAAAGTTGTTTAAACATAATGCATTTTAAATGACACATACATACATACGTACATATGCGTTTATCGTGTATAGAGAAAAGCTTCTATTTGTATTACACAAGATTTGGAAGATCTTGTTGTTGATACATGCTTGCATGTAATCTGCGACTCAAATTTGGACATTGTGTGTGTGGGTGGGTGGGGCAAAAAATGGTTCATGTGTAAACTCATCTTCATCTCATCCCATCAATAATTACCTTTCATCTCTTTAGATCTGGTTTAATAGCAGTGATTACATACAACGTTTTTAATGTGCAGAAAACATGAATTTGTATCTACGCATTTGAATTTGTATGCAGATAAACCACATGAAAGGAAAGCTAATTACATATATGATTGTCTTATGTAGGTAACAAAATATACTCCGGCTGCATATTATGCATTTACGGCCAAATTAATAATAGCAACTTGGCCAACAAATTTTCGATTTATTCTGCACACATTTTGGATGTGATCACTGAAATATTGTTTTTCGCACTCCAACGACTTTATTGCAAGACAGCTTAAAATTTGCGTATTTAGTTATACATATATCCATAAAGAGACCCCATTCTTTTTTACTCAAAATCGTCTAACTTGGGTAAAGCATGATACTTTAAGTATCATTGTAGATCTTCAATCGAAATTTAAAACACTTTATTTTTCCTTGCATTATTCACTGCGAAATATCCACCAACAAAAATTGTACAATTATGATAAGATACATTGTAACTGTTGCAACAACCTGAAAATTCAAGAGCATCCATTTCAATCAATTTATGAATTACTATAAATCACCACAAATTTTTCTCTTACCGAAACCAGCAATTTTAGATTGACTTCAAACAAGCAGCATTCCACAACCAAGGGACCATTTTGTATCGATGCGGCCAACAATTTAATCTAAAATAGGAATAAAATTTAAAAAAAATAATTTTAAAATTCGTTTAAGGGACGTCCATAAATAACGTAATTAAAATTGTGCGTGCTCGGTTTTGGATCGCTTATCTTACTCACTCCTATTTGCATTTTAATAAATGGGCGTTCCCTTATTTTATCCACCAAAAAATTTACACTCATTTTTTTTCCTTACCTTGTCCCCACCACAACAATTCCCAAATCCATGATAATCTCCACTCCTTAAGCAACTCTGATACATCAAAAATTTCCCGATCCGCCCACTTTTCACCGTAATATCGCCACACAATTTCCCCAACCAGAAAAACCACACGAACAACACGACCACATTATAAAGGTTAAACAAGACATACATAATTTCTCCCATTTTATAAAACAGAATCGTAAAATATCCAAAAAACAGGAGGAGAACCATGTTATAAAAAACTTCCAGGATTATTTTCTGATTAAAAACGTCATTAAATTCGACCACTTGGTCGTCCAGGAGTTTATAAAGGTTCACAAATTCGGGAACATTTAATTTTCCTACTTTGTCCAATATCCCGTCCAAACAATGGTTATAAACTTGAGTGAAAAATATGAGCAGCGTCAACCCAAATGCTTGCCCCACAGCGGTAAAATTTTGCACGACATCCAGGCCAACAAGTAGCACACTTGTGACCGAAATATTTTCGAAATTTCCATCCCATCCGCCGTACCGGATCGCACCGAAAATTGCTAACACGGCACAAAATCCATTCACAATTACGTGACCGATAAGCCTTCTCCTTAAATAAATTTCCAATCTTTCCGAATTTGTGATTCCTCTGGACTCAAATTGATCCCACATTTGAGTAAAATTATGCCAAAATTGGACAAATTTTCCGCGCTGAAACAGCACATCGACTCTTGCCAACATTGGCGATAAATTTCCGAACGTTACCCCCAAAAAATTTATGATGCGGAAAGAATCTCGTCCCACGGAGTGGAAAGAGTTTGAAAAAATTTCAAATCGGGAAATGTCTGCTTCCACTACGAAGAATGGAAATATTGCGAGCCCGATTAAAATTAGGATATAGATTGAGGGTAAAGTACGGAAAATCGGGGACAAGGAAAATATTTCAATATATGGTTCCGAAATTTTGGAGGGGTTTATGGAAAGGGGGAAAAATCCGAAAAATTGTGAGACTCGGAAATACCAGAGGGAAACGGAAGGTATGCAATTGATTTGTAGTTGATTTTTGTGCAGTTGGTTTTTGGCACGCTCCATGTCCGGGTGAAAGTTTAGGGAAAATGGAAAAAATGGTAAAATGTAGGAAGCATGATCGAGTCGATTTGGAGAAAGTGAAAGAATCGGGGAAAATATGTTTTGTCCAAGTATTTTTTGTAATTCGCATAGATTGCATGTAATGTTAAATCGAAGAATTAAGCCCATCAAACTGATGAAATATTTAGACTTGAAGAATAATGAGGACACACTTTGTGTAATTTGTGTACCTTGTAGGTGTGACTATTAATTAGCTGCTTACACGATTGTTAGAGAATATTTATCGTCATGCTGAGATGAGCTCGCCGATAAGTATCTGTGTATGTATGTAATAAAACTACATTTAAAAAACAGCATTCTTCGGTGAGGGTGCGACTAAAAACTTTAAAACAAGAGTATTGAGCAAATTTTAAAATTTAATATTACCAACTTTTGCCTCACCGTGAGCATTTACTTAAATACAAAATCAATTTGGGCCCACGGTGAGGCAAAAGTTGGTAATATTAAATTTTAAAATTTGCTCAATACTCTTGTTTTAAAGTTTTTAGTCGCACCCTCACCGAAGAATGCTGTTTTTTAAATGTAGTTTTATTTTCTGGTTTTTGGGTGGGAATTTTTTTATTGGGTACCAATAGCAACCAGCTAGGTGCAGTTATGAAAAGTCTTTTAAGCAGCGTAAGTGGCTGCAGATACCACCACCAAAACTTTCTCATTTTTCAACCGATTTTTCTCGAACGTATCTTAAATGATGCGCAATCAATGCCCGCCAGGGTTTCGATTGGTAAAAACCAAATTGACCAGGGCAGCGGGAAAAAGTGGGAAAAAGGCATTTTTACCACCCACCCAAAATGGGTGGGAAATGGGAAAAATGGAAGAAATGGGAAAAACTCTGGTTTTGGGGCAATCCGAAACAACTTCTTTAAAACTTGAGATTTTCAAAATTTGACTTCATATTCGTATTCTCCATCGAATTCTGAGAAAATTAGTTGGTAATACGGTTGAATTCGAACAATCTCTAAAATTAACATGTATTCATATGGGAAAATTGGAAAAATAATTATAACTGATCAAAAGTGCCCGTATTACATATCAAAATTTTCAGAAATTCGTGGAGATGACGAATATGAAGTCCAATTCCGGAAATATTGATTATTAAAGAAGATAGCTTTCCCCATAACTAAATACATGGGCAGCCATATTTCCCATTTTGGACGGTAAAAACCGTTTTTCCCGGTTTTTACCACTTTTTCCCACCTGCCGTGGTAAAAAATCGTTTTTGACGGGAAAAACGAAACCCTGATGCCCGCACGCTAAAATCAGCTACTGGCATGATCATTGCATGGCAAAATTGAATTTGGGGTTCATTTTAAATTTTCCAAGGTGCTAAAATTCTTGTAATATTAGACTTTTGTAACGAGAAAGATGAAAAGACACTAGATTTTGTAATTGTCTGATTTTTTTGTTTCAACAATTTTTCACTAAATTCAACCGTTCAAGCTGTAGCGTTGACAGAAGTTTTAGGACCCTGTCTTGAAAGCATACCTTGGCTTCGCCGTAACCATGTGCTTTTCTGTCGTGAGGGTAGCCCTTGGTTACTTTCCTCACCTCAGAAAAACGTTACAACTTCAATGAAATGCGACACACATCCAAAGTAAGCATTTGGAGCAGTCGAATTGCATACAGCTTTTTATGTTTTAAAAAACATTTAAATAAATACGTAGGTATGTATATACATATTGATGCAAAGAAAAAGTTTCGCAAAAAAACAAAAATTAAATTTTAAAAATTTGATGACCAGACAATTATATTGGTTTATATTAGATACATTATGCATAGCATTTGGAATACATACATATATGTTATGTCATCGCCACTCGACATTTCGCCAGCTTGTTGCAGATACATAGATACATGCACATATATGCAGACAAATAGATTGTTCAAAGAGAAAGATGAGACATGTAAATAATGTTTTAATTTAAAATATTAGCAAAATATATATTTACTTTATTGTGGATGGAGGTAAAATGAAAGATTTAGATTAAAAAACGCACGAAGTACAGTCAAGAGCAAAACTTTACGACATATGGAAGAGACTTTTGGGACATGTTATTCAAATGGGGAATTAAAGGCCGTAAAGTTTTGCACCGCGTACCTTTCCGAATAATTTTTTTAACGCTGTGATATAATTTTATTGAATAAAGCGTGCAAAAGTAGGGGGTGACGTGGTAGATTATTTTTGTCGCCGAATTTTTTTCAAGGAACTACAAGGAATTGAAAGAATTAATTTTGGAAGAGACTTTTGGGACAACACATTGTGCTTATGGCTGTCCCAAAAGTCTCTTCCAAAATTAATTCTTTCAATTCTTTGTAGTTCCTTGAAAAAAATTCGGCGACAAAAATAATTTACCACGTCACCCCCTACTTTTGCACGCTTTATTCAATAAAAATTATATCACAGCGTTAAAAAAATTATTCGGAAAGGTACGCGGTGCAAAACTTTACGGCCTTTAATTCCCCATTTGAATAACATGTCCCAAAAGTCTCTTCCATATGTCGTAAAGTTTTGCTCTTGACTGTATATATGTGTTCCTGTGAATTAAAAATTTAAGGGTAACGATTTATTTATGTAAGGCAGTCAATATCACACGAAATTTAGCACGGTTATTAACATAATGTTAAGCACAAGACGAATAAGGTTGCATTTACATTCGTGTACCCGGTTTCTCGTGCACAATAGATTTAAATAATTGTGAACATATCATTTTCAAAGTCATTTTGGTCAGCTGAAAAAAAGCTCTCGAGCTCTTTTTGATGTTTGAATCGCTGGTAGATAATCGTAGAAATTTCCATGTTTATATCTTCCACGACGTCGGGAGGCATCTGCTTCAGCATTCTGTCGTAATTTGTGTACATCGATAAATATTTGAGCTGAGGTTGAGGTGGACACGATGGTGGGAAGGAAACTTCAATTTTTCTATTATTTTCGATCGAATTTACACTTCGGGAAGTTCCCGAAGCTCCACTAGTTACTCCTTGAATCTGCAGAAAAAACGTTAGTTACGCATGAAGATCATTACACTGTTCATTCTGAAAAATAATGTTACCCTTTTGAAAAAATAAATGTCGCTAAATTATAAATTAGATAAACTTTACTTTATCAAGTTAACACTATTCTGGATTTCGGATAGTTTACCTAATTTAGAATCCAGAAAACATTTAATTTTCAAAATGGAAAAATATTTTTGGTGTTGTAGCGAACCACGAATAGACCGAGATAAATCCAAAACGCGGATTTTATCCATTAACAAAAATTACCATATTGGATTCCCCATTTGAAGATGACATCATATCTACCGATTTTTCTAGTTGAGTTCTGATTAATTCAAACTCCTTCTCTTTATTTTCTAGAACAGGACTAGGTTTTGAAACTGACATTGAAGACATGGCCAAGGTTAATTTTCCAAGTTCTTTCGTGACATCCTAAAAAATATTCCTCATTATTTACAAATTTCGATCAAAAACTAAATACAAAATGACAAACGTTTTGCAGTAACACTCCCGAAGTAGAACTAGACGATATGGATATTACGCTTGGACTTTTTGAAATGTTACTTGTTGATTCCCAGTTTTTGGCACTTAGATTTACCACATCCTGAAATAGAGAAATTTTATATATAGTACCGCCCAATTTCTAGATCAAGATAGACACACTTATATACATATTCTTAATGAAGTTGCGTAAAATTTATGTAAGTCTGAATAAAGTAGAGGATGACACAAAAATTGGGTAAAATGTTACCAACGTTGAACAAATTTTACCCGATTGTCGGGTCATCCTCTAATAGAGACCTCTATTTACTCAATTTATATTTATATATATAAAGTCGGGTAAAAATAAGTGCACAAACCATTATCACAGTCTTCATGGCGACCGATACTTGACCGCTATTCGCCAAAATCGCCATCGATTTAAACATTTTTGGCGTGCATTTTGCACTTGTTTTGTGCATTTTCTCCCCCGTAGTTTTCAACAGCATGCAAAGACTTTCCAGGTTTCCATCATCCCTCGAACCTTAAAAGAATAAACAGGTCATAATTAAGACGGTTACACAATTCACGCAGTCTCGCAGTAGGTACAACTTTTGCGAAATAAAAATGCTCCTTTAATCTGAGTAAGTCTGCAAGAATTGGTAAGCTTATTTTTTTCCCTGGAAATATTTTTAAAATTTTATAAAAGTTTCTAAATTAACGGAATTTTTAATTTTGCACCTAGGTATGCATGCACAAAGACAATAGGATGTTACCAAAGACTTCGTGAATTGCCTTAATGTTCACATGCACAAATTTTTCTCACTCATCAGTTCTTCCACTGTATCTTTGACAAATAGATACGTTAAAATTCCGAGGTTAAATAACTCTCCGATGAACATTACATTTCCACGGAATCGTTTCCTTCCAAGCGAAATTGTATCTTCAAGTTGCTCGCGGAGTAGATGATCGGAAGACTGCTGGTTTATTAAGTTGTCCTCTCTACTCTTCAACCAAATTGCGTAAGATTTGTGGTGTTTTATCTCCATCTGACATAATGGTGTAAGACTTTTTCGAAAAATTCTTGATGCTCGGTAAGATTGGCAACACAAAATTTGAACCTGGCAATGAAAAAGAGTCATGTTTATATTCCATGCTCGTGAAATATATTTGCATATGTACATTTCTAACAATTTTCTCACCAAATTTGCACATGATTTTGGGTATGACTTTTTTCTTAACGAATCAACGCTCATGTCGAACATGGTGTAAATTATGGAAACGATTCGTTCAGTATACCAATCCATAGGTTGACTGGAAAATTGTTGAGCTATTTGTGGAGCATTGATGGAATTTAGTTGTGTTAGAAATTTGACGACATCGGCATCAATCTTTCGTTGCTTTAAGATTGGCAAAAAATCCTAGAAAATATTTCGTCAATTTAACTTATTTTTTGTACAGCAATGTCATATTAATTTTGAGCACTTACCGCACCATTGTTGGGTATCGTCGAATTTACTACCGGCATTTGAGCTGTTATTACCGGAGGAGTACTTATAATTTCTTCTGTTTTCCATTTTTTCTCTTGAAGTTTCAAAATTTCCTTAAAAATTAAACAAAATTTTGATCAAACACGGTATCTCACACTTTTCGAGTTTAATACTGACCTCAACCGCAGCTTCCGAACTTAAAGACAAATACCACCCACTATAACTTCGAGTATGAAGGTTTGCAAACACTTTTGCAACCCAAGTTAAGAATTTTGCATCTTCTTTCATCTTTGGCAAATTTACTTTGGTCGGTTTTTCTTCATCCTTCTTCAACAATTCCATTATCGCGTACAACTTGGGCCCAATCGTCTTCATCAGGGCGCAAAGGATTGTCACGCTTACTTCATCGTTCCTAACTTCAGATTCATAAAATGCATTTAATAATTGAGGCATTTTTCGCAGTCCTGGGTAACCTTGTAAACTCCGTAAATTCTGTAAACTTACAAGCTTTTACAAAAATTTTCTAAATATATCTCAGAAAAATTTTCTAGCTTTCTCGCTTACAAATTTTTGCAAGCTTAATGAAATCAAGAGAGGCGTCTTTTTAGTTCGCAACATTTTGTAAAATTATTTTGCAAAATTTGCAATGTTACTAATGGTTACGTGAATTGCCTCATTCTCTTCAATTAACTGTGTCGAGTATGCTCTTAATTAAGCAATTACTAATGGAAACTTACTTAATAGAGCGTCCACGCACTCCATTATTGCTCCAGTTCCGGCCACATCGTAGTTATAAAATTCTCCAATTAGTTGAACATTTGCTACACTGCATTTAATAGATTTGAACTTGAATCTGTCCAATTCTGCTGTCAGGTCATCCACGTCTTGAAATACTTTCAAATTATGTTCCGACATTTTAATTTCTTCCGCATTTTCAATGCCCAGTTTAAATTCGGCCTGACATCTAGCTAGGATTTCCTTTTTCAATTTGAATGATTTATCATGTCTGGATATCTGAAAAAAGAAATGGGGTTTAAAATGATAGAAAATGTTGCTACAATTTCGCAAAAATTGTATTTACCAATTTTGCAAATAAGTCGGCCTTCATCGTGTTCGACTTTGTGACCACTTTGTTCATAACAATGTCGACGATGAACCCGATCAAGTTATCCTTTCCGTTTAGTTCTATGTTTGTAAAGTCTTTCAAGACCTGCTCGAAAGTCTCGGGCTTGAGTTTGTTAAACAGTTTACGAATTGTTAACTCAATATCCTGAAATTAAGTAAAGAGAATTTTTATTGTCACATACATATTTCATGTAAATTTAGGACATTAACTATTCAATTGTATCCACAGTTAACTAAAATCTAGCCATGTATGTATGTGTGTACTTACCTCGGTCATCGCGTTTGTGGCCATTTTAAGTTAGCGAATTAAGAACAACGTTGTGTAAGTACACACTTTATTTGAGAATTTGACTTATGTATGTACATTTGAATTTGAATTTGACCTATGTAGGTATGTAAAATCTCAACAACGATGTACATAATTATTCCTATGAATTTAATACTACAGGTATTCTCATTATTAATTGAAAATGGTATCAAAACTGGCGACACTGTTAACACCGAAATTTTAAACTTTGAGCAAACGTTTCGTCGGATAATTTGTGGACAAAAGAATTTATTTGTTATGAAAGAATTTTCATTGAGCAGAGCTACAGATGACAGACTTACAGATGTACATTCATATGTATGTATATAAAAAGCACCTGTACACATTTACGAAGAGAGTAAGATTTTCACCTGTTTGTCATACGTATGTAACATATGTACCGGTTTACATTGTATGATATGAAGTATGAAGCATTGTCTATTGCAGGTGTAAATTCATAGCAAATAAACCGATACAGGTATGTACATACATGCATTATGTATCATACATAATGCATGTATGCATCATCCTATGAATTCCTATGTACATATTCCCTAAATACTTACAAAAATGTATGTACCATATATTCATGTACATACATATGCAAGTACATGAATGCATAATGCATACATACTTTTAAGACAAAGGCTGGACAAAAATTAATTAAAACTTGAGCGAGTTACCCATGTATACATAATGTACATATGCATGTACGATGCACCGAATTGGTAATAAATATATAATACATGAAAGCATTTCAACTTCTGAAGTATATATATTTGTAACTACATACATAGTACATAGTATTTATTATGGTCGGGTGCATTACATACGTCCAAATGTGCGAGACCAATTTTACGCATGCAAATTTCTCTCTTGTTTAACCGAAATTAACAACAGGCTGGCTACTTGCTCCATACTAAACTGAAATATGATGAGTGGGGTCGCCTTCTCGATGAAATTTCCTGAACTTCCTATCCTGATTTTTAGCGCGTTACAGGACGCCTTCATCCTTCTCAAGTAGCCATCCCGCATCATACGTTTTCGACCCCGCCAATTTTGCAGGATATCCCGCGAAAGCTGGTGCAGGTCTGCTCCCGCCTTGTAAAGAATGAAGGACGTGACTACCGTGCAGTCAATCCCGAGAACGATGGCGATGAGGAAGGCGGGAACGGAGAGTTTGGAATTGTGCGGGATGACGGCGTACAAACACGTGACGCCCACCCAGGTCAGGTCGGTGATCATAATGGGTAGGTTTCCCACCTGGTTGATATTGTTGACCGCGGTGGTTAGAATTTGGGCCTGTCGGTAAGCCAGGATTGATTGCAGGTTGAGGGAATTTCGAGTTCTGAAAGAAAAAAAATTAGCATAAAATCAATATTCTCTCATTTCCCATCCCCAAGTCATATCTCAAATTTAGCCAGCCACAGAGTTGTAAATTTAGGTATAGGGAGTTACTCCGAGAAAACATGATCAGATTTAAACAAGGAAATATGGATAATTATGGACAGTCGATACGGCGTTAAAAAATTTTCGTTGAAAGAATTCGAGGCGAAAGACACTTCAACTAAATTCGGTCTCAATGTACCCCAAACTCTGTCCGACTTTACCCTAGTCTACTCTGTACAAGTAAATCCCTCTACCTAAACATCCAACTCTTCAGCGTCTACCTTTTCAAATGATCCGCCACACAGGTTACCCCGCAATGAAACACGAACGGTTCCGCAACACAGGCTAGACACATTCCATACCCCGAAGAAAACATGTCCACCAGGGTCACCGCCCAAGCCCAATTTTTCCCCATGCCCCAGTCCCACACGAATTCTGCCGCACAATCTGGGAAAGTAGATCGAAGCAGGTGCGGCATTGCGCAGGGCAACATGAGAACCAACAAGTTTAACAAGATGGTCGGCACGATCATGGTGAATATCCCAATGCAGAGGGCAAACCGACCCATTTCACCGCGAGCAACATCGCCCGGCATTCGTTTCCCGGTCGAAACGATGTCCCGTAGTAGGCCGAGTTTAGCTCCTCGTCGGGTCGGAAGTGGTAATTTACCATACTGCGCATGCGTCACCAATATTCCGTTAAAGTAGGCCGCGATTTCGGCCGACTTTATCCTGCATGCCAGACCCATCGCCCAGTGGCCAATATTGCTGAGAGAGAGACAGCATGAAATGATCTGGGTGAAGAAGACGGTTTTGGGACCGTTGTAAATCAGTGAGCGCATTCGCGCCAGGACGATCGCACATTGCGTCGTGTTGAAGATGAGGGGCAACGTGTACTTTAAATTGGCCCAAAACACTGGGACAATTGATGCTTTTTAACCGACCAGGTGATAAAGTTGCAGAAAAAGAGGTTCTTGATGAAAAACTGGGCGCGGATTAGGGGCAAGTAGTCGAAAATGGTGGGCATATTTAAATACAATAAAGAATTTATGTTTCCTCGGAAATTTATTTATTTCAATGGAGAACTGTGGGCTAAACGAGTTTAATTGAAGGAATTTGGTGACTTACTGAGGTCATTTAGTATTTGACATGCCGACGAAATATGTAATGTGATAATGCTGATTCTGAATGTATGCTTTTTTAGAATTCTTACACGACACGTGTATCCTACACGTGTCTCAAATTAGCTAACGACTCCCCACGCAGGATACTTACAGGAGGCTTACCTGTCAAACTTGGAAAATACATGAATTACTTAACGATTTCATTGAGAAATCAAGAGAAAACTTGTTTTTAAATATGCATGGCCTTTCTCTAGTAAATAGGTATGTACACTCTTTGAAAACTGGTATAATATCATTATCATTATGGCTGAATTATCTTAATGGTTCTACCCGGTATCTTAATAATGAGTTTTATGGCTTAGGTAGTAAATATGATGGGAAGTAATGAAAAATTATTTACCGCTCAGAAATAAAGCATTCTATTTACTACGTAAAAAAATCAATACCTGGAGATGTAAACTTATTGCATGTATTTAGAGTGTACATACTGTGGAATTATTTGTGCGTGCCACCTCATTTGAATGAGCTTGGAATACATATGCAAAAATATGCATCATCAGAAATGTGCTCGGGAAATTTTGAGTGATAATTTGGACATATTTCGCATAGTGCATTTGCATATTTTTACGCATTTTACGCATTTAAATAGTGGTAACATCCGAATTACCAGCTCTTAATAGTTTAGATCAAGTAGAATCGCCAACTTCGTGTTATTTGGCTTCTTTGAGGGGCCTGGGGCGGGCGTAAATGTGGCCTTGGAGTCAAACTACCTCATATGTACATATGTACATTCAGGACATTAATGGAGACTGTCACATTTGGTTTTTGTACGTATGCATGTTTAATTGTTTACGGCCAGAGTTTTGGCTATTACCGGAAATCGAGTTACGTAAAAAATTCATCTTGCTAGGTGGAGTTTATGCAACAAATATTATTTAATATCTTAGGAGCCGTCCATAAATTACGTAACACAAAAATTGCGATTTTCTAGACCCCCTTCTCTTTTAACATGTGTAGCGTAGGCACGATATCATTGGAGCCCTAGACCCCTCCCTCCTGCGTTACGTAATTTGTGAACGGTCCCTTACACCAATTCTCAATTTAATTTTCAAATCTACACTGGAATTCTAAACATTTATTACTTATGCAATTAACATTTTATGAACTCATGTTAACTTGACATACGCTTGTATACGACTGTACCTTCATGGGCCCGTAAGCGGCCTCAAAAAGGATACCAATAAATATTGATTCATTCATTCATAAATATTATTTAATAAGGGTATCATGCAATTTCACATGGGACTATTTACCTAAATCAATATCACAGAAAATTAGATATGTTCCACTTAAATAAGGTACGCGACTCCTATCCTTTGTATTTTGATGGTGGTGCACTAAATTTCCAAACCTTGAAATTTAGTCTGTATCTCAACTATTGTACGTAAACATGTCGTTTTCAAATTCGTTTTGGCTCCTAGAAAAGCTCTCGCGTTCTTTGTAATATTTGAATCGCTGGTAGATAATCGCAGAAATTTCCATGTTTATATCTTCCACGACTTCGGGAGGCATCTGTGTAAGCATTCTGTCGTAATTTGTGTACATGGATAAATACTTGAGCTGGGGCGGAGAAGATGACGATGATGGCAACGAAGCTTCAATTTCGCCGTTTTCGATTGAACTAACACTTCGGGGAGGTCCTGCATTTGCCCCCCCACGAATCTGTACATATATGCGTACGTGAACGTCCCATGAATATGAATATGGAAAAATTCTTGACATGAAAAATTACCACGTTGGATTTTCCTCTCCAACAAGATATCGAATCTCTCGAGTTTTCTAGTTGCGCTTTCATGGGGTCGAATCCCTCCTCCTTTTCTGTAGCCAAGTAAGCCCTCAATTTTACGGAAGACATGACATCGGTCAATTCTGCAAATCGTTTGGATACAAAATCCTGCAAAAAATACGGTTTCAATTATTTGCAAAAATCTCAATAAAAATGCAGCATGTACATCTCCCTCTCCGAAGAATGCATCTGAAGTAGAATTTGACGATGTGGACATTCGGCTTGAAGTTTTTGGAATATTACTCGACTCCAAATCATTATTACACAGTCTCGGGAAATCCTGAAATTAAACAATGGCAAATTTAGGTACAAGTTTCTAGGAAATAATTGTTAAATAGAAAATTAACAACATTTTATGCTCCTATATTATCTTTTTATGTATTTAGTACGGATTTTTCACATCAAATTGAAAACTTACCACGTCATTCGCCAAGTCCAAATTTACGTTATCGCTTAATTTTGAAGTCGTCAGAGCGTCTTCAGTTTTCCAATTGTTCTCTCGAACTTGCAAAATTTCCTAAAGAAATATTCATACTTTAATTTCGACCATGGATTAATTTTTACAGATTTACAGTCGCAGCTACCAACCTCGATTGCAGTTTCCGAATTTAGCGACGAAAAACATCCACTAGTAAGTTGATCATCCAGGTCTCGAAACAGGGTTTCAATCCAGTGCACGAATTCTGCGTCATCCTTCAATTTTGAAAAGTTTAGGCTCGTTTGTTTATCTTCCTTAAATTGATTGACTGCCTTATCCAACTTGAGACCAATCGTTGTTATCAGGGCGCAAAGAATCGCCACGCTTACATCATCGTGCCTCTCTTAATGCACAAAAATATTTATATTAATTTTCCATAATTAACTATCACTCACAATTTAAAAAAAATTGAAGCTCAACTTACTTGAAAGAACGGTGACACACCGCATGATTGTTCTTTGGCTGAGTATTTCGTAGTTGTACAGCTCTCCAATTAGTCGAATCTGACCTCCACTTCGTTTAATACATTCTGACTTGGTTTTGTCAAATTCTTCTGAAATTCCATCGTTATCTAATAAATTATCTTCCGATTCATTAATCTTATCCACATCGGCAACAATTGAGTGGAATTCGAATTGACATCGGTCCAAGATTCTTTTTCTCAATTCGGATGAACGATCACTAATGGATATCTGATAAGAGAAGAAAATTAGTTTAAAAAGTTAATAATTTGCAGAAGCTTATCGCAAGATGTAAATATGCACCATTCTTGCAAAAACCCCGGCCGACGTGGGTTTCTTGACCACTTTCTTCATTATAATATCAACGATGAGACTTATCAGGTTAACCTCGCCGCCATTTAAGTAGTGATAGGTTGTAAACTCTTGCAAAACCTGGTCGAAATTGGAATGGCTGAGCTTGTTCAGCATTTGTCGAATGGTTAATTCGACATCCTGAAATTATAGACAATTTTAGAGCGTATTTATAAATTTAATCCGGATTAATATGAAAATGGAAACTTAAATTTACCTGGTCACTCGCCAAATACACATAATTTGCGTTATTTCCTGATCTTGAAGTGCTTGAAACTTCCCCCGTTTTCCAACTGTTCTTTCGAAGTTGCAAAATCTCCTAAAAATTCAACTCAATTTTAGCTAAAGTCTAATTTTGATGAATTATGTATGTATCGTTACATATTTTTAACCTCGAGATCAGTTTTTGAACTTGAAGACAAAGATCGACTATTCCTTCGAGAAGCCAGGGCCTCAAACAGGTGTTCGACACGTTGTATGAATTTCTTTTTCAATCGTTTTTTACCCTTCTTCAATTTCATTTCTTCGCTAAATTCTCTAACTGTCTTATCCAACTTTCGTCCAATCGTCCTTATCAAGATGCACAGGATCGTCACGTTCAAATCATCGTACCTCTCTTAATTCATGCATAGAAATATGTATAAATCATTCTGAACAAACTGTAACAATTATGTTGAAATTCTAAATATGTATGTACTTACGTAAAACAACATCGACACAATTCATAATTTTCTTATTGCTTAATGCGTGACAGTTGTACAATTCCCCAAGTAGTCGAACAATTGCCTTGAATGTGCTCATATCAGTGGACTCCAAGCTATCCCCCAATCTTTTAAACGTGTCCATATTATTGGCAAATATGCTGGCATATAGTAGGAATTCTGCCTTGCATCGCTTCACGATTACTTTTCTCAACTTAGGACGACGCCATTTGGATATCTGAAATGATTTTAACGTGGGAAAAAAATTCCGAAATTTATTAGCATACTTTGTGCATTTACCAATCGTGCAAATACGCTGGCCCTCCATGGATTCCGGTCCACCTTACTCAGCATAATGTCAACGACGAGACTTGCCACGTGATTGATATCATTGGCATTTATGCTCGTAAAGTCTTGCAAAACCTCGTCGAAATTGGAGTGACTGAGTTTGTTCAACAATTGACGAATGGTTAGCTCGAGATCCTGTAAATTTATTGGACAGAATTTTTAAATTAAATTGAATTAGTTCGACACGCCAGAAATATGACTTATGTACCTTTGATGTTTTGTCCGTGGTCATTTTAGGACCAAATTAGCACCCGTAAGCATACAGGTATCGCTGTAATGTTAATTCTAAGAGATAGGAAAAGGAATTTGGAATTGATCAAGTGTGTCGTTAAAAGTGAAATGTTTGCATTAGTTTGCTTTAAGGTTATTTGAATTATTTGCAGAAAATGTAGAACACTATAGTACCAATTAACAGGTACACAAAGGGCTGGACAGAAAATTAATAAAGAAAAGTAGCCCCAATTAAGACGTCAACCAAATCACCTGTTCACTATTTAACATTAATGTTGTGAATCTACCACGCAAGTTGCGTGACGCAACACGTTGATTCATCAGATGCATGTAATTTTCCTTTGTTGAAGAAGGATGAATGCACGCAAACCAGGGTATGTTTTTGTTGTGCATGTGCATGGCGTCTTAAGTAAATATTTTATGCAATGTAGCCTACATTATGTAGCTACATTGCGGGAGATAATAAAATGCACGGCCAATACGGCCACGGACCGTGGCCGTGGATTACAGAAATTTGACCGTGGTTCAATATAAGTGACCGTATAGTCCAATAAGTTGACCGTGGGGTCAAATAAGTGACCGTGGGTGACCGTATAGTTAGATAAGTTGACCGTGGGGTCAAATAAGTGACCGTATAGTTAGATAAGTTGACCGTGGGGTCAAATAAGTGACCGTATAGTTAGATAAGTTGACCGTGGGGTCAAAGAAGTGACTGTATAGTCAAAGAAGTTGACCGTGTGGTCATATAAGTGACCGTGGGTGACCGTATAGTTAGATAAGTTGACCGTGGGGTCAAAGAAGTGACTGTATAGTCAAAGAAGTTGACCGTGTGGTCATATAAGTGACCGTGGGTGACCGTATAGTTAGATAAGTTGACCGTGGGGTCAAATAAGTGACCGTATAGTCAAATAAGTTGCCCGTGTGGTCATATAAGTGACCGTAAGGTCATGTAAGTTGACCGTGGGTTCAAATAAGTGAGGTTAAAAAAGTCACGGGGTGACCGTGGGTGAAGGTGATATAAGTTGAGGCTATTAATTAAATCTTGATCAGTATGTTATACTTTTTAGCCCGAACCAGGGCTTATGTAATCGTCATGTCCGTCCGTCCGTCTGTCTATCTTTCGATAACTCTCGAACGAGTTGACCGATTGACTTGAAATTTTATATGTATATTGGACAAAGTTAGGAAACGAGTTCGAAGATGGGCCAAATCGGTCATGTGGTTGACCGGTGGGGGTCATCGGAGTGGGTGGGGTCTTATGCACCAAAATTTCAAAATTGTCGTAGAAAGCTGAAATTTTGCACGGAGGTTGCTAATGGTATTTAATGAAAGAATATGAAGTGAAATTGGAAAAATTTTCATCTTGAGGGACCCTAGCGGGTGACCCATACTGATTTTTCAAAATCTTTATTTCGAGCTGAAATTTGGTGGAGAGGTTGCTTTTGGGTCCTAGTGGAAGAATATGACAGGAAATTGGTAGAATTTTTATCTAGGGCGACCCTATGGGGGGACCCATACCGATTTTTAGAAATTGCCGTAAGAAGCTGAAATTTTGCTTTATCATGAAATAATATGAGGTCAAATATGAACAAAAATTAACCAAAAATTAACCAGGGGCACTAGGGTGACCTCCACTGGGAAGTAGAAGTCAAGGGGAATGGATAATAAATATTTTTTTAGAACTTGGAGCCTAGTATTAATAATACGAAGGATTGGTACAAGAATTAGTGCAAAATAGTAGCACATAATTTTATAGAACACTACTGACAAACATGGGTTTACTAATCACCCCTAGTTCGGGCTAAGCTAAGCTGTACTGATAGGTTTTATTAAGTTATAATTATTACTGTTGACTGTTAATTTTATGCGCTGTTAGCTATTTATTGATTTTCATATAATTGTAAGTGATTTTTGAGTGGTTAGCCCGTTCCACATTCACCAAAAATGTTTGATAACGTCGACATGAATTCAGAGTTCTTCAGGCCATAAGAGTTCGGCGTCGAGATATTGGAAATTGCCGAACACGAAGATGTGATCCCTTGTTGTGTCAACTTTAGTGCCAGGCATTAATCACATCTATGCTTGGTTTAAAAATATAGACTAAACAATCGTATAGGTTGATAGATAGTAGCTTTTGATGAAGGACCCTTCATATCTTTTAAGCAAAGCTAGGATTTGCATATACAACCGGTTTGTTCGTCTCTCTGCATCACATTATGTTGGACAAAGTTTTGCAGAAATGTATGCCCGTAGAATGAAACTATCAAATTCAAAGGTAGGTTTAGTGAACAAATACAATTTTTCAGAATTGCTAGTAATATAATGTTGTATTTTGTATGATTCGGATGTATTTGCTTGGTATTGCATGCATTGGTTAATAAAGATACGCAGGTTATTCAGATAAGTTTATATCCACATTATAATGTCCAGCATGAATTGGGGAAACGACATTGATGACTGTGCATTTTAAGAGACAGTGGTGTGTTATGGTGTGTATGAACCTTTGTGCAGTTTCTAGGCCACTTTTGTAAAGGAGGTATACCTGCATACCGGTCATATCGTCGAAATTTTACAAAATAAAGTAGTACAAAATGTTTAAATTCTTTTTGGATGGTCTTTATAATATAATGGGTCACATAATGTTTTTCCCATATTGTAGTCTGTACTCATACCTGGGATGACCAATGCACAGTCTAATCTCCCCAATTTAATTTGAATCATTTGAATCATAGTCAAATTTGCGTGACAATTTGTGTCATGCAAAACAAACTATTGTGAGTGTCATCCGGATGCCACATTCGTATAATCTATATACACTCGTATCAAAATGTTCATCATCCAGAATGGTTGCCCGACAAATGTGCAAAGACATTTGTGCAAATGACAAATGTGCAGCCGATAAATGCATTATTACTAATTATCATTATAAAGAGGTTGACCCCTTTCAATTTTGTAATAAAAGTTCCATAAAATTTCCACATTTATGCAGTGTTAAATTTAGTGACACCCCTCTGGGACAAAATTAAAAATGACAAAGAAATCCCGAAGTATTTCACTGAAGTTTAAAATTTTTATATACATTTACATACATAATTTCAGCCTATACAATAGAAACTTTACGAAATAGGTCATATTTGTCGCCTGGGTTGACCCAGTAGGGTTACCGCCACCAGTTTTACTAAGCGGTTGTGCAACATTGAAATTTTGCATGAAGCTGCAGGGTGGCATTAAATTTACAAATTCAAGTAGATTCGATTTTTTGCCAAGGTGAGACCTAGTTTAAGAAAAAATCATGAAAAGTTGAAATGCTGTAGGCAAGATGTTGGAAAATTTATGCACAGTAAATATATAGTTTAGCAAAATATTAATTAAATTAACAATAACTTAATACTGCTGATTAAATTATATCGAGGTATGTTGCACTATTTATTTGAAAATTTTCTACACGTTTATTAGCTCGCCCTGCGTAGCATGAGAGCTATTGAATTCCTCGTGTCCGTCCGTCTGTCCGTCTGTCTGTTGACGAGTTTTTTACATCAATTGATGCTAATTAATAATCCCCTTGTCCATTATAGAATTGTTTAGTCGCACCATTGGTATTGAACAGTCCGAACGCAAATGGTGCAAATCAATTGGGAAAGTTGATTGAGAAAGGGCTACAATTTCGGAATAAGTAGCACCGTTAGTATCGAACAATCGGTTATCCGAAGTGATGCGAAATAATTGGGAGAATCGTTGCAAAATGCACCAAAACTGCCGGATAATTGGAAAAATAAATACAAAAATTTGACACCACGATTTCATTGCGTCGCGAGAAAAATCAAAACTATGTCAAAATTAGATATTTATTTTGTCAGCTAATTCTACACTATTGGTGCAAAATTATGTATTTTTTGTACTAATTGATGCTAATTAGACTACCCCTGTTCCAGTTTTGATCAAATTAATAACACCGTTGGCTTCTAAACACCGGTGATACAAAATGATGCAAAGTAATTGGTGGAAGGGATGCAAAACGCACCAACAGTGCAGAATATCCAGGAGAAATAACAATACAATTTTGACATACAGTTTTCGAAATTGGGAAATGCAATTGGGTCGCTAAGGCTGCACAACTGGTGCAATCTTATCCGGCGCTTTTAATTTTTCTTCCGTTTTTATGCATTTTTATTGGTGCAAGAATATGTAACAATTATGATTTATATTGTCGGCTTATTACATTACGCACCTTGGGTGCAAAGTTATATCTATATCATTATGACAGAGTGAGCTACTTCTACGGTTTATTGGTTGCACATTTATCATTTGCAAATTTATCGGGCTGCATATTTGTCAGGCTACACATTTATCGTATGCACAAATGTCTTGCACATTTGTCACCCCATCTCCAGAATAATGATTGAATATATTCATACATACCAACATATGTAAATATTCAATGTGTGCTCATAATAATTACGATAACTCATCAAACAGTTGACTCGTTTAACAAAATCTTTCTCATTAACTTGTCGTTTTGTTTAAAGTTATTTGCTATTCATCATTCAAATTATAGAATTGGTTTTATTGATTTAATGCATGATCACTCTTTGTGGCACATATAGTCTTATAATTCGTAAAAGTACAGAATAAGCACAATTTTGCTCAATAGTGGGTCAGTGACAAACTTTAATCACTACTTTATTATTAACTTTATAATAAATAAACCGTTGCAAACGAAATGTAGCAATACGGCGAAGCTACAAGGAAGTGTGTCCTTATCACATCCACACGCCCACGTCACATTTCGTCCTGCTACGAAATTCAACCCTGCGTAGGTTGGAATTATTCGACTGCAACTTTCGATTGACACTACGCACGCAAAATTCCGACGTTTGACCCACACCAAAAGGTCATGGGGTCGTTTACCGGCGCAATTATGTCGATTATTTAAATCCCCACCCCAAAATATGTCTAAAACGGTCGAAACAAATTAAATAAATAATAATAATAAATGTCGCAATCGACATGTGTCATCATCTAACGGTCGTAGGGTCATCATAAATCGGAATGATGTGAATTACTGAAATCCTCACTCGAAAGCGGTTGAAACAAAAAAATTATTCACCTTCAACCGTTGACGTCATCACCGCGGCGTCGTGACCTTATGACCTATGCCACCCATCTTCGAAATGTACCGTATTTAGAAAATTATAAACACGTTGGCGAAAACCGCATTTGGAAATTTGAAATTCGAATGCATTTAATAATTAGAGTACGGCCGGACAAGGCGTTCCCATAATAGGGTTTCTATACCAGGAACTTAACTCAGAATAGAATTAAAAATCTCATTCATTTATCATTTGTCATCCATTAATCAATCATCGATCTATCAGCCATCCATCATGAATATCAAACTATTGATCTTGAGTTTGGTAAGTGTAATTTAATATATTTAGTGCCATAGTTGTGATATATATATATGTATAGGTATTAGAGAGCAGAGAAAAAGTATCAGGACAATAGGTAATTCGGCCTCAAAATGGTCAAAAATGATTTTTTGAAATCTCAATTTTTTGTATGATGTTGTAAACATTACTAACGTTAGGGATTCGTGAAGAAACGAGACCTTAATACATTACCCACTTTGTTTTTAGTATTTTTCGTCGCGCCCGCCATTTATGCTTTTTCGGAAGACTTTGCAACTTCATTGTTAATTTTCTCCCTCCGTAACCAAAATTTTCTTTAAATTTCGACTGTTTCACAAAGCTGGGAGTATGTCTTCTTACATATATCCCAATTTTTTTTATTGGGCTATAATAAGTGTTGAATGTGAGACTTTCATTTTTCAACGTCAAACTGAATTTTTTTCGATTTCTTCCTTGGTTGTTGGTAGTTGTTGCATTGTAGATTGGTTCAAGGTCGGACCAAAAAATTGCAATTTATAATTTATTGTACTCCATGATGAAAGGAATCCGACGGCCTATCACATTTTTCTGAAAATAAACCTGTGCGTTCTCACAGCCCTTTTGAACTGAAGGGTCCGAAAAATGCCAAAATTGGCCCAACGCCTGCCAAACCTAAGATTTCTTCATAAATTTTGAAAAACATTTTTATTTCTCTTCGGTTTTCAGTTGAGACATATATTTCCCATGAAAAAATTGCCTTCCCGGAGTTTATGTCACGTTTTTGAAGACGTAAGACTCGTCGCCAACTGCCAAATGTTTTGGTGAAATTTTGTTGTAAAATTTGGAAGGGCTTGTGTTCATCATTTTTTTCTTGACATTCCGTATTCTTTGCTGCAGATTTTGTTGAATACGCTTTGACCCACAACTTAGGAGCCTTCATATGATGCGCATAGTTTGGATTAATCTTCGACTTCATGGCCGCATCAGACACAAACGTGGAGCGGCATTTTCCAAAAATAAACTTAATCGTTTTTCATTTTCAAGGGGTCAGTATGGTGATTTTTTCTTGTGGTGGCTTTTTGAAGTTGACATTTTCGGATTCTCCATACTTTTTTGTGTATGTTTTAATTTTTTCACGGCCAGACCTTTCTTCCTTGAAATGTAGTCAGGTCTTCTCCGAGTCTTTGTAACTCAAATTTTGGTACTTACAAAAAAATCGTTTCTCGACTTCCTCGCTTTGAACTTATGTAGGAAATTTATTGTTCCAGGAAAACGTATGAAATTTTTGTCAGGTGTGGCTGGATATATGTAGCATATTCTATAAAAATTTCAGATTCCTACGACCATTTTTCACCACTTTCCTATTGAAACTACCAAGTGTCCTGATACTTTGTCTCTGCTCTCTAATTAAGCGTGCTCTTATAGCTCCAGCCATGGGTGATCTCGGGAACCTGGATATTTCCTGAGATTTTAAGCAGTGATCACCTGATAATGGCATTTACACAGCACAGACCCGCAGAAATGAAGTTTAAGTTCACTTATCCCGTCCTGTTTGAGGTCGAGGTACCGAGACCAATCAATCCTGAGAAGATTTGCATGGACTCTAAGGACACCATAGGATGTGTCCAAATAAATGTCGCGAAGTCATTAATGGGTATGAATTACTTATGTCAGGATGCATGAAAATTTTTGTTATCCGTGGTCTCTCCACGGACACGGAGTGGGTGGTGCAAGGAAGATCGAAAAATAAAAAGTTGGAATTGCATGCCATTTTTGGGAAGAATTCCCATGTTTGGTGGTTAACCACATATTTAATAAATAAGTACGTGCAAAAGTAATACTGCCAAAATTATCCCCCTCATCTCTGGCGTGGTGTTCATTATCTCTCTCGCGTGCTGGGCATCATTATTGAGATGATTGCCACGCAGGGCTTTCTAATTAGTTAGCAATTAGTAATTAGTTTCGAAAATTTTGATCTAATTAATTGTTTAATTAGTAATTACTTCTGAACAAGCAAACTTGTAATGATGAGGGCCTCGGCCATATCAAATGAGAAATAAATCTATCTATCTAATTTGGACTTTTTGACAGTTTCATCAATATGCAACGCAATCATCTGATACGGTCTTTATAATTCGTAGACAATTTGTAATACATAAACAATTAAGATGCGACGCGTGATTCATCTAATTTTTTTGTATTTTTAGAACAATTTGAATTAAAATTAAATACACATTTATGATTTTTCTGTAGGATACTGCACAAAATATTATTGCTTAAATTCTTCTAAAATTGGAGTAATATCTATATAAGTTTATATAAATAAAAAGTAATATGTTGAGTTATGTATGACAATAAAAATTTGCATGTTAAAACAATTTCATACATATTTCTGTCGAGCATAATATACGAGTCATAATATGTACGAGTCACACGAAGGAATCATATTACTATTTGCATTAATAATTGCATGAGGTTGCACTATGCTCATTTGGAACTCATCAATGAGAATTAGTGACATGCAATGGAATTTATTTGTTATTGAAATAAAAAGACTATGAAGCAAAATTTCATGCATACAATTATTGCTAGTGCATACGTATTTAAGTTTCACATCAGTCATAATATTCTTACCTCCTCTGTAGGCCTGAGTCTTTTCGTTTAAAATTAAACAACAAAACTGAAAAAAGTGTCAGGAAATTGAAGTTTTTACCATGGGCGATTCAGGTAGTGGGGACCACCCACTAAATCAGTCTGGAAATACAACAACAGTAAGTGAACAAAGCGAAAGCGATTCCAGAGGAGAAAGAGAGACGACGACATCATCTAACGCTGAAGACTCTGATACAACAGCGGCAAAAATTTACCAACGTGGTAAAGTGGGATACAATGACGCGATTGAGATTTTAAAAAATCCAAATATAAGTTTGATTAGTCTGGGAGGTCATCGTATACCCAAAGAACATGAACAGGTAATTTTGAAGCGTTTATCGATACAATCGTGATCCGAAATAGACATTTTGTCATTCAATATACAAGATTTTATTTAGTTTTTCTTGCAATTGCAATGAAATTACAATTAATTATTTTTAGCGAAAACATATTGACTAATTACATAATTTGACCTTTGATAATTTTACAGGAACTATAATGTTTGTGAGTAACAATAAACCGTAGTAACGTTAGAAGTAGCTCACCCTGTAATATATAATTACCTGGCACCTTTGCACCTTGGGTGCAAAATTATAGTAGTTCAACAAAATAGATCAATAATTTTTAAGCAATTATGCACCAGTGGTGCATAAAAACGAAGCATAAAATAGATCAATAATTATTATGCAATTATGCATCAATGGTGCAGAAAAACGAGGCATAAAATAGATCAATAATTATTATGCAATTATGCATCAATGATGCAGAAAAACGAGGAAGATGGCAAAGTATTTTGCACCACTGTTGGAGATTAACCGTGGTGGGTCAAATAAAATTTCAAAAAATTTGTGTCAAAATTATATAATAAATTCTCCCGGCTATTCTGTACCATTGGTGCGTTTTGCATGAATTAACCCAATTATTTCGCATCATTTTGTGTTACCGATTGTTAGATACCAACGGTGCTATTAATTTATTAAAAAATGGACCTGATCCATTCTAGTGAGTATCAACTGATGCTCATCCAATTGTTTCGCATCAGCTTGGATAACCAACTGTTCAATACCAACGGTGCTACCTATTCCAAAATTGTAGTCCTTTATCGATCCATTTGCACAATTAATTCGCACCATTTGCGCCACGGATTGTTCGATACCAATGGTGCGCCTAACGTATCCAATAATGGTCAAGGGGATTATTAATTAGCATCAATTGATGCAAAAAACTCGTGAACACACAGACAGACGGACGGACGGACAAGCGGAATTCAATAGCTCTCATGCTTCGCAGGGTGAGCTAATAAAGCGAGGTAATTCATGCAGTCCTTGGTAACTCGTAAAATCCGTGAGTTTTATGACATGATTTTACAAATTTTTACAAAATAAAAAGGTCATTGATCTAGGAAAGTTTACCAAATCCAAGCTACATAATTTTCCTTGCAAATATGTGTAAAAGTTGCAGAATTTACGAGTTTTACAACGTTATAAAGGCCTGGGAGCATTGCCTGATTACAAATTAAACATTTTTTAAGTTGGAATAATTCGCAAATAGAAATTTACTTTGGATGAAATTTTGTAAATTTGATAAATTTACAATTTGTCCGGTCGGGGGTAATTTTTACGGTGATTTCGCCATCGTCCTCTTCTTGAAGGATGGTTTGATCCACATCCTTCATGGAGATGCGATGCACCCATGGAACGCCTAATAGTTCGAGGCGTTGGGTCGAATAGATGTTGTTCGAGAGGTCGGAGACGATGCCGTAGTGACGTGAGGATTCTTGGATGCGCTGAAGCAGGACGGTAAGGATTAGTGGGGGGATGGGTTTGGGGAGGCAACGCGGGGGCAAGGCGGCGGTGTCACTAGCGCCACCATCGGGAAGAGGTTGAGTACCTCCTCGTTTTGTGGGAGGAGGTTGTTGTTGCTTCAGAGGGGCCGCTTTTTTAGAAGTATCGTCACCCCCGCCGGGGTCACGTCGGACGCGTTCCATAGCGACTTCATAGTGGTAAATGTTGTTGGGGAGTTTGAAATTCTTGAGGGGAAAGTGGTTCACGGAGACGGGAATTATCTCGGAGGCGAGGATGGGTTTTGGACCCGTGTAGGTTTGGAGGACGACGTCTTCTTTAGAAGTGAAGGGGTAGTCGGCCCATCCAACGCCGCCGAAAGTGGCGTCGATACGAGGCAGGTCGGCGGCTGTGTAGGTTAGGAGGGGAGTACGAGTCCAGGTGGGGGGTCCATGTGCGACGCGGCTACCACCACGAAATCCGCCTCCTCGAGAACCACAACGATCTCTGCATTGTAAAAGTAGGAAATTAATTGATCAGAAATAATTGTGGTATATAAATAAATAAGCTACATAATTATTTTGAAAACATACACATATCCACGGCCACGATCTCCGCCCCCACCTACTCGGCCACCTCTACCGCGGTCACTGGATTTTAAAAGTGGAAAATTAAACAAATAATTGTGATAAGTCATGTATTTTGCTAACGTACACATATCCTCCGCGACCCCCAGGCCAGCCGCTATTACCTCTCCCTAGAAGAAATAGATGGTATGTTGTAGTTATTAATTACATATAATAAATGTATCTGTATGATGAATGACAACTGACCACCAGGTCTGGGAGCCTGGCATCGATAACAATTCTCATTGTTAGCGAAATTATCATGACGAATTTTAATCAAAATCCTTTTAATTCGAATCAGTTTAATGCAAATCCTAGTAGTTCAAATTTCTCAAATGATAATTTAAACTACCAGGGGAGAACCTACGAATCCTCCAACCGAGGCTTCTCCCAACATTAAGGAAACCTCCCATCCCTACAATAGAATTTTATACAGTTGGTGAATTTAATTCTATTTTTAAAGCAATTTTGGACAGTGGTTCTAGTTATTCGTTAATTAATTCGAAATCTGCGCGTAAAATTAATAGGGAATTCGAAAAGTCAGAAATTTCAATTAAATGTGGAAACAATTCGGAATTAAAAATTGTTGGTTGTATTAATTTAAAAATTAAGATTGGTCATAAATTGTTTGAGCATAAATTTCAAGTAGCAGAGAATTTACTCTGTGATTTTATTATTGGACAGGATATCATATTTTTTCATGGCATTAATCCTGAATATAGTGAGAGAAGGTTTTCTTTTAAAGAGGCACCAGGTGTATATTATCCTCTAGGAAGTGCAGAGGGTACCATTCTTTTTAATCTTCAAAATAATCCTAGTTTTGATCCAAATTCAGAAGAAGGTAGAATTCAAGCTTTGTTAGATGAGTTTCCAACAGTTGCTAGAAAAGACGGAACAATAGGGCGTACAGGTTTTGCAGTCCATAAAATCGAAGCTCCTGATCATCCAGTTTTTGCTGAAACACCGCGTTGGTATCCACCTAAATATGCAGAGGAAATTGATAGGCAAATACAGGAGTTGTTGAAATATGGTCTAATTCGTCCTTCAAAATCTCCGTATGGGGCAAACATTGTACTTCGTCCAAAAGCAAATGGTACGTTTCGAATGACAATTAATTATAAAATGTCGAATTCAATTACGGTCAAAAATGCACGTCCGATGCCAGAAGCAAACTTGATTCTTAGATTATTACCTACTGGAGGGTTTTATACTGTTATCGATGCAAAATCGGGATTTTGGCAAATTCCTTTACATCCTGATAGTATTCCTAAAACTGCATTCTATGCTAATGCTTCTTTGTATGAATGGTTAGCTATGCCGTTTGGGTTAAAAAACGCTCCAATGACATTTGTTTCTTTGGGTCATAACGTTTTACATGGGTTTTTGTACTAATTTTGTTTTATTTATTACGATGACATTATAATTTTTTCACGTAATTTTGAAGAGCATTTGATTCATTTGAGATTAGTTCTTGAAAGATTAGCTGAAGCGAATTTAAGCATAAATTTAGAGAAATCACGCTTTGCAAAGAGAGATATTTCATTTTTGGGTCATGTTATTACGCAAACTGGTATTAAAATGCAACCAGAAAAGATTAGGGCTATTACTGAATTTCCGAAACCAACCACAGTCAAGAAATTACTTCGTTTTCTTGGCATGTGTGTATGGTATTCTTCATTCATTAAAAATTTCGCATTAATTGCTTCTCCTTTGTATAAACTCTTAAAGAAAGGGGTTACATTTAAATGGGGATTATAGCAGGAGAAAGCGTTTCAAGCATTGAAATTGGCACTTTGTGAAGACGTAGTTCTTAGGAGTAGATTACAATTATCCGTTATACATTCGTACAGATGCGCGTGATGTTGGTTTAGGGGCTGTCTTAATTCAAATAATAGATGGGTTCGAAAGAGTCGTTTATTTTGCTAGTAAGAGCCTCACACCGCCAGAAAAGCGTCTTAGTACTCCTGATAAAGAATGTCTTGCAATAGTATGGGCAATAAATAAGTTTAGAGATTTTCTGTGGGGAGAAGAGTTCACAGGTCTCACGGATAACGATGCATTATCATATTTAAAGACACAGCATAAAAATCGTCGTCTTACACGTTGGTCGCATGAAATTGAAGAATGGGGTTGTAAAATCATGCATATTAAGGGTACTCATAATGTTGTAGCTGATTGTCTGTCGAGAGCACCTGTTTCTCCTACTCCAGAAGAGCTTGATCACCTCGATGGGGCTAGAGATTGTTATACTCCAATTTTCACTGCATTTGTTGCAAAGGGGTTTTTAGAAAGGTTAAAAATTGCTCAAAATCAAGATCCAGACGTCATTTCAATTGTGGGTAAACTCACAAATCCTCCACTGGCCATGGAAGATTCGTCTCATATAGTTTTGTCGCATAAGGAGAGAAATATTTTGGTGAATTATTGCATGCAAGACGGTATTTTACACCGTAGAATTTTAAATTTCCGGAATAAAACTGCTCAGAATAGCAGAAATGTAGCGATTCTGCCGAGTACATTTGTAGCGGAGAATGCGGGTCCATTAAATAGAATTGTTCAAAATGAAGTGGTTTCGTCGGGGTCATCACAGGAAGATGTAGCGAGAAATCCAGGTCCATCTAACGGTAGGGTTTGCTCACCCAATCAACTTTCAAATTCAGTATCAGTTTTGTCAAATGATAATTTCAGAGCTCACACGCTCACAGAACCTTCAGATTTTATGTTGGTTCCAGTCTTACCAATTTCCTTGAGAGGAGAAATTTTAAACTTGTTCCATGATGCCACTGAAGCGGGTCACATGGGTGTTCGTAAAACACAATTAGCAATAAAACGTAGGTTTTTCTGGGATGGTATGAATAAGGATATTCATGAATATGTTAAAAGCTGTCAGAAATGTCAAGAGTATAAAGTTGAAAGATCAAAATCGAAAGGGTTATTAGGAAATGTTCGTCAAGCGAACGCAGTATTTGAAAATATTTTCATTGATTTCATTGGTCCATATCCAGCTAGTCGGTATCGCCGTAATAAATTTTGTTTAGTTATCGTTGATCAGTTATCAAGTTAGGTAGAACTTTTCCCAATGACAGTTGAGACCAGTAAAAATGTAGTCAATGTGTTGGAAAATCAAATTTTTTGTAGATTCGGTGCACCAAAGACCATTATTAGTGATAATGGGTCACATTTCGTTAATCGCAATATGAAAGTTATGTGTAAAGAGTGGGGTATTCGCCATGCCACATTATCTGCTTATCACCCAAATCCAAATCGTTCTGAGCGCACAAATCAAGATTTAGTTAGAATGATAGCTACATATATTGAAGGGGGTCATTCTAGTTGGGATGTTCACATTCAAAAATTTGCACTCGTGTTGAGAAGCATGGTAAATGATACAACGGGAGTTTCACCCGCATTATTGAATTTAGGTCGTGAAATTGCATTTCCGATAGATAGGGCATTGCAGATAAGTCCTCAGAATGTTGATATAGAGAAATTAGCCGCAGAACTCGTTCTTTCGTTATTTCTCTCGTTATTCTCTCGTTATTCTCTCGTTATTTCGTTCGTTAAAGTTAACGTAGAACGTGCTCATAATAAAAATAATCAGTATTTTGATTTAAAACATCGTGATGTTCAATTTAAAGTCGGAGAGAAAGTTTGGATCCGAAATCATCAACTTTCTGATGCATCTAGAAATATTTCGAAGAAATTTTTAGCAAAATGGTTGGGTCCGTTTCAAATCCTTGAAAAGTATGGTGATACATATATAATTGACGTAGAGTCGGCATTAATACCGAAGAGACACATTTCTGATTTAAAACCATATGTACACCGGTTAAAAAGGAAATTATACCGCCGCGTACAGTTCAAAAGAATTTAAAACCTAAAGTCTCTGTAACAAGACAGTTAAGAGCTCGAAAAGTTGTTAATTATAAAGTACTAGCAAATAAGCCCGTCGCAAGACGGGCCTAAGCATTGAACTAATAACCCTACAGACAGCTTGAAATACATTAAAATGATAATAGGTCTGTTTAACAACGTAATCTGAAAAATCGTTTATTTTCTCTTAACTCTTAGTTTAACTCGTGCAGCATGGTTTTTAACTACAAATACAAACTAAGTTTGGCATTAATTCCTTAATACCTCCTTGTAAAAAACATTGACGGTAAACATTTTATCACAATTTTCAAGAAGTTTGCCTTGTTTTGAACCGGTGATGATATTAATTTTTACATCAGAAGATCGACGTGCCCTTGATACCGCAACATATAACTGTCCGTGTTAGAATACTGGTTCCGGTAGATGAAGTCCTACTTTGTCGAAGGTCTGCCCTTGAGATTTGTTGATAGTCATCGCAAAGGCTAATTTGACAGGAAATTGTCGCCGGTGAAGCACAAATGGAAGATCCGGAGTTATATGTGCCAAGTCAATTCGAGGAATGAAGACGAAACGACCATTTGCTGTTCCGGATATAACTTCTGCAATAATTAAATTCGGCTTCAACTCCTTTACGATCAGGCGCGTGCCATTGCACAGACCTCTCTTTGTGTTAAGGTTTCTGAGGAGCATGATAATAGCACCAACTTTCAGATGAAGAGAATGTGGAGGCATTCCCGATGGATTTAGCCCATTTAGAAATTCAATAGGATAGTTATTGACATCTTGGTCACATTTAGGGTTGCCGCGGGTAGCAAAAATGCTGCCCGTTACCCGACCCGTTACCCGCAGTCCAACTACCCGTACCCGCACGGGTACCTGTGCGGGTACCCGTTACCCGCTACCCGTTATGAGAATTAAGCTAAAACCCAACCAAGCTTCGGAATAAATTTGGCTTAATCAATTATTTGCTCATTTGGGTTGATATGTAGTTTGAGATAACGTGAAGCAAGTAACGCATACCGTAATTTGCTAGGTAGATGTCATTATTTATTTCCATTTAATACATAACATTTTTCTTACAATGGAACCTTTTTGAAGCTACACCGGGTTTCTTAGCGAGCTGTATCAAAAAATCAAGCCAGCAATTAGGAATTACATACACTTATCTTTCCAGTGAATGGCCCCTTTGAAGAAAACTATGTGGGGGAGGGCAGGTCAAAGTCCAGCATGGTTTACGTCCAGTGAAGAAAAAAAAGAACATTTACCTAAAAATTGAACTTTGCAGCGACATTTTGCTTCAAAGTGACTAGTCAGCGAAAGATAAGAATCACGTGATTTCTAATTTTGACTTATCTTTTTGATATAACTCGCTTAACAATCCTGGTGTAGCTTGAGAAAAGCTTCCATTGGTAGTTTGATTTTTTGAAATTTTGATTTAAATTCAGTTTTCATTTTAAAAAATTGCCTCCAATTTTGCCTTCAATATTATCGACGATTTTCACCCGAAAAAATTAAGATATCGTCAGTGTTACATAAATACGCAGAAATACAAGCCAAATTAGTACCGATATTTAAGAAAGGATGAATTCTGCTTGAGAAACAATAATTTCTCTAAATTATCTGAACGCAAAAAGTGTTTGAGGCTGCCGTAGGCTTCCGAAAAGACACGCTCGTTACAAACTCTAATTGCTGGCAAATGACAAATTTTGAAATGCATAGACAATAAACTGACTCTGTTGTTGGTAAATAGACTAACTTGATGCTACCTTTCTTTGTGAACTGATTTATGTCCAAAATTAAATAAAAACTGAACTACCCGTTACCCGTGCGGGTAGTTCTCACTACCCGCAGATAACGGGTACCCGCAAGAATCGTGCGGGTATGCGGGTAACGGGTACCCGACCCGTTACCCGCGGCAACCCTACTCACATGTCACTATATCCCCTTGCAAGATATCCAGGACTTTCGCGTTAATCCCATCGACATGTTCATTCTTTGGTGACAAAATAGTTCTATTAGTGAATTGATGAATTGTTGTAGCTGAGAGTGATTTTCCATAAATTTCTTCAACAATATTGCCAGAGGAAATCAAGTCCTGTCGAATTTCAACTATGTCGTCCGGAAGATTGTCGGCATTTGTCAATGTTCCGTCGCCGATTGACAATATCCACTTGCTGTATTCAGGATCAACTGATCTAACATTTTCGGTAAGATTCAAAAACCTAAACTCCTTCCATTGTCGTGAAGACTTTAGACATACTTCGATTATTCCAGCTTTAGTTCCGTGCACGACAACGGGCAAACATTGGCGAAAGTCCCCTCCGAGTAGCAGGACTTTACCACCGAATGGTATTTCATTGTTCATAAGTTCCCTTAGAAGGCGATCGACAGCATTCAAGGCATGCGATGGGGCCATTGTTGATTCATCCCAAATTAGTAAACTCGCCTCTCGCAAGTTCTGAGCATCTTGAGAAGTTAGACGAATATCGGATACAGATGTTTCCACTAAAGGAACTGGCAATTTATATTGGGAGTGATATGTTCTACCATTTGGAAGGAGATTCGCAGCTATTCCAGTTGAAGCAACGGGGAGCACCAATTTTCCTTCCCCACGAAGGGACGCAATCAAAGTCTCATAAACGAAAGTTTTTCCTGTTCCACCCGGACCATCAAGAAAGAAGCATTTTGATGTTAGGGCGGCGTCCGAAATAGCGTCCCAGATGACAGAAAATGATTCGTGCTGCTTCTCGTTCAAAGAGCACACCAGTTCCATTCCACGGGATGCCTCAGCAGAAACATCAAAGTCGTATATAAAATCCACTGGGACCCAAATTGGTGCTGGTAGGCCGATTTCAATGCATCGCTTTCCGTGAAGCCGTAATACGCTTTCGACTTCGGTCAAGGCTAAATTTTCATGGTTATTTCGATGGGCAAAGTCTTCACACAGCGATTGCTTGAAGTTCATCCAGAGGGTGTTGACGTCATTAGGGAGACCAAACACACAGATTAAGGCAAACAGTTCTCTCATTTGTTTTGGCATACTTGCAACTGCAGCTTCTTCTAGAGTCAGCAACCAAACTGAGTCGTCGTTTAGCAAACCATATTTCTTTGCCGTATCTTGAAAATTTTGGCATAGTATTCCGTCAACGGTTCTAATATCATCGTATGATGTTGCACCGCGAACATGAAGCAGTAATAATCTCAGGTAGTACCTACATTTATATACATTGATTAGTTTAGATGAATAATTTGATTAGAACTTTAGGCAAGGTAAATTAAGTCTATGTATACTACCTTTCAGAATCTTTCGTGTTTACGGCATACATTCTGCCAATAACATTGTTTCCTGCTTGTATGCGCTTTATCCACTTCCCCTTAACAAATCGGTAATGTTCTGGGATCTCGGTATAAAGTAGCTCCCTGGCGCTTTCATCTATTGTATTAAGATCGAACCAAGCTGACAAAGTAGTTCGTCTAGCACCTACTTCGAGGATTTCATCGGCTAGTTTCTCAGGGTCGAAAACGATACTCTGAAAGTCCTCCAAATGCACTTGCAGTCGAACAATGGTATAAGACTGTTTGTGCATATTGAACCCAAAAATACGCCATGCCCCTTCAGCTGCACCCACCCATCGAGATTCCAAGAATGATTCGACTTCGTTATGCTGAACATTTCCTTCCTTTACAACAATTCTGGCACAATCGTATCCCTTGTAGACGTATTTATAGAGGTATTTGACGCTTTTGATGCTTGCGCAAACTTCAACATTTATATGACAATTGTATTTTAATAGAAGGTATGGATTGTAGGGGACAACCCAAAGATTATTTACTTCGTGCCTTCCCACTGTAGTGGATATTCCATTGTCCCGTCGTCGATACCTTGGATAGCCGTTTAAATTAGCCACTGTAACCTCTTGAAATTCCTTTGGAAACTCCTTCGTGCATTCTGATTTGTCCATGCATGGCGATAGCATGTTTTTTGACCCACAAGGGCCATGAATCATATGAGACTACAACTAATTACTCGTGAATATCATCTTCATCCTCTGTTGTTCCATAACCACATTCACAGTGATCTTCATAGCACTCAGTCCTCTCATCACCATGAATTCGTTTATGAGAATCTGTTGGGCTGGTGCGCAACATACCTTCCTCTAATGCTGACACCTCACTCACAAAGTTGTCGTCATCTAAATCGGTGCGTTTGAATAGTTCTTCAACTGCTGATGTGGCCTGCGGTAATCCAAGTGGTAGATTTCCTAATAATGGCTCAGTGTTTCTGATTGTTCGTGGCAATTCTTCTAATTCCTGGATTTTCTTTGCTTGTAATAAAATTAATTCCTCCTTGTCCTCCAATTGTCGCTTCAATTTGAGGTTCTGATTTCTTTCAACTCGTAATTCGTTTGTCAGTCCACAATGTTCGCAGAACAAATCCACCGCTATAGAAGAGCCAAAGGTAATGTAAAATATCTAACATGAAACTATTATAGCTTGGATATTTCGGGAAACAAAACGTACTGTGCATAATGCTAATACATCCTTTGCATCGACCATAGCCGTTCTTGTCATAGCTCCCGATGTCAAGCCGGATCCTCCTACCCCAGACTGTATTTGGGCAAACCGCTGTAAAATTATATACTTTTCATAAAGTATACTACCTTAGAGTACATTAATACAGTTGAAGCTAGTTACCATGACGAAGATGTTGTTGGTCTTCTATTTTAAATCCGCAACGCGTGCAATATCGGTCAGCAAGTTTGATGGCAGGCGCTAATAAGTGCTTCGACATGACTAATTATTCCGACGTGCTGTTATTATCAGAAATAAATATTCTTTAGTATCAAACTAAATTTACGCCTGGTATAATAATACTTTCAAACAATTTGTTATAGTTTTTTCATAGAAATACGTGACTAATTGATCGTACTTAGTGGATTAAAGATTGGCATGAAGGATTAATAATCATTTAGAAATAATCCAAACGCAGTTGAATTACCTTTACTCCTTAACCTTTTAAAAACGGATTCCACCAATAAGGTGGAGGGCGATTTCGATCTCTTGGCGACGGACTACACCAATAAGGTGTAGGCCAACTTTTTCTCGTTGACGACGGATTCCACCAATAAGGTGTATGGTTACAGAATTCCGTTGAGACCGGGCTACATCAATAAGGTGTAGGAAAAAAATAAAAATAAAGTGACGGAGAAAATTTTCTCAGCTGCTCCATTCTTTCCTCCTTATTTATCGTTGGACTTTCTTCACGCTTGAACTGCAATTTTTGAGGGGAGAGCTGTAATTGGGGGAGTAATTGCATCGTGCTGAACATACAGCCAGCCAAAATTCCAGAAAAGATAGGAAAATATCCAGTAAGTGTTGTATATTTTGTTGTAATATGTATGTATGTGCATAAATGTTAAATATTCCTCGAATATCGACTCAAATGTATTTCACGTTTCAACAGGTACTCTCAACTTTACGAAATCATGGCTATGCAAATATCGGAAGGTGATGACGACGACCTCTACTACGACGCTGCTTCAGAAAATGATTTTGAAGCTGAGGACGAGTCTGACAGCGATATTGACGAGGTTTAATATTCTTTTCGTTTGTGACCATTCCTCGGATTATGACCTTGCTCTACTTATTAGGATGAAACCATAAACTGGGATGAAGAATTTCGTCCACCCGTGCATAATTTCCAAGGTCCAGATGATCAAATCAAGGATGATTTTCGCCACCACTTTGGAACATCTCTAGACATTCTCAGAAAATTCATTGATGACTCCATGGTCGAAAAGATAGCTATGGAGTCGAACAGATACGCTGAGCAAGTGAAGCGAACCTCTCCCCGTGCATTTATTGGTTGGACCCCAGTCACTGCTGCTGATATCTGGCGCTTTCTATCTCTTATTTTGGCCATGACGCTTGTTAAAAAATCATCTTATAAAGAATACTGGTCCACAGACCCCTTAGTTTCGACCACATTTTTTCCTTCTGTCATGAGTCGAGATAGGTAATCTTATATAAATATGTACATATCAATATATGCATTTATCACACATTTTTCATTCTGTACTAGATTTATATCCATTTTGAGAGCTCTCCACTTCGTAAATAATGCAACCGTGCCACAAACCAGCCAAGATCGCTTCATTAAACTCGGAAGTTTTATGACCGACCTGCTGATGAATTTTCAACGCGCAATTCATGCCGGAAAAGTTCTATGTATAGACGAAAGTTTAATTCCATTTAAAGGCAGGTTATCCTTTAAACAATATAACCCGAAAAAAAGGTCAAGATTTGGAGTGAAGTTGTTCCTCGTCGTGGATAGCGCAATGCAATTTGTTCTCGATGTTCTTCCATATCAAGGCAAGAGCACGCAGATAACTGACCGCTCGTGGATTTCTCTTGTTGGATTCGGGGGAGCCGCCGTTCTGACTCTTTTGCAGCCATACTTAGATGCTGGTCGTCGCATCATAATCGATAACTGGTTCCACAGCCTCAAATTAGCAAGGATGTTGAAAGATCGTCTCACGTATGTTTTGGGGACTGTACAAAAAAGACGGAAAGGAATTCCAAGAGGTGCAAGGATGACTCGAAAACTCAGAAAAGGAGAGGTTGAAACCTTTAGTGATGGAGACGTTTTGATAGAAAGGTTGGTGAAATATTTCTATTTATTGTTTTTTTCAAAAATTTAGAACCTCTTTGTACATACAAGATGGCAGGACAGGCGGGAAGTGCTTATCCTCAACACTTTCATGCCCCATGGAATGACGGAATGGCCCTCCACCAACCCCAACAACCAACGAATGAAGCCAGATACAGTTTTACTCTACAACAAGACCATGGGTGGGGTGGACAATGTCGACAAAACGATAAAACCCAACCAAAGTCTCCGCAAGTCATACAAGTGGTATAAAAAGGTCGCATTTTATTTGGTCGAGCTCTCGGTATATAATTCAATGATTATGTACAATACGACCCAAAACGATCAAGTTGGATTCCGCCGTCTTAATTACGAAGCGTTCGTCAAATCAATAATCCACAACATTCTCACGAAGTTCCCCGTAGCACGGAAGCCAAGAGGAAGACCTTCCCAAAGCCGTGTCTCAGTACCCTTAGCGAATATGCATATTCCAGAACGAGTTATGAAAGAAAACGGTTACCCAAGCAAATCCGATTGTTTCCACTGCAAAACAAAATTGGGGAAGAGGACGATTACGCAGTTCAAGTGCCTTGCTTGCGAGAAACGTTTGTGCATTGGTAGCAGCGTCTTCAACTGTTTCAAATTTTATCATGACGAAATGGTAAGTCGAGAACATGCTGTTTATCTTTGCTGAGAATTTATGTAGTGTATTCACAAATAGTTCCAGTTATCGCAGCAGCAGGTATCGCAGCAAGTAGTGCCACTAGCGGATCGCAACGAGTCACAGAACACTGGACAAAATTCACCACATTACGATTACAATAACTTCTTTGAAATATATAATGCATCCCAAAATCATGATAGTAATGTCATCAATGATGATGATTTACTGTTCGTTTAGTTAATTGTTGTACTACTATGAAAATCAAATCCCACTGTCATATCAAAAATTTATAGTGTGTGCCATTTGGCTCAGTTATATTGTTGATTTATAATTGAAATTTCATGTTCAAAAAGTGTATAATGTTCTAATTATTGTTCGCGAATCAGTTCTTGGTTCGTAATAAATCAAAACTGCATAAGCAGAATATTCAAAATCGGTTTGCATTAATTCAGTCCCCAACTGATTTTATCACCGCCCCACAACTCGGTCTCAATGGTATTTTGCACCCCAGAAAGTCCGCCCTCAAGAGCAATAGAAACCATTTTTAATTCCGTTTTTAAATGGTATCCAGGTCAAAATTAATTAGTTTTTATAAGGTTAATCGCATGCTCCAATAAAATGCACAGCAACGCTTTAACTTAAGAAATGTGATTATGGTTTGAATTTTAAAAGGAGGAGCTGCTCGCCATAAACATTGCGTAAAAGCAAAGTATGTCGTACGTAATATATATAAGTATGTAAAAAATCAAATCAACAAGGTAAAGAAATCGGGCGTTGGAAGGCCGGGATAAGTATGTAAACAGTTTAATCAATATGTTAACTACCTTTTGAATGAAATAAAACACTTCAAACTAATGTAAATGTTTGTTTATTGGAATAATTTTTCACTGGCGACCGGTTTCGTAATGTTTCCCCAGGCTACAGAAATATATAAATAAAATAATAGCAAAAATATTAAGATTGCAATTAAATTATTGAGAAATGTATAATGTAGTAATGACTTTTTTATAAAATGGTGTGTTTTATAAGTAAGACTCTTAAATACGAATTATTTAAGTCAATTGAATTCCAATCAATGTAATAATAATAATAGTACATCGCTGTTAAATACAATATTTACCAGTTACAGGGAGTATTTTTTCGTAAAAATTGTTAAAAGTTAAGAAAAATATATTTAGTAATCAGAAAAGACTCAAAATCCATGTGAATGTGAACTAAGGTAAAATGGCGGAGTAGTTTATTGAGCAGAAGTTGGCGTCCATGGTGATATGTACATATACATATTATATATTAATTATTACATAGTTGCTTCATAAGTTAATTCACTTTTCTATAGCTTACTTTAACATTGAGTGTATATAACATATGTGTATAAATTCGATCACTTTCCTTCATAATAAACTCAATGGGGAGACTTTTTAGCATTGGTAAAGATTTGTAAAAAGGCATTACAGTATATGCAAAATGGATTAGTTAAATATAGCTAAATATGTAAGATTAGAATTATTTGATATTAAATAATTGTGAAAAAAACTGATCAACAAATTGCTAATAAACAAATATAATAATCATGAGTTGAGAAGCCAAGGTAATGCGCATGCAGATTAGAAATTGGGAATTACACATGTACGATTTAATTTGCGGGCATACAACTCAAGTATAAACATTATAAAACTCGATACTTACATAATATTTCAACAGCATATACATTATATCACGTAACTCTATGTTAGTTGCGCCCGAAAGAGTTTAGTAATTAAACTTATATACATACATGCATACAACTCGATAATTAAAAAACGGATTAACAATATAAAGTAAATTATGGACACAAAAATTTGTTTAGAAACGTACACATATCTCATTCAGTAGTTTAGAACTAAACTAATCCAATTCAGTATCTGCGGAACGGCTAGCAGAATTCAGCGTATCGAATTTATCGTGAATTGCTGAAACCATTTTATCCAATTCGAAATCAACAAAAATTTCTTCTAGTGACGGAGGTGAAGACTTTCTCTTGGTGGCTGACTTTTCACCCTTGGCCAAAACTTTTGCATATTCCTTATTTGAAATTCCTTGATCGATATTGTCGACGATAACATGTCCATCGGAGAATGCTTGATTTGTCTTCGAATTGCTTCCCCGTTGGAATGGAACTATACTCAGAGTTTCGGGTGGTTGTTGAGGATCCTGGCTGTCATCATCACTGTTATCAGGATCCGGTGGTGTGTACATGCTTCCTTGGAAGAATTCATCATCAATAATGGGCACTCCTTTTGGAATCTGAGCACAAATTATTCTAGGTATATTTGTTTGTAAGAGGTCTTCATTCGTTTTTTTCTTTAACATTTAGAAGGGTTGTACTATTTCATAAGTTCATAACAGTTACCATACCTTGACGTCCAATTTCTGAGAAATCCAATGAAGCAAAGCTTCGCCATGTATAGTCATCGAAATAGATTCATGATTCTTTTGCTTACAGAATGATTCAGCCATCATTCCGACCATTTTGTAATATAGGCAATTATTGTCAGCACGAACGTGAAGATCGTCCTTTCGATCTTCCATTGAATGCAATTCCGAGTCGAGCTCATCCATTTCCTCTTGCAAGCGTATCTTCCTCTGTTCACGTAACTTTTGCACCTTGTCGATGCTTGAAATGGCCAGGTTTATGTGACAAACACCAAGAGGATCCTTACGTGTGTCATCTTTACCGGCATCTTGCTCAATTTCTTCCAGGTTTCGAATGGCCACTGTATAAAAATGTAAACTATTTGGATTTTTTGTACACTTTTAGTGAAACGGAGTACTTCGTAAATATTAAATTACCATTTTCGAATTCAACTGTTCAACTGTGCTGATTTTAAATAACCCACGGTAGTGGTTATCAACCGTTGGAATGTTTGGAAGGGAAAATCTGTATCCGGCGAATATTCCGGGCAGCTGTGGTCGATAACTTGACCAAATTTCCGCTACCTGAGGCCAACATAATTTCCAAAAATCGATAGCTTCCTTCAGCGATGCGTTGTTTTCAAAAAGAAAGGCGAGGCGATTAGATTCCACTAAAGTTTCTCCACCTGTCCCAAGCTTAGAATCTGCAAATATGCAAATGCCATTTTCATTTTTTCGTTTCATAAAATCACAATGTTATCATAATAGTTCAATACGCAAAGAATAATTACACTCATAGTTATAATATACGAAAACCATATTAATTACCCACTAAGGCTGCTACCAGAAAACAAGAAAATGCTTTGATCGCTCCACTTGTTGGGTGACCTTTGAATGTTCCTGTGACGAACAAATTACTAAACGTTCTGACAAAGTTATTAATGTTCGTCGATCCACGCCAGGCGTTTCCCACGCCTGATTGGTTGCTCCAATTTTGAAGTTGTTGTGACTTAACTCTGCAAAGTTCACCCCAATTTGAGATCGAATTTCGTGACGTAATATCCAGGATTCCGTACAGGCAGACTTTCCCTAAAATTGATATATATTTAATTAGTATGTTAAAAGGGTTTAATTTAGCAAGCTGCTTATTACGTGTATAGCGAATTCATAAAAAATTAGTAAGGTTCTTACACGGTGGTAAATTTGCAAGCCCGGCAAGCTTATGTGCGACCTGATAATTCTCCATAATCCATTCAAACGTCATTGCAATCTTATCCGATTTGTGCTCAAATGTAACGACAATATTGCGAGACTTATGTTTACGTACCGAAGATGACGACACCACACTTAAGTTATCTTCGACAAAAGACATATTTACATAAAAATATACAAATTATTTACAAAAAAAGTATCGAGAGGAGAAGCAGATGATGCGAGTCGAAAGAGTAGATTACGACTGGCAGAGGAGATGGAAAACAATAGATCCTGAGAATCAACGTCCAGCGCGGTTTTGGGGTAAAATGTTTCCTAATTTGCTCGAATATGATTTTGTCACCGTTATGTCCGACAGTTTAATTGCATTTACGTAGCAACATAATTATACTTCCACACTAAAAAACAAACAATATATGTATATACATGAATGTATATACACGTATTAGGTAATGAAAGATTCGTAGAGGAAGACCATTGTCCAGCTTGTGCGCAATTACGTACTTATGTATATCCTGGTTGTGTGGTGAATATTATGCGTCTTAAATATTCATGTATCTATTTACCTATATTATAATTTCATTACATAATTATTAAGTAGCTTCAGCCACTTTATGCGAAAACTTTGTCTGTCTGTCTGTCCGTCCGTCCGTCAGCAGGATAACGGTAGAACGGATTGAGATAATCGAAATCGGTTTGCGGCATCATCCATGTGACCCTACGGGGAGGATCATATCATCTTTTGTGGTCACCCGGACCACCGCCCTTGACGCCAGGGGGTGTGGTCGGGTCAAAATGAGATTTTTAGTGCAATTTAACCTTATAAAAACTAATTAATTTTGACCTGGATACCATTTAAAAACGGAATTAAAAATGGTTTCTATTGCATTTGGGGGCGGATTTACTGGGGGGCAGAATACCATTGAGACCGACTTGTGGGGCGGTGATAAAATCAGTTGGGGACTGAATTAATGCAAACCGATTTTGAATATTCTACTGATGCAGTTATGATTTATTAGAGACCTAGAACTGATTCGACAACAAAAATTAGAACATAATACATTTTTAACATGAAATTGCAACTGAACCAAATGAACACACGATACTAATTTTGATAAAAAGATCGGATTTGATTTTGATAGTACTACATAAATAAACTAAACGAATAAATCGTCATCATTCATGTCATCAATTTGATGACACTGATTTTGGGATGCATTTTATATTTTAAACAAGTTATTAACTATAATTTTGTCCTTCAGTGTTCTGTGACTTGTTCCGACCGGTGGTGACACTATTGCGAATATATTAGCTAAAGAGAACGTTGTGATAATTTTAAAAAATATGAACTGTATCATATTTACAACATGATACAGGTCAGAGGTCAACGCCGACCAATTTATTAGCGGCGCCAATGTTGGATAATTTTTCGGGGGCGCGGCGTGACCTCTGATGCACTTCCTCCGAGTTCCTCCCCCCACTACAACTACAACTCTAAACTCTAAAAAAATTAGTTCAGGCTTGAAGAAAAACCAACGACAAATAAGGAGGAAAGAATGGAACTGAGAAAATTTTCTCGGTCATTTTATTTTTATTTTTTCCTACACCTTATTGATGTAGCCCGGTCTCAACGGAATTCTGTAACCATACACCTTATTGGTGGAATCCGTCGCCAACGAGAAAAAGTTGGCCTACACCTTATTGGTGTAGTCCGTCGCTAAGGCGAAAAATTTGGCCTGCACCTTATTGGTGTAGTCCGTCGCTAAGGCGAAAAATTTGACCTGCACCTTATTGGTGTAGTCCGTCGCTAAGGCGAAAAATTTGGCCTACACCTTATTGGTGTAGTCCGTCGCCAAGAGATCGAAATCGCCCTCCACCTTATTGGTGGAATCCGTTTTTAAAAGGTTAATCCATGGGTGAAATAGAGTCAAATTAAGTGTTTCCGAGTTGTGCTACACTCCCTTGCCTCCAGGGGGTGTGTTTGGGGCAAAATCAGATTTTACCAAAAATTCAACATATAGGTGAAATAGTGATATTAAGTGCTCCCAAGTTGTGCCACACCCCCTGGTGCTTGCGGGTGCGTTCTGGGGTAAAATGGGATTTTCACTGAAATTGAATCTACAGATGAAATATTGCAAAATTAAGTGTTCCCGCGATGTCGTAGTACTGGTTGGGGTGAAGTGAGTCTGAAGCTACTTCCTTATGTGCGTTTACGACGGTTTATTTTCATAACCTAAATCATAACCCAAATCATAACCTAAATCATAATCCAAATCATAACGAAATCATAACCGAAATCATAACCTAAATCATAACCGAAATCATAACCGAAATCATAACCTAAATCATAACCGAAGTGATAACCTAAATCATAACCGAAATCATAACCTAAATCATAACCGAAATCATAACCTAAATCATAACCTAAATCATAACCGAAGTGATAACCTAAATTATAACCGAAATCATAACCTAAATCATAACCGAAATCATAACCTAAATCATAACCTAAATCATAACCTAAATCATAACCGAAGTGATAACCTAAATCATAACCGAAATCATAACCTAAATCATAACCGAAATCATAACCTAAATCATAACCTAAATCATAACCGAAGTGATAACCTAAATTATAACCGAAATCATAACCTAAATCATAACCGAAATCATAACCTAAATCATAACCTAAATCATAACCGAAATCATAACCGAAGTGATAACCTAAATCATAACCGAAATCATAACCGAAATTATAACCCTGATTGGTGGAGCCAGAATTTCAACAGCCAATCAGAATGCAGGGATGTCACGGAAAATTCCACGGGACGGACTTTTGGAAATTATAATATAGATAGGTAGATATTTCGTTTCGTTTCATTAAATTTCAGTTCACAGGAGAACGTCACAGGACAGTCCTCCTCTTGCGGGAAGTGTCCACGCACTCCCACAAAGTTTTCTCGTGCAAAACAATTTTTTGAAGCAAAAAACTCGTTTACTCAGCAGTATGGAATCGTTCGTCATCCACCGCGTCATCCGGAGTACATCGAGTACCGCAAACGTCTTAACAATATGGAGAGATTCGTCGGAAGTCCGCATCGTTTCATCGACACCGTTTTCGAATGGAAATTATCAACTCACATGGTCACCGTATTTGATTTCGTCGAGGATCGTCGCTTAATGTATGTACATAATGAGAATGAATTTATTGACATGTGTAATATTTTGAGTCAGGAGGTTGAAATTGGAGTTGATCTTGAGTTTGATTCTACTTTGTTCTATCATGATTGTACAGCGCTTATTCAAATTTCTACTCACGAAATTGATTTTGTAATCGATCCGTATTTAACTTTTCCATTTGTTAAACTGTTGTTGGAACCAATTTTTGTCAATCCGAATATTGTTAACCTTTTAAAAACGGATTCCACCAATAAGGTGGAGGGCGATTTCGATCTCTTGGCGACGGACTACACCAATAAGGTGCAGGCCAAATTTTTCGCCTTAGCGACGGACTACACCAATAAGGTGTAGGCCAACTTTTTCTCGTTGGCGACGGATTCCACCAATAAGGTGTATGGTTACAGAATTCCGTTGAGACCGGGCTACATCAATAAGGTGTAGGAAAAAATAAAAATAAAATGACCGAGAAAATTTTCTCAGTTCCATTCTTTCCTCCTTATTTGTCGTTGGTTTTTCTTCAAGCCTGAACTAATTTTTTTAGAGTTTAGAGTTGTAGTTGTAGTGGGGGGAGGAACTCGGAGGAAGTGCATCAGAGGTCACGCCGCGCCCCCGAAAAATTATCCAACATTGGCGCCGCTAATAAATTGGTCGGCGTTGACCTCTGACCTGTATCATGTTGTAAATATGATACAGTTCATATTTTTTAAAATTATCACAACGTTCTCTTTAGCTAATATATTCGCAATAGTGTCACCACCGGTCGGAACAAGTCACAGAACACTGAAGGACAAAATTATAGTTAATAACTTGTTTAAAATATAAAATGCATCCCAAAATCAGTGTCATCAAATTGATGACATGAATGATGACGATTTATTCGTTTAGTTTATTTATGTAGTACTATCAAAATCAAATCCGATCTTTTTATCAAAATTAGTATCGTGTGTTCATTTGGTTCAGTTGCAATTTCATGTTAAAAATGTATTATGTTCTAATTTTTGTTGTCGAATCAGTTCTAGGTCTCTAATAAATCATAACTGCATCAGTAGAATATTCAAAATCGGTTTGCATTAATTCAGTCCCCAACTGATTTTATCACCGCCCCACAAGTCGGTCTCAATGGTATTCTGCCCCCCAGTAAATCCGCCCCCAAATGCAATAGAAACCATTTTTAATTCCGTTTTTAAATGGTATCCAGGTCAAAATTAATTAGTTTTTATAAGGTTAAAGTAGTATTTTCGGAACACGATATTTATGCATTACAGCGAGATTTTGACATTAATTGTGTTGGAATTATAGACATTCAATCAATTAGTATGCATGCACATGGGTATTTAGAAAAACAAAATTTAAATCAAGTAGTTACACATTTACTTAATGTTCAGTTAGACAAAACGTTTCAGTTTTTCCCGTGGTCACTACGACCATTACCATTAGAAGCTCTGGAATATGCGCGAAAAGATGCATATTATGTGTTAAGAGCATGGAATGTGCTTAAATCAAGTTTCGATTATAAGTGGTTTCACTTGGGAGAGTCAAAAAGTATGTGTTTTAAGTCATATGTTTTTCCAAGACGTAAATTAAGTCTTCATTCTGAATATAATGAGCTGTTAAGTTTGGCACAAGGTGATGAAAAATCAATTATAAGGGATAGATTTCCATTGTTTGTTAAATTATTTGAGTGGCGTATGCAAACTGCCAAAGACAATGATCAAAGAGTAAAAAGTTTGTTACTTGTACACCAGTTAAAATTGTTATTGTTGAAATTACCAAAATCGGTTAAAGAATTGTGTAATATTGTTAATTGTTCGTATACTTGGTCGAAAAGTCAGCAGGAGGATTTAATTAAAATATGTTTATCTGATAAGATTGTAAATGATAACAGTATGTCAATTGAAAATATGATTTGTGATGTTGAATGTAATGCAAATTCTAATTTTGAAATTATAACTGTCGAGGGTGAGAGTATTGAATGTGATGATGGTATTGTTGAATATGTAATTGTAGAAGGAGACGATCCTGATACGGACGTCGTAATGGACTCAGAGT